GTCAGAATACGGAAGACTCGGAAACGGAGGACGCGATGAACAAGTGTAGGGACTGGCTGAGGCGAGGCGGAGTTAGCCTGACCAGATTGCTACCGTATGACATCCCGAACCGCTTTCCATTGCAGCTCTGTTCTCATTGACACGCGTGGTGGGACAGTCGAATGCAGCCTCTAAATTGCTTTCGCCGTCGTTCTCGAAGCCGAGCATTTCTTGTCTGTGACCATGCATTGTCTTTCTCCAACTATATCGTTTGGATTGGACGGAAACCAGTCAGGCAACCCCGGCCCAACATGGATAACGAGTAGATCGACCATGCAGCGTTTTTGGCATTGGACAATGATGAAGCGAACTACCATGCTAGATCCTCGAACGGTCCAGACCACCATGCCTGCATTTCGAAGACCCGTTGAAGAAGCGAGGGGTACCCATGCGACGTTAATCGTCCTAGGTCCGAAACTGAATGTCGCAAAGGCGTGCAATATCTCCGCGTTGGCTGGCCAGCACGGGAGTACCACGGTTCCGAAAATGCTGCGCGTGGTGATGATCTCGCCTGCTCCCGTCAGCGGCGCTGATGTTGCTGCAACTCCAATCTCTCTGTCGTTGGGTCTCAGGCCCCCATTGAGGATGGATCCTCGGCCTCAATCAGCATCAGACTGGCTTCAAGTTGTTCGGTCAGCTTCCGCGCCCTGAGGATCCAGCTGAGGTTGCAAACGTTCGGCGTTAATGCCCGCCCTGTTGCGCTCAAACGACACACGGGATAGGACCTAGGCCGCCACATATAGTGTTCTTCATCCGGAACTATCGCCAACATGGCGACATAAAATACGGGGCAAATCAGCAAGAGTGCATGGTCACCTTGCATCTGGCGACTGCAATTCATGGCGATCCTCCGAACGAACACTATTGGACTCAATTCATCAGCGAGCAGTTGGAAACGTTCTCGGGCGCTGGTCCACGTGCAAGCGGTCCTGGAGGGGCGGAAAGGGACGTTTATAGACCCCCCGACCATTCTTGGCATGGTCCCAGCGGGCATTGCACGCCTCCAGAAACAAGTGCTGCTGATGGATCCACGAAACCCTGGGCGGTGTTTTGAGGGCGGTTGGATTTAGGAGAGCAAGCATGCTGGAATCGGCACCACGAGGGGTCGCTAGTAAGAAAATGACCCTCGGCTAGGCTAAATTTACATGATATTACACGCCAGATAAGATCAGAAACTTCGGTAGATCCAGACTGAAGCAGACGGATGCTTGCCGCTACTCCTGACATGTGATTGTCTTCAGGCGTAGGTACTCCTCCATTCCCGATTGACCATTGAAACGGCCCCATCCACTGCTTTTCGCTCCACCATGGGGAGATCGGCTTCAGCGTGGACACTCATCGAGTTGATGTGAATGGACCTGATTGATCCTCAGTGCCAGACGTGATTCGACGAATGAAACTCGTCCGCACTCCAATCGCTTTGCGACTCAGCGTCCGCGCGCCAGATCGCGTGTGAACACATCCCCATTCGGTCCACATTCGCTGTCGTTGGCGATCCTAACTGCTTCGTCCGCAGCCTGTAAGAAGATGGGAGACAGCGCGTTAGCAGGTTGGAATTCTTGCGCTGCTCGCCGAAGAATTGGTCTTCGATGGGTTCTTGCACGATGATGCGCTCGACGCCCATGCGCATTTGGCTCGCCTTCATGAATGCACCTAGAACATGCTGGGAGGCAGCCATCTCGAGATCAGCATCGCCCAGCACGACAGCCGCTGCTTTGCCGCCGAGTTTCATTGGACGGGGCTTGAGGGCTCTGCCAGCGGCTGCGCAGATGCTGGTTCCCACTGCGTTGCTTCCCGTAAAGTTAAGCTTCTTGACAGCAGGGGACTCGATCAGGAGAGTCGTGATCTGAGCAGGAGAGTCGCGGGGGGTATAGATCACGTTCTGAGCGCCTTTGGGTAGTCCGGCGTCGGTGAAGTTGCGTCCGTTGTTATAGGAACAGCGAGTACTGAGTTCAGAGCCTTTCAAGACACCAGTGTTTCCGGCAGCAAGCGCACATGACTGCTCTGAAGCCCAGGATATATGCAGCATTCCTGGACATATTCAGATTGCGGTCAAGCAGAGGATAGTAAACACACCACGGGGCGAAGCCTAGCACGACACCGTAGGGTTCCTTGAGCACCAGTACACCGATCCCCTGCTCTTGAGTCATGGATATGCTCCCCATGATTGCGCTGCAGCGGCCTCAAATATCCCGGAGCTCGCCAGCGGCCGTCGCGATGTCAAAGTCTGTTTAGTCCTCCGAAGCTCCCGTCCCTTGAGACTCTTGTTCTTTTAGCTGCTCGGTGCGCTCGTCAAGCAAGTCCGCTGCCTTAAGAAAGATCGCGCGACGCGTAGCGAGACGGCTTTTCGACTGATACGGGAAGATTGCTGCAGCGGCCTGCACAGTAGCGACCGCGTCGTCCTCAGATGCAGCTGAGCATGTCCACGGCGTCTGGCGAGACACGGGGGAGTTGACCGGGAATGTCGCGGATGAGAAGAAGTCTTCTCCGTTGTTCAGCAGGGGTGCAGTGAAGGCTGCCATGGACGCTTCAGTGTTATGTGCTCGACTCAGCCATCGTCTTACCTTAGCGGACCACTTATAAGGCCCGTGGGGACACTGAGCGTCCACAGCCACCCCCTCAGAACGGAGATGATCTGCTGGTGTCACCGGCTGAGAGTTTGACAGGTCAACTGACCCGTAGCGGGTTGGGGGTAGCGCATCAAGCGATTCGTTCATCCACATTCTCCGCCACCACGGCACAACCCTGCTCGGAAAACGCAGCAGGAGACAGAGAGAATGATGCATCAAACGCAGAAGAAATCAGGAATGTAGATCTGGCGTGGACTCTGAGCATCGATATCCATCCTTCCAGAATAGTCAAAGCTAGAGTGGCCTTGGGACTGTCGACCAAACAAAAGTTTGCATTTGACCAAGGGGATGGGAGAAGTCATGCTGTATCCAGGTCAGCCGTTGGCACACGATGGAATGGATATTCGTCTGCAGATAGAATAGCAGCTCGCTGCTTAATTTTTTTGAGGTGGTTTTGACCACGGGAGACTCTACATGGAGAAAGAGCCGAGATGCAGCCAGAGCAAGTGTGCAAGCCGTGCAAGATATTTGCAGCAAGTAGGACCCAGTCGAACGATGCGGACCGGTCACTGCGAGCACGCGGCAGGCTTTGATCCTGTGTATAGTTTGAACAGAGTTCAAGAGAGAGATGGGAAAGCATTGTTGCCGTTCCAGGATCACTTGTGAACTAAAACGGTCGAGATGATAAACGCAACTGTTGCGATACGAAGGCAAGAAGAATCGCAGACGCGGATTGCTTGCCACCGAAATTCTTGCCAAAGTACACTCCGTACTACTTGATTCCCATGTCGGCTGTTTCTGTCCGCGCCCAGAGGTGGTGGTAGAAACTCAAGATGGGATCGCACGCGTCAGGTCACGAAGGGGCGGGAAAACACGAGACAGCGTAACACCTGTGTGACTGCTATTCCGGGTAACATCACGTCACAAGCCGTCCTTCCATCTTCGGTCCTCACTGCCCTTCAGTCGACATGAACGTCGAAGACGATCTGGGCATAACGTACCTCGTCGAGAATGCGCAGCAGTTCTGGTCTGGTATGATTTGCGCTATACCTCAGGTGGTCTCGCCCTGCCGCCGCTGACTGCTTGTGTGCAGAGTTGGAGGATGTGCTCAATCTGCCGAAAGAGCCCCCCACGCTATCACTGCTGGACTTGACATTAAGGCGCTACACAGCGTTTTGTGCAGCCTACCATGGTCTGTGCCCCGCTCAATCATGAAATCTATTGACGTGGCAATATGCGGCTAGAACTGTACCTCCAGAGTCCTCTGCAGCTCGAGCATGCGTGCAACCTCATTGCCGAGTCCGAATTGTTCTCCTTCCACTCTGAGAGGATGTGCGAGATGCTTGGAGAAGAGTTGAGATCTGTGAGTGTCGTTGTACTCCCCCGCGCCACCTCCTAAGCTCAAGCATCCTGCTCCAAGAACACCGACCCACACTCGCAGTTGATCATGTACCACATCATGCTCTGCCACGGACGCCGCCGGTCGGATTTCTTCCGCTCGAGTAAACGATGGACGCCTCTTCTGCCTCTTCTCATGGACCACATTCTTGTTGAGATTGACCCCGAAGAGGAAGATGCCTATTTCGGGAACTCAGGGTCGTCCTCGTCGCACCATGGTTCAACATCGGTGCCGATTCCGATCGAAGCGAAGCTGCGCTCGTTGTGCATTCGACTGGTGTATGAAGTCTGTCGGGTACAGAAGTTCTCGACTCATGACCTCAGTACGTCGATCTATGTTTAGGGCCTGCACGCCTCCCTCCTCAACCCACGTCTTCAGAGATATTCGACGATAAATTTCTTGATTACCTCTTCGATCTAGTGGAGCAAACCAGGAATATGCAAGATGAAGTTTTCAATTACTCGTGCATCAAGCTTATCGTATGTCGTGTTCATGCTCGCTGTTGACGTCGCTGACGCCAGGAAAGGTTGCGCTTAACGAGCAATTCATGGTCGCATCTCTTCCTTCTGAATCGGAAAAGCACCACTCGGACAAGCATCCCTCCTCCTCCTCTGAACCCGCGAACCGGGTTCTGCGGATCTTGATGAGGAGACTGGGATCGAGCAAGACATTTGGGGAGAATATGATCTTTATGCTCAATCGTGCCGGTGCGGTCATGTCTTTGCTTGCGGAAGCAATCTAATTTATCTTAGAGCATACCCCTGAAGACTTGTGCATGCAGCTGCTCGTCTTGAAGCTGCTGTATCTGCTATTTACGACCAAAGGGACTTCGGAATACTTTTATACGAACGATCTCTGCGTGTTGGTGGATGTCTTCCTGAGAGAGCTCACGGACCTGGATGATGATAGTGAATCCGTGCGTATGACCAGCGACAATGCATGTGGCGAACAGCTGACTTTGCACTAGCTCCGGCACACCTATCTACGTGTTCTTCATCCGCTTTTGACAAAAACGCAGCTCCGAGAAATCCCGTACAAGCGGCCGCAAATCGTGCTGGCCTTGGAAGGGCTGATTTCGAATGCCGGTGTGCGGGATATCAATCCGACCACGAGACGGCTTGTGGAGCGATGCTTAAGTGGGGATTGGTGTGTCCATCTCCGCAAATCGCCTCCTGCGGAGGAAGCCAGGAGAGGCTCCAGCGAAGCATCTGCGCCCCAGTCTCATCTACACACCCCGTCGCCCCTGGATCTTCAAGGGCGCAGGAGCCTCAGGAGCAGCAAGAGTGTTGAATTTCTACCAGGAGCGGCTGCTGGCCAGCCCGCGTCTCGTTCCTCGACCGATGCTCCGAGAAGACCCAGCAACGCGAGTTCGGTCAATCTCGTGGCATCCGCAGTCCTGCCGGCTCCAGTTCGGAAAGGGAGCGCCCACTCTGGAATCGTGGATGGTTCTCACGCAAATCGACACCGGGCTCCATCAACTCACGACCCAAGCGCCAGCTCAATGACCGTTCCGTCGTCCATTGCGACGAGTTTCAGTGGATCATCCTTGCCGTCGAGCCCTGTGCATCTGCAAGTCCATGTCACTCAGCCAACGCCCCATCGTCGGACGCCACCGCCACCGCCCACGCCCAAACGACGTAAGCCTCCTGCGATACCGGTTGGCAAGGGCACGACAGTGACGACCATACGCTCATCTTCGATGACAGCCAGTCCGTTGTCGAAGACGACGTTTTGACGGGATTAGATCTACAACTTGTATCCTTCACAGACAAGGTTATTCTTTGTATGTCACTGTTTTGAGCCGCAAGAACTCCTCAATTCCCCATTGGCCATTGAACCGTCCCCACCCGCTGTTCTTGGCGCCGCCGTGAGGGAGGTTGGCCTCATCATGGACGCTCATCGAGTTGATGTGGATGGACCTGATTGATCTTTAGACTAGCTCAGGTCCATTCTGCGAATGAGACTCACCCGCATTCCAGTTGCTTTGCGACTCTGAGTCCGCGCGCCAGATCGCGTGTGAACACAGCGCCGTTCAGTCCAAAGTCGCTGTCGTTGGCAATTCTGACTGCCTCTTCCTCGTTGGCCGCCGAAATGACACTGACGCTAGGCCCGAAGCTTTCTTGGCTATACAGCGACATGTCCGCAGTCACTCCATCCACAATCAGCGGACGCAAACGAGTCCCCGAAGCAAGGCCCGTCTCCGGATGTTTCTCGTCCACTGTGTGATCGCCGTGCAGAAGTTTGGCTCCCTTGCTCAGCGCGTCTGCGACTAGAGAACGATTGCGGTCAACAGCCGCTGCCTGGACGAGGACTGGAGACAGTGCGTCGGCAGGCGAGAACTTTGCCACTGCTTGCTGCAGTGCCGGTCGGAATTTATCGATGACGGACTCCTGCACGATGATGCGCTCGGTGCTCATGCAGATTTGTCCAGAGTGCAGGAATGCGCCAACAGCGCATTGGGAGGCGGCCAACTCGAGATCCGCGTCGTCCAGCACGATAGCCGCTGCCTTGCCACCGAGTTCCATCAGACAAGGCTTGAGTGCACGACCCGCTATCGACCCGATGATAGAGCCTACTGCACTGCTTCCCGTGAAGTTGACTTTTCTCACAGCGGGGGAGTTGATAAGTTGGGTGGTGATCGCGGCGGACTCTGCGCGAGGGGTGTAGATCACGTTCAAAGCACCCTTGGGTAGCCCAGCGTCGAGGAGAATGCGCCCGATGTTGTAGAAACAGCGCGGGCTAAGTTCCGAGCCCTTGAGCACACACGTGTTCCCCGCCGCTAGCGCATAGATGACGGCACGGAATCCGAGAATATATGGTGCGTTCCTGATATTTGAATCTCGGTCAGATGCTCTTCCACCCCGGCGGATCTAAAAGCCGCAGAAACCGGACGTACCATGGGGCGATGCCCAGCACGACGCCGTACGGTTCCTTGAGCACCAGCGCCGCCGTCCCCTCATCCTGCGTCATGGGAATGCTGCCCATAATGGCACTGCACCGCCCTCCCGCATCGCGCATCTGCTCTGCCGCGGTCATGACGTTGAAGGTGCAGAAGGCGTCGGGGCTGCCCGTCTCTTGGTGCATGTGCAACTTGAGTTCTTCGCTGCGCTCGGCGATAAGATCCGCCGCCTTCAGAAACACCCTCCGTCGTTCGGCAGAGCGGGATTTCGACCATACGGGGAACGCCATTGAGGCTGCCTGCACGGCAGCGGCGGCCTGGTCCGGCGATGCTGACGAACACGACCATAATAGTTGGTGGGAGACGGGGGACTCGACGGGGAACGTCGACGAGGATGGAGACAGGACTTCTTCGCCGTTGAGGAGGAGCGGTACGGTCGTCGGCGCGGACATGGTTGGTCGTTAGCAAGTGCAATGAATGGCTTCCCTGCTTGGCAAATATAAACGCTTCGATCCGATGGGCTGATTCGATGATGAAATTCTCACTCCGACGGTTTAGTCAGTGTTACGAAGCGGTGGCCGCGAGAAGGATCCCGCTGCAATAGGAAACTTTCAGAACGTGTGTTCCACAAACTCGACCTTGCATAGGGCTTCCATCCCTCGGAAGATTCGGGTTCTTTGGATCCGGAATGGAATGCCAGTGGCGAATTCAGCGACACGATCGGTCACCCTCACGAGACCCTCGGTCACGTATACATCCATCTTATCTTATCAGCGTCAGAAGAAGAAGACGAGCTGTGATTGCCGTGGGTGGTTGGTTGGCTTTGCAGCCCTCGTTCAATGAGGTTGCGGAGAATTCATCCTGGAACCGCAAATTATAATAATGGAAGCAGGATTTGCCTCCGGACAGGGGACAAACTCGTGGTCATTCAGGGGGTGCCGTGTGCGCCGCGCGCGGGGCTGGCTGGCTCACTAGTCCGAGTAGATGGAAGCTCAGGAAATGAATCTGACATGATATCGTACATTACATACAAAGACAACCTGTAAGCATCACATGACGTAAGAGCGTTGATCGGCATGTCACGTGTTTTATTTCAGTCCGCTCTGTTCACTGAAGTCGTACAACCGTCAAGAGGCAAAGCAGGTAAATGTAAAAGCTCGAAACTCTTTGGGGCCCACTGGCTGCGGCTTCACTTGACCGCAAAGGTTCCGCAACGGAGCCATCGTCCCGCGATTAATACATATCACCGTCGGATCAATTTTGGGAATTTGATGTCCGATTTGTATCGACGCTGTCAGCGCAGCTCTCCACTCACCACCCGCAAAACAACTAGTGTCCCTGCAAGGCGGCCCTTCCCTGCCTCTCTGCCGCTTCTTCGTCCCCCTACGTGGCATGCATACCACCCCCCGATATCTGCTCCTCGTTCTCGCTATCGTTATCACTGGGCACTTCATCCTCTCTCAGACACACGAAGACTATGGCCGGGCGACGTCAATAAATCGTCTCATGGGGACGTCCAAGACGACTCCCATCCCGCCCGAATACTTCACATGGGAAAATGCGACGCTGGATGTCGCACACCGGCCCCGCGCCAATGCCACGTTCGTCGTACTGGCTCGGAACACGGATCTGGACATGACTGTGCGGTCGGTGAGGAGGATGGAGGATCGATTCAACACCCGGCACCATTATCCGTATGTGTTTCTGAATGATGAGCCCTTCTCGGCGGAGTTCAAGCGGTGCGTGGCGCTCTCATGTCTCTTCGGACGGGTTCTCATCCACGGTTGACCTGCTAGACGGCTGACTGCAGTCGTCTCGGGAAAGATCGAGTTTGGGGTGATACCAAGGGAACACTGGTGCGTCACCCTCCTTGATGTGTCAGATTCCGGCTGAAACTCGGCTCCAGGCAACAACCAGACTGGATCGACGAAACTCTGGCAGCCAAAGGCCGTGACAAACTGGTGGACGAGGGCGTGATCTACGGAGGAAGTGTCAGCTATCGAAACATGTGTCGCTTCAATTCTGGGTGAGTGACGGCGCATACGACGTCGAGCGACAAACTGCTGACTCGCATCAACAGTTTCTTCTTCAGGCATCCTCTTGTCGAAAAGTATCGATGGTACTGGCGAATTGAGCCCGATGTCCATTTCCATTGTGATATCAGATTCGACCCATTCCTATACATGCAAGATCGTAAAAAAGTCTACGGTGGGTCCGATTTCATCGTCCTTGGCGAGGGGTAACCCATTCTTAGGCTTCACTATCACGATGTACGAGTTCGAGAAGACGATTCCGACACTATGGGGTCATGTGAAAGGTATTCGTCCGTGTTCTAGATCCAGGATGTTTATCAATCGCCGTCAGATTTCATGAAACTGCACCCCGAGCACATTGCAAAAGACAATTCGCTCGGCTTCATGAGCAACGACAACGGAGAAACATACAATCTTTGCCATTTCTGGAGTAACTTCGAGATCGCCGACATGAATTTCTGGCGGGGGCCTGCTTACACAGCTTTCTTTGACTACTTGGATTCTAAAGGGGGATTCTATTACGAGGTGCGGGCGATGAGTTCTTTGCTGTTAGATGATTCCGACGTAGTTTCTCTGACAGCGGTGGGGCGATGCTCCTGTGCACTCGATCGCGGCAGGCATCTTCGCATCCAAAGATCAACTGCAGTTCTTCGAGGAGATTGGCTACGAGCACAACCCCTACACGCACTGCCCCAAGGACCCCGCTGTATGGGAAGCCAACCGCTGCGCGTGTAATCCCTCCAGCAACTTTGGTGCGTTTTTCGATCTGTGATGCACGTCAAGCTGAGACTGATGTTCCCCGCAGATTATGATGGATACTCATGCATGAAAAACTGGGAGCGCTTCAACGGACTGTGACACAGCGATGTACGCCTGCGACGTAGACAAATGTAGATGCTATATCTAATAATCGATACCACTATGTATTTGTACACAGCGCCAAGTACCTACTACAACTGGGTGAATACTCAACAAGGGTGTGCCTGGACGCTGGAGGGGGTCTGGAACAGAGCAACTTCCGCAGCGCGGCGGGTGACGAGACCCGGGAGCACCTTTCCACCAGCTTTGTTGAAGCGAGGGATCTGGGCCGCAGCGACGGTATTCGGATCCTGGCCCGCATTGAGCTGCTTGAGAAGAGTCGAGCTCTTGAGAGTGGCGCATCCGAGGTTGAACGCAAACGACGAAAGCGCGCCGACTTGGTTGTCCGTCAGAACCACGGAGCTGCTCACGGCGTTGTTGACGCAGGTCACGAACGTCGCGAGATCACGCTGCAGGAGCTGCGTCGCCGTGCTCTGGGACAGAGGGAAGCTGAAACCGACCTCGGCACACCCTTTGGTCTGGCACTTGTGGCCGAAACCGACTGTCGGGAGACCAATGGGGTCGGGGGCCGGAGATGGGACAAAGCCCTCCGCCTGTTTGATGAGCGCGATCGTGGCAGCGTTGGGCACCGCACCACCGCATGTCAGAGCACCATTCGAGGAGGAGGAGGAGCTCGGTGTGTTGCTGGATGCAGCAGATGGACTCGAAGACCCTCCGCCGGAATTCGTAGTGGCACCAGTGGGTCCAGCGCTTGCAGCAGCCGCAGTGGTGCTCGAAGAGGAATCATCGGTGCTCGTGTCGACTGTGTCCGTCGGGGTAGAGTCGGATGCAGAAGTCGCACCGGTGCTGTCGGTGGCGGCAGGATCAGTGGCCGTGCTAGCGTCGGTAGGGTCCAGGAACTGGTCGAACCCAGAACCATCGGTGGTCGAGGCATCCGTCGCTGCTGGATCCGGTGCGCCTGTGGAGTCCGTGCTGCTGGGATCGAAGAACGAGCCAAACGAGCCATCGGAAGTCGATGCGTCCGTCGCCGCGGGATCAGCAGCACCGGTCGAGTCTGTGCTGCTCGGATCGAAGAACGAGCCGAACAGCGAACTGTCGGAGGAGGATGCATCCGTAGCCGCTGGATCAGCTGCACCGGTCGTGTCGGTGCTGCTGGGATCGAAGAAAGAACCGAACAGCGAGCTGTCCGTGCTCGAGGAGTCGGTCGCTGAGGGGTCCGCTGCCGATCCCGAATCAGTCGTGTCTGTGCTGCTGGGATCCAAGAACGAACTGGATCCTGCAGATCAGAAGAAGGGTCAGAAATCTACACCGGCCGTCGAATCGAAGCAAATCTGACCGTCATCTGCTGATCCAGAGTCGGTTGAGCCTGAAGTGTCTGTCAGGAAGCATGGATTCAGATGTCGGGTTTCCATGTGAGGATATCAAGACTTACCGGTAGAGTCAGCCAGTCCAGTATCGGATGAGCTGGTATCGAATGAACTCGAATCGAATGAAGAGGGGTCAAACGTGGTTGAAGAGTCGAGCGAGCTGGTGTCGGACGAGCTGCCATCGGACGAGCTGGTGTCGTCGAAAGAGCTGGTGTCGTCAGAAGAGCTGGTGTCATCGAAGGAACTGGTGTCATCGAACGAGCTGGTGTCGTCAAAAGAGCTACCGTCGTCGAACGAGCTGGTATCATCAAACGAGCTTGAATCACCCGAATCTACACATGACAAAACCTTTCAGATCGCGACTCGAGAAGGAACGATTGCATACCATCCGAGCCAAAGTCGAAACCTTCATCTTGCCTCTTGCGCAATGCACCAGGAAGGAGGAGAACGGAGCTCAAGGAACGAGTTTCGGTACGCTTGTTCGCAGGCGCGGGTGGGATACAGTTGGCCCATCCGACACAACGCTTGTCAGAGTTGGACAAGGCGATAGGGGCAGTCTGTGCCACGGTAGCGAGGAGAAGGAGTAAGGGGAAGACGAGCATGGTGAAGTTGATACTGTGATCGGTGATTCTTGGACTGTCGTGGAGAAAAGGTCTCGTCGAGAGAAAGAAGGAAATAAGGGAATAAAGGAATGAACAACGAAGGAGAAACCGGGAAGAGCAATGATGAGGTTAGTGCTCCAGAGCACGCGCTTTTATACATGTGGGCGGTGACAAGCAGCTGTCGCGGCGCTGACTGACGGTGCACTCATGCATGCACCGGGCGGTGTAACAGGACACATCAAAGGCTCAAGAGACACCGAAATCAGGTAAGAACTAGCAGTTTGCGATTGATTTATGGCTAAGGACACGTAGAGTCTGGCAGACGGATAGACGTGATGGGAGATGGGCAGATCGAAAGCGACTTGAGGGCATTGCCCATACGATTTGGAGCCCAAGAGCGCATGGGGAGCGGTGAAACTGACTCGAAGATATACGGCATGCAGTCGTTCGGATGGGAAAGAGTTCTGGGATCTGTGAGATTGAGAATCAACAATTCGGAAGGTGATGAAGCAAGTCGTATTGAATCCTATTTGGCAGCGAGCTGATCAATCTCGTAGCTGAGGACATGTCACAAAGCTTTGCGAGTCATCTCGACATGTGATATAGCACAAGTAGTGCATGCATATGCAGGGGACTACGATTATGATGGGCATCGTGGATCTAAACCAGGAAAGTGCTAAAATCGAGGAGAGGGAGTCCATGAAAGCGTTAAAGAAGTTCCGAGTCAACGCAAATAATCCATCCATTCACTGCCGTTTGCTGCCTGCAGAAGAAGCACTGCTAGCCTGGTGACAGGTCGAGCTCTGGCTTCGTACGCTTGACAGATGCGATGCAGCAGCAATCGTCTTATATTTTCAGCGTCAGAGACGGACAGGCCAATGACCCCGGCCCACATGCTGGATGTGTCACCGCACTCTCTGCGGGGATGGTGTGACTAGACGCATTCAAAGTTCAACGTTGAGAATGATCTAGTTGCCGATGACGCGATTCGTCCACGACTTCAGTCCAGCTGCAAGTACATCGTGGCTGACCCCTTGGGGGGTGTAATGGAAGACAACTCCTGTACTAGTGTTGAAGCATCCCGTATATCAACCAGAGAACCTACTCACCCAATCGTTCGACCTCCCGGTTCCGCGACTCATCGTCGAAGAACAACTGGATTCCAGATCAGAAGGGTAGAAGTCTGGGGAGATGTCGACCCTACCATCTGCTCATATGGGATTCCCGTCTTCTTGTGTATCGCTCGAAAATGCGCAAGTTTCGAGCCAGGGTATATCTGCAGGTTATCAAAGTACTCGATAGCAGGCTTTCCGGGCTCAATACCGTCCTCCTCATCCGACTCGGGAACACGGAGGAGGTTGAGTGCTCGGAGCGCGCTGCCGTCCCATAAGCAGCTTCCCAATTATATCGGTCGATCCTGAACTCACAGATCGGGTGCGTGCGTCCTCGAGCATGCAGCCACAAAAACGCCGTCCGCTCTCAGACGGCGCAGTATCGCCCGCACGTCAGGGTAGAAATCGATCTCTGTCCCGTGGGCGTCGACAACAGCGCCCGTGTCGTCTGATGATGTGAGCGGCGGCGTGACATGGGTGTCGATCCAGAGATCCCACAGAGTGTAACTGAAGGGATGCCATTCAGTACGTCCGAAGGGCAGGGACAGAGAACGAGGACCGTGACGAACTCGCCGACAACCCACTCACTCCAGATCGAAGGCAATTATCTTCGGAAGCATGTGAAGGAAGGTATTCTTTCCAACTGACGATGCAAGAGAAACGGGTTTCTTCTCGTAGTCTATGACTTATCGCTGACTAGGACGCAGATGATCGTCACGACGGGTCTCGATCACGTGCATCCCAATCACAGCAAACAACGAAACAATGACAGGTTGATTGGACGCCATTGCATCTTAAACTTGTGCTCACCACCAACTGCAGACCTGAATGGACACGGTGTCCGTCGTATGGGCCGAAAGCTATGAGCCGACAGCGGAAATGCTGGAATCATCGAGGTCCCGAGGTCAGTCATGATCTATCCAACCCCACCCCCACGGGGCTTGGGCCCAGGTATCTACGTTGTCAACCGTGCCGAGCTGGCGCTTCTGCGATACGTGTGCAGGTGCCCTTGCGTCTCCTTGAGAAATTCTGGATTCACAGCAGATACAGCAGATACCTGGTGATCGAATTCGATCACGGCCCTCCTTTCATTCAAGTACTGGCAATACTTTACCCTGCTTGAGGCTCGCACCTTTAACAACCAGCCTTCTCGTCACGCAGGTATCCTTGATTTTCCTGGCTCGTGGGGCGATGGGTAATTCCTCACTGGCCAGCTCACAAAAAGCGGTGTGTTGGACTGGAGGCTGATTGAGCGACACAGAGTTACAATCGTAAACTCTTTCGGAGTCTTGTTGTGGTAACAGTTGTGGCAACGAATCTACATTCGACCAGTGGTAATACCTAAGATTTCGTTATCAGCTTTGCCAATGCATCAGACCGCGGATCAATTGCGTTCACCAAGTACTGACTGACTGCGCCAAATCTCAGGTTGCCACGCTTTATTGGTTCCACGCCATTTTCTTGCTCCCTCCATGTCCCCGCTTCCTCTTGAATTGTTACAACAAATTTCGAAAGACGCGCAGTGGGACGAGACTATCTTTACCCTTCGGCTGGTGTCGCGCGCCCTCAGAGACGCCGCAACCCCCATTGCCTTCCGCGAAATCGTTGTGACGGATTCTGTGAAGAGCGGGGCCGCGCTACTGTTCCTAGAGACCTGCACCTTGAGCGTGGCTCCTTTGGTGGAAAGCGTCCGCTTTGACGCGCCCGCTTCTGATAGATGGACGAGTGGGGCTTGTCCAGTATTTTGGAATCAGGATGCAGCGACTGATTTGATTTCAGGTCCCCCCGAAGAGGTAGAATCGCAAGCACGGCGAGTGGCGTTGTCGGGTGCTTTCTCGGGCCTCTCGAACTTTCCTCGCCTGAAAAGCCTGCATCTTGAATTCCACGACACTTTTCAAGAAGATGGTTCCCACGACATCCCCGAGCAGCCGACGCACTATCTTCTTCTTCAACAAGAAATTTTCGCGGCTTTGGCTTCCCGGCCTCTGTCCACTCTCAGATCTTTGACCCTCCACAATCTAATCGCCGTCCCACACGACATCTACACTCGAGACGGATTCCGAGCGCTGTTCAAATCGGCCAGGACTGTGGATATTTCTGTGATTTCTGATGTGGACTACGAGGGGGCTTACTTTCAAGATCCGCTGGTTGATTACTGGAACATCAGTGTACCCAGCATGCTGGAATATGCTGATGAGGTACGCACACTGGTGATCCGCAGTGACCAAGGCGTCGGCTCCCAGCCTGCTCTCAACGTAGCGACCCTCCGATTTCCCCGTTTAACAGCCTTGTCGCTGTACGACTTCGTTTTCGTGGATACTGCGCTGGAATACAACATGCTCTCGTTCATCGTGCAACACGGGAAAACATTGGAATCGCTCGAGCTCGCCGATTGCTCGATTGACGGGGACGAGATGATCGATTTCCCGTACCCCTGGCACGCTGTCCTGTCCCGCTTTGAAGCCGAGCTGGAGACCCTCAAACGATTCGTGTTCCAGTCAGAATCTGGTGAGGAACAGTTCTGTTATACACGACTTGATGTGGGGTTCGGTTACATGTCACTGGACGCCGAACACGAGGCGGAAGCCATTCCGCCACCAGATCTCGACTCTGCCGCTTTGGAGAGTCTACTTGCTGTAGTTCAGTCTAGACAGTAGATGATGCTCGCTCGTACTTATTGCGTATTAGTATCAGCGTGTCTCAATTCCAACAATCCTCCCACTGCTCGCTCAGCATATCAACTTTGGATCTGAGCAACGCCTGCTCATCTGACCACTGCGATCTCAGAAACTCGTTCCTCGCCAAAGCTGCATCAAAGCCCTGCACGACCCGCAACTCTCCGGCTTTGCGAGCCTCCTGAACCAAGGTTGCGGTCCGGGAGATCCGTTTCGCCTCGAATGCCTTGTAAATCGCGCGTAGAGTGGCCGTTGACGGATTTGAATTGGGGTCCGGATGGTTCTGGACAAGGATGCGGACGAGATGGAATGCATCTTCGAGTGCCTGATTCGCCCCTTGGCCGAGATGCTGCATATGGAAGGATTGACCCGAGAAAATCGATTAAGGGTAATGCAGCTTACGGGACTGGTTGGATGAGCTGCATCACCGATCAGGATCACACGATTTTTGTGCCAGGACTTCAGTTCCGGTCGGTCGTACAAGCCGAACTGCGTCTCGATGAGCGGTCGAATGATCCGGGGTAAAGCGGGGACCTAACCTTCGTAATTCTCTCCGAAGCTTGAATGAGTTTGCCGATGCCAAACGGAAGCCGAGAGAACGGTCCAGATCGGATGGACTCCTGGCAAGCAGAGTTCATGACGCGCCATGTTTCTTTCATCTCCGCTTCGCGTTGTGTGATTCTTGAACAAATGTCACGTGGCCGTGGTTGAAGTTGATTCCAAGTGACTCACCCCCATATGTATCCCGTCTCTGAAGCGGGATAGGAGATAACGTGGAGACCATCCCCAAAGAAGTTGAAAATTGTTGGCTTCTGGTCGGGAAACGCCATCGGAATGAATCCACCCATCTGCGTGATTGCGCAGTGTTCAACGACCCTGTGCGAAGTTCACGAACAGACAGAACCAACTTGTGTCAGACCGGTAAATGTAGGGGCGTCTCTTCCAAACAGTGCAGTGCGGACCACACTGTGCAGTCCGTCACAGCCGACCACAAAACTGGCCGAGTCACATTGCCCATTGTCAAAATGGACTGTCGCGCACTGATCAGATTGTGTCACGTGGACAACGCTCATGTTGTAGTGGATAGGTATCCCATGGGCAGCCGCCGTCGAGGCCAAAAGTGCAAGAAAACGCGGCCTGTGGACACCCATCATTCCAAATCCGTATCTCTTACGGACCATTGCAGGGAACGAGGAGCGGCATAGAACGCCCTCTTCTGTTGGGACAATGGACAAATTCGCAGCTTCTTCGACCACCCTTCCAGGGAGCTGCTCAATGATGCCAGGAATCAGCGACAAGATGCGTAAGCCGTTCAACTGCAGCCTATTCGCTCGCGATTAGCAGGGTCAGAACAGAGGTGGGGCAATTGAAACACACAGAACGCTCAATCCTCCGTCGGCATCCTGCTCTCGCCGCTCGTAAATCACCGGCTGATATCCTCTCTGCTTGAGGAGGAGGGCAAGAACAGGGGCAGCGATCCCACATCCGACCAGAATAACCTTGGACATGGCCGTTGGAGTGGGAGAAGAACTGGTGTCATTCCATACGCCAGACGCCGCGTTTTATGCTATGTCCGTCGTCAGCCCACGCTCAAAAGTTGATTAAGATTCTTCGGTCGGTAGCATGTGCATCAGAATTTCAAATCGATTATCGAAGGTCATTCAACGTCTGACTGGAGATAAAACTGCCTAGCCCGGATCGATTACCACTTCTCGTGAGCAGGACGGACTAAGAAGGTCAAAGTTTAGACACTGAGAAGCGAATTACACTGTCGACGCTCACGATCAAGCTCCCATGTCCACGAAGATTGATCCTGGCGGACAAGATAGATGTACGACTGGGCACAAGATGAGCGGATCAAAACAAACATTACGATCGGATGCCTTGCCTTCGCGATGCTCTCTGGACTCAGCTTGGATGATGGGTCTGGATTCTCGACCGGCCCACTCGGAGGAGTGTGCCTATCTTCGCGCGAGTTGTTGGTGGCAATGCCTGGAACCCTAAGCCGGAGAGGATAGTACATTACGGCTTCTCACGCACCGCCGTCGATGATAGCCTGACAGGGATCAATCGGAGGGGCAGGTAACATGCTGAGACAGACTCACATGTGCGACCTGGACAACTCAATACCTGTTTGACACATTTGATGGGCAGTTCGAAACTCACATGGATGTTCTGCTTCCCGAATTCCTTTGCCAAACTTTGGGACAAGGCCCGCAAAGCAAATTTGCCTGCTGAGAAAACACTTGTCACGACATTCCCTCGCAGACTTGCAGTAGCTCCCGTGAAGATCAAGGTTCCTTTGGCGCCATTCGATGCTTCAGGAGTGTTCTTCTGGAAAGCGAGGATAGCGGAGCGCGAAAACGCAAACGAAGATTCGACGTTGATTTGGTTGGATGCACGGATGTCCTCCAGCGTGACATTCAGGAAAGGCTTCCAAACACCATGGGCAGCGTTGAAGATGGCAGCGCGGATACTGTAATCAGGAGTCGAAAACTGTTTCTCGATGGCAGAGAAGGCCGAGGAGATCTCATGATCGCTGTACTCGGAGACTGGGAATGCACTGGCCTATCGCAAGGACCAACATGGAGCCGGCTGCTCGGAGTGTGTACAAGATAAGCGTACCTGTCCCCCAGAACTCTTGATTGACTGCACAAGCGCATTGAGGGAATCCGCCCCACGGGAAATGAGGGCCACAGTATAACCTTCGCTTGCGAACAATCGCCTGCAGGGATCCTGTAATCAGCGCAGACCATCGACGTGAAACGGTAAAGTACGCTGCTGCAGCACCAGTCCCCGAACCGTTCCCGATTCCTCGGCAAATGAACTTCGTGTGAAGATACAGTGAGAGCGCGAGGCTCACCTGCGACGACGACTATTGATCCCATGACCTTGCTTTGGGAGCTTCAAGATTTTCGTTGATCTGGATGTTATCTCGGCCTGCGCGTCGAGTGAAAGGGACTATTTGAGCCCGATGTGGCATGAGTAAGCCAGCCAGGAAGACCGCCGGGTCACCGCTCCGAATATACATTCAAGTTGTACTAAGTATGGTGGTATATCACGCGATCCCAGTGATAGGAGGCTCTGATGCCGTCAAATTCAGGCGCTTTCAACGCGTCCATCTCCTCAGCCTCACTTGGCTCTGCAGTTTGCCCAAACAACTGACAGAAGATTCGGGAAGCTGGAATCCAAAAGAGACTGGTCTAGCTCTACCCGATATTTATGGCTACTTCAAGCACGACGACAATGTTCACCATGTGCCGAACAGTCGCAAATGTGTGGGATTTGGGGCTATCCTGCTGCTACTAATCGCCGAGATTAGCTGGCTAGTAGGACGATTTCTCCCCCTCCGACATGAGTTGGGCGAAAGGCGCGCCACACAGCGCAGCTGCCCTTTCACTTCAGGATCCACTGCTTGATCTTTGTGACGACCTTCGCATGCAGAATCTGTGGGCCACGTGCCCTAGAATGGACATTTCGCTCTCTTTTTCCTTGTGCAAACCTCTTTGAATCTTTCCTATCCACTTTCAAGCTCCACGACTAGTGAGGACGAGCAGGGCGGATCGTGCGCTTACTGTATAATGCGTTCAACTGGATCCGACCTGTTCTCAGACTGCGCAGCCGAGATCAAGTAGAGAGCGACAAGAGCGGCACGGTGCGGCACGTACGGGATGCACGAGGATGTTGCTGGAGAATGGATCCATCCATCTGATGCTTCGGCTCCACTACTCAAGGGAAATCCCCACGCATGCTGAGCCTAGACTGGGTATCTGCCCGACGCTGAGAATATGATGACTATTTTCCCACATCGATTCTCGTCCAGTTGTAATTTTGTTCAACACTCGTGCTTGGTTGGGTTGGCAGTGCGAAAGTTCATTCTATTCGTCCTGTCGTCAGTCGGCCGACGTTGCTATGATTGCCATGCACAACGGGGACCATACTGGGTGTTCCCTGGTGTTCCTCGGCGAGTAGAGCTCATGAGCGTTCTGGAAAGATGATGATCAGTGGATAATCACACTGCGAAGTGTGATGCAGCCAATGAAACCGATTGAAACCGTCCGAGATGGGCAAGAGCAGACCACGGGATCGGTATGAGCGATTTCACCCTTGCAGCCGGCGGCGCTGGGCAAAAACGGACCCTTCTCCCACTCACTGCCGTCAAAGAGCCTGATGGTCGGTCGTCTCACGTGATCCGCTTGAGACGGGTGCAAGCTTCTGTTCCCGTCTGGCAGTGTACATCAACTCTTCCTTTCCTGCGCTACGTGCATCTCTCTGGCCATTCCCAGGGCTCGCAACACGACGTCGATACGCCCGCTTACGCTCATTCAATACCCACGTCAACGATACCATTACCCTACGTCTACGCTATCACCAACCTAAATGCCTCCCGGGTCTTCCCTTTTTCTCGGCCTCGAGCTGGCGGTAGACCAGCTACGCGCCTCGATCGTAGATGAGAGTTTGGACCTCGTTGGTGTCGAATGTGTTGACTTCGACACGGAGCTTGCGGAGTACCAGTGCGATCATTCGTTTTCGCGCCATCGATTGTCGCTCTGACGTCCCCGTGCCCAGGACCCAGGGCGGGATCTTTACGACCCCCGGCGACGCCTACACGACTCCGGTGGAGATGTGGCTCAAGGCGCTTGGTCAGTCCTGGAAGCCGCCCTTTTTTCCGTTGTCTCACAATTTGCTTCCGTCCCACGTGTTCCTTCGATCAAACAGATACTCTCCTTGAGAAGCTTCAGCGCAACTACGACCTTGGCCGGATAAAAACCATCGGAGGATCGGCACAGCACGCCCTCGTTTGGTGGAAATCGACTACTGTCCCCTCGCTTTCTTCCCTGGACCCGCACACTCCATTCGTCGCTCACTTCTCTTCGGCTCATTTTTCGCTCCCCAACACTCCTGTCGCCCAAGATATCTCGTCTCACACTCATGCTCTTGCCATTGAGGGTATGGTTGGCGGTGCCGATCACATGGCCGCCCGCGTAGGAGGCGCCTCGAATCCCTCGAACATCTGCGGTCAGCTCTTGCGCATTCGCGAAACCTGGCCGCAAGACGTTTGGGCTCGCACTGGCCGGGTCCAGCTTGCCTCGGCATTTATGGCGTCTCTTATCAGCGGCAAGTGGATGCCGATGGCGGAGACCGAAGCTTGTGCCTCTGGGATGTGGTCACACTCCACGGGCAGCTGGGATGAGGGCATTCTTGATATAGTCGGTGGCTCCCGGGAAGAGGGGCGCCGAGTCCGGGGTTGGCTTGGTGAAGTGGACACGACGAGTGGCGGACGACGTGCTGGAAACGTCGCTCGTTATCTTGTGGAGCGTTATGGCTTTGATCCAGAGACCGCAGTCACGCAATTTACGAACGATGGACTGGCTGCCTACCTGTCTCTGTTGCCGGCACCCTCGGATGCGGTACTGCAGTTCGGTCCCATGGATGTCATGATGGCCCCCGCACAGCACTACATCGCCACTCGGTTGTACTCTCTGTTCCCACATCCGGCTCAGGATGCCAACGAGAAGCGTCGATACATCGCCGTTCTGACTAACCGCAATGCGGATGTACCCAGAGCACTGGTTCGGGATATGTATACTAAAAGTTGGAGTGCATTTGACCGCTTGGTAGCGATCGTGCCCCCAGGGGGATCGATTGGGTGTGTAAACTGTTTTATCCTTTCTTGACGTGGCTGAAACATTCCCTTGCCCAGTCTGGACGACAAACTCTTCTCCTTCTGGCATCTGCAGGGCGATGCGCATCCGTTTTCACATGTAAAGGGCATATACCGCTTCGAGACGGGGACGAAAGTGAACGAGTTCCGGGACTTGCGGGCCAATCCGCGCTGTTTGTTGGAGTCCCAAGTGCTGTCCCTGCGAGTCAAGTACGCGAAGATGATGGCAACCGGCGTGCTTGCTCGCAGTGCTGCTCGTAACGGGGTACCGAGACCCCCTCCCCCGGCTTCTAGTGCGCTGGGGGTGAGCTTCGATCCCTATGATCCTACACCATTACCTGGTCGTATCATCGCCACCGGAGCTGCCGCCAATTTCCCCAGTGTGGCGAATCTCGTTTGCGACGTGTTCAATGCCCCTGTATATGTTCCCACAACGCAAATCGCATCGGCGCAGACCTCTCCCCACCGTAATGCACCTGCTCCAGGCTGTCCGTCACGTGCGTCCCTTGGATCTGCTTATGTCGCTCGATGGATCTGGGGTCGAGAATGGGGTGTCGGTGCTGGAAGCAGTGGCTATGCATTCGAGGAAGAGATTCGGCGGCTGATGAGTAAACGATACCAAACGTCTGGAGCCCCTCGACCGAGCTTGAATGTCCCCCGGGCCCCGGGCACAGCACCAGGCAGCGGAGCTAGCACGCCTTTCAACCGTCCGCCGCCTGCCCTCGCACCCAATGCACTGGTCGAGGAAGATGAAGACGAAGAAAACGAGCCGGATTCCCGTAACTTGCGCTTGCCCGTGTTTGGTGGCGGATACAATGACGGCCTGACACCCAGCTCCAGCACCAACAGCATGGGCGTATCGTCCATCGCAACCGCATCCACAGCTCACACATCTCCCGATCCCAATCTGGGCCTGCTCAGCCCTGCGATCGGGTCCAACGGTGCAGCAACTGGAACTCCCACGACGCCAACTCCCTTGACGCCTGTTGCGCCGATGCCAACCGCCGAATCCGAAGCCCAGGTAGGGCTCGCAAAAGTCGCCGAGGCCGATTACGATGCGTTCTTGGCCTATGCTGCCATCGTCCCAGAGTACTGTCGACTGGAAAACATGCTAATCAAGGGCATCGTATGATGTCTTTGATGACTGACTTGCTGACGAATTGCTTTGCGTTGAAATCTCTTCGCTGTCGAGCTTTTAAATTCATCCATTCTATTCATCTTTCTTCGTCACTTTGCAACCTGTACATATACAATATACGCACAAGTAGTAGTACCGCGGGCTTGATTTCTGTAAAAGTATCTAATCGGGGCGGGAGTGATTTTCTTTGGCATTAGCCACCTTCACCTTCATCACTCATCCTCGTTCTTTGCACTAATCCACGTAACATATACCAGTATATACAACTCCAGATAAGAGCGGGATCTGACTTGTGATTCAGCAGGTCACGAGCCTCCATCAATCTTGACTTTGTCCTGGTCGACTAGAACGCGTGCGAAGCTCGGATCGAAAGTACTGTGCTGGGCGCCGTCATTTACCACCTAGCTCGTCTTCCACTCATGTCCAGGAGTCCGTCGCCTAAACGAGTCAAACTTGAATCTTCACCTGTAGCAATCAAACTCGAAGACCTCCAGGACGCACCGCCCCAGCATGCATACGATGAAGACGACGAGGACGACGGAGAGCGATGCAGCATATGTTTGCAAGGGATGCTAGACCGGACTGTCATTCCCACTTGCGCCCACGAGTTCTGTTTCGACTGCCTGCTCATTTGGACTGGTATGTTCTTGGAACTTTCCGAAATCCCATATACGGGGCCCTGACATAACTTTAGGCCAGTCCAGAAGATGCCCGTTATGCTCACAAACGATCGGCGACTTTCTGATACACAAGATTCGATCCCGCTACGACTACCAGAAGCACTTCTTGGCACCGTTGAGGACTTCACCGGCACCGCTCCTTCCGCTGTCACGGCTCCCGGGACGACCTCGACGGCGGCGTGTGAGGGAACGAGAATGGGGCAGGCGGGAGCCGACGGAGCAAGATGAGGCGGACAGGTTGGACAGAGCGATCTCTCAACGACGGTGGATCTATGAGCACGGGCTCTATGCGAAAGTCCGTTGGTGCACTTAATTGAGATGGCCTTTTGGACTGACTCTCGGCAAGCACGTTGCGTCCAATGCTTATACGCGATATCGCCCTTACCCGACGCCATCTCAGTTCGCTGGGTCGACAGAACTCATTTCGCGTACAACTATGTTCCTCCGGCGAGAGCTCCAAGTCTGGATGAATCTGGACGTCGAGGTCAGTGAGATTGACGCACGTTGCGGACGTGATAATTAACAAGTCCTTTTGTAGTTCCTGACGAATTTCGTTATTTCGATTATGAAAGCCATAGACATCCGCTCCGAATCGGCGGTGAAGCTGCTCTCCGAGTTTCTCGATCTCGATACGATTTACGTGGAAGGAAGTCGACACCCCAATGCTGAGCATTTCGCACACGGTGCGTTGTCCTATGACATGAATCTGCTGGTTATAGAAGGCTGAATGAGTTGGCAGAGGTCTATTCCTATGTCCGATCGCCCTACAAGGATTTATTCATATACGACACGGTTGTCCAGGTGTGTTGCACAGCTTAGATTCCATTTTGCTCTCGGCATTTACTGATTCAGACTCAATTGCAGTATGAAAACAGTCCAGACCGCCATGCTCCACATGTGGAAGAGCCGTTGAGGAGAACGAGGTGGCGCGAATCCAGCCCACGCAGTCCGAAGCCACCACTGCCTCGAGCTAGTTCACGCTCCAGATCTCCCCCGCCAAAACGCGTTCCACGGGAGAAAGCGCGTGAGAGAGAACCGGATGAACATACGTCTGGAGGTTCCAGCGGGCTACATCTGTCAGAGACTCAGGTCCCTACTGACAAGTGCCGTGATGATGAAGAAGATATATCAATTGCCCGCAGGGAGGATGCAGATAAATCCAAATCTCCGGCTCATATCATCGACGCCGCGATCACTCGGAAAGCCGAAGCATCGCATGACGATTCACGCCCCAAAAAGACCCATCGAATCAAGCACCGCAATTTATTGGAGAGCGTGCAGGCTCATCTATCAAGTGATCGCACAGCCAAACGGGACTATCCGTCGCGACTCGATGAGCTGCGTGGAGATGACGACCTCGAGACGCCGCCCACAGAGAAGCAGCACGACACTGGCCACGTGGAGGATCCCGCACTACCGGGCGATCAGGCCAAGATCGTTCCCCCGTTACCTTCAGGTGCGCTTCTGTGCATCTGGCAAGATTTAATGACGAAACAAGGTTCAGAGCCGGATGGCAACGAAGTCGCTGCCGGAAATGACCGTCTCGGCCGACGTGCACAGCTGCTACAGCGCCTGTTGGAGGAACGCAGCACGGGAGGGAAGACCGCTTCCGAAATAGATGTCGTCGAGGCTCGGCTTCGACGACAAACGCAGCTACGAGTTCGATTGGCTGCTGAAAAGCAGGCTTCACGTTGTAGTTAGCAAACATTGCTGAAGGATCTGGAGAAGCCACGTTGAAAAAAGGGTTGACTTTTGTGAGAATTGCAAATTGGTCTACGGCCAGAAAACACAACAAGTAGGTCACTGAGTAAATAACTGTAATAACTGTAGGCTATTGATACGAAGATGGCAGGCAAACTACTACAAGGAGCGAATGATGATAGCCAAGTGTTAATACATTTCCGAAGCGCGGTTAAGTAGGAGAAAACGGAGAATATTAGGTCATTAGCGTCAGTAAGGTAGCTCTGGTACAAAGGAGAGGACGTGACTGTTCAGACAACAGAAAAGAGAGTGAGACCGTCTTGGAGGACGTGACAAGGGTCGTGAGTGACATGCATTAAGCAGGAGGAGCCCCCGAGCTGGGGCCAGGGCTGTTGCCAGACGTCGGAGAGTAGGGCACAAACATGGCTCGCACGGGATCATAGCGGCCAGTGTGATACGCCCGGGAGGTCTCTGTCCGGGGCGTCTCATCGCGCGGTGTGTCTTCCCGGATCATCTCTGACTCGGATTCGAAAGCAAAGCTCGACGGGGGCGACGACGAGCTGTCGCGCGCCGAGACGGAGCCGCGGGAGAGCGATGAGTGCGCGTGGGACGAGGAGCTGTCCCACTGCGGCGCCGGCTGCAGAGTAAATGGCGGCGGCAGCCCGAGAGATGAGGAGTACGGCCGATGGCCATAATAGGCAAAGGTCGGCGAGGGAGACGGGGACGTCGGGAATGTGGCGTTGGACGGGGTCGTTGGCGCTGAACGTGCAAACATAGACATGGACAAAGGCGGGATGGGGCGGCCACGAGTCATCTCGCTCAAAGGGGGAAGAATGCGGGACGGGTCGTGCCGAATGGAGAAGGATCCCTCTGGGCTGCCGGGCTCCAGGGAGGGCAGCGAACGGCTCGTAAAAGGCGCTGGAGGCAGGTCGCGGTGATGTGGCACGCTCGGGATTCTAAGAATAGGCCGGCCGCGGGAGACAGCTGAAGTGGATCGCCCAGGAATTCCGGGGCCGGCTAGCTGCGGCGGCATTTCGCTCGAATAACTGCCGAAACCGGAAGATGAAGGTCGCGTGTCGGCAGGCAAGACGTGCGATGACGAGCTAGCGTATGGTGCAGAGGGATTCGGGAATGGGCTGAACTGCTGCGAGTTTGAACCCTGCGGAGTGGCTTCGGGCTGAGCGCCCGGTCGACGCGCCTTTTGGCGCTGATTCTGCAAAGCTTGATCAGTATTCGATTGCATCACCGCTACCTGCGACGTACTTGGAACCAGATCTACGGAGGCTTGTCAGTGAAGGATCAAGGATTGACCACGCAGCAACTGCCACATACCTGGACTTTGCGGGCACTGAGACCGATCGAACGACCGACTTCTTCGCGAACAGCTGTAGTTGGGAAGCGAGACTGGCACACATCAAGTCAGCACGAGACCAATCGCAGAAGATGTCAAGCTGACCTGCGCGAGCAGAGCATGAAGAACGGCAGATTGATGGGGAGTGGTCAGTGTCCGGGTGCGCTTCTTCTTGGTGGGGGCAACCGGCTCCTGCGAAGTAGTCGTTTCGGGACTATCCGCATCCGCAGCCGTTTCCCCTTGGGAATCAGAAGAGCGCGAGCGAGATGGGCGTTCAGGGGAGTGGCGACGCATTCGTTTAGCCATGCGAGTAGAGTTGTCGGGGGAGGGACGTCGAGCGCGCGGTTCGTCGGAGGGTACACGTGAATGAAAGTGAGCAGCAACGTCAGCCGCACCAGGTCGATCTTCAATGGGAGATCTCGACGCGTGAGGGGGTGATGCGGGAGAGGTAACCACAGCAGTGTTACTGGGATCGTCGAGGGAGATTCGTGAAGGACCCGGGGAAGAGGGAGAGCTATTAGTAGGGCGGATGTAGATATTATGGGGTGTCGGAGTAACTGAGCGGGATTTAGACATGCAGCGAAGGGTGGCAGAAACAAGCGGTGCTGGATTGGACGCAAACGCACAGTCAATGCATGAACAGGCCCGAACACATGCAGCGGGGAGGAATCGGAAGAGAGAAGGTGGTGGTTGAAAAGAGAGAAGCAACCTGAGAGATACCACTTGACATTCCGTTAAATTCGTGAGAGCAACCAAACCAATGACTCCGCGTAGCCTGTTGTCGAATTGCAACCGCCAAACCTAGCGATGTCCCGAATTGGAAACTGTCTGTTGTCCCGATACATTCGGTCCGACGCGTGGAACACGATCGGGAGATTTGACATCGGAATTAAAGTTCAAACTTCGCGGACAGTCTCCGCAGGTGTCTCCGTTGTCCGTTTCGAGTTCAGCGGATGATCGACATTGCATTATCTGTTGCTCTTGCGCTGTAGAGGCACAGCCCGGCCTGCGGCCGTACCTTGTGCTCTTCGGCGGGCATTGTTGATTCATAAAGCGACCTTGGAGACCGATGCGCACATGATGATGATTCGGGTAAAGGAAAATCTGGCAACGAACACTCATCAGGAAAGTGATCGTCGTCACAGCGCGTGACCTACCATACCCATATCGGTCATTGCCGGAGGCCGGCAGACTTGCCCGAAGGAAATGTGGACAGGGAAGGGCGGCGTTAATTTCTTTCATTTTCGTTCATTTTCGCGCGGAGTTCCGTTGTCAATTGAAAGTCTCGAGGTCAATTAAGTGCGGCCCCCGCACGAGATCCTCATTTTCCGTTGGACATTTGCAAAAGACGCTGATCCGTCCGCTTGCGATCGAGTCCATGGCCGTCTAAAGTACGAACCGTCCACGTTTCTGGCTGAGTACCACCGAGACTCCCTGCTTGCAACGGGAACCGGGGAAGTGGCCTGCACGTCGCTGAGTGACCCCCCGAGATGCCCGGTGCAGAAGATCTTGCGTGTTGGTTGGACTGAGGCTAGACTGAAGCGGTTGCAACCAATATGTTCGGAGGAGACGACCGGATTCCATTTAGATGGAGGAAATTCTGTGGTTGGGATCTTCGGAACCTTCTTAGACGACGATGGGAACGTCGACGTCAGCGGTCGTCATGTCCAGAGATGCGCGCTCTTAACTCTCGAGTTGCTGAGCATCGGCTTCGGCAGAGAAACGGCAACGCGAGATCAGGTTCCTGATCAGAAGGATCAGGATGGCGGTTGTGGGCCTTTGTGGGCCTGTGTTAACGTCGCCCTGTGGCGCTGGACGACGCGTCGGGCCCCGCCGCTGCGCAGTGAAAAATAGAACAGAGATTTACACTCCATTCGAAAGCACCTCTCCGCCGGTTTCTCTCAGCACCAGGTCTCAAAATTATGCCGAAACCGATTGGAAACTTTCGCCCGGTAGACTTGGAGCTGGCTTACAAATTCGAAAGCTGCCAAGTAAACGCACGCACATGAATTTGCTTGTTAGCCAAGACGGTCAGTTCGGGAGCCGGAGAACCAAAGTTCTGAGTACCGATGGCCGACGTCGCGACGCTGTGATGTGTCACGGAGTCACAGCCATAGGTACTCATCATTTGTCATCACACCACGGTCAGTGGCTTTGCGCGCACAACTTGCACGAGCGACAATCCAGGCTAAATGCGCTCTTCAGTACATGGAAGATTATGTGTCCGACTCGTACGACAGCCAATCAGACTCTCCTCACCCTTCTGAGCCGGTAGTACCCCTGCCCAAACTCAAGCTCGTTCTACCTCCACTCAAGGATCTGAAGCGATCCGCCAAAAAGTCCAAGTCCAAGTCCAAGAAGGGGCCCTTTGCGTATTCAGAGTATGGAGATTCTCCTGCCCAGCAGAAAGTGCCCCGGCCCGTGAAATTGAAGCCTCTGAAAGAAGTTTTGAGTCGCCTCATAGTGTTGCTGAAGAAGTATGTCGCTCCTATCCTCGTCGTCCTCCTGATAGACGATGGAATAGGAAGGATGACTATGCGTTTTTCCTCAAGCCTGTAGACCCAAACAACGTTCCCGGCTACCTCGATGTCGTCAAGCGGCCAATGGATCTAGGAACCATGGGTGTTAAGGTCGAGAAGGGGAGATATCGCTCACTAGATGATTTCGCCGTAAGTCACGCGTTCTGCTCCAGTTGGATCCTCAGTCCAGCCCACACATGCTTGTAGAACGATCTTAAGCTGGTCACATCCAACGCCAAAGCGTTCAATCCCGAAGGCACGATCTACCACACCGAAGCCGATCGTCTCGAAACATGGGGCTTGGATCAGATCAGCAAAGCGGCTTCGACTGTGATACAGTACGAGACAGACTGGAATATGGATGGGGACAATGAAGGAATTGAGGACGATGCGGATGATTACTCTCTGGCCGTCGACGCACCCCAAGACGTCGAGACACGCAGTCGTTCCCCTTCCTTGTCGCTCGGGACTTCTCGCCTCAATATGCTCCGAAGGGGCCCCAGAGGACCGTACAATAAGAAAGAGAACGCGGTCACTGTGGCCGAAACCATAGATGCCGAAGGACGATTACCCGGCTCAAAGGACGGGCTTGGGGCATTCCCACCTAATTCTGATCTAGCCAGGACTATGCTGATGTTGAAGCACAAAGGTGAGGAGTGTTTGTCTATCGGATCTGACTTTTCATTGTTCTTCAGGCAAGCGGTACAAGACGAAGAAGGAACGACTGCGTTTCGAGAAAGACGGACCGCCGTTCCGCAACGACGGGAGTCTCGACTACACTGAAGTGGAGGACCCATTCTCTTACTTCTCTGGCCTTGTGCCCGAGCCTCTCACCCGCCCTCAACTCGTGCCATTATACCATTCACAGCCCGTGCCCGTCTCGAACGTGCCCACGCTTCTACGGGAAGCGACCGCCACCCCAAGCCCCGCCGGTCCATCATATCCGATGCCCACCATGTTCCCGTCGTCTGCGCAACTCCCCCAACCAGCTGCCTCCACGTCAGACAAGCATTGGTCTGTCCTCCGCGGTGGTGTTCCACGCCGATTGAAGGAAGAGTCCGGGACGAACACCGAGGACCTCGAAGAACACGCCCGCGAGCCACATGCGCTCGATTTTGGCTCCTTGGCCGTCTTGGCGGGCGAACTCGCGGCCGAAATGCGTCGTCGCGGTGAATTTCTGCCGGAGGCGATTGAGGAAGCAGACGTTCTGCAGAAGACGGCAGTCAGGCTGAGCCTACAGATACCCCCAACAGCTGCGCAGCCGGATGATGATTACTGGAGTGTCTCGCATGCTCACGACGCGGAGACTTACATTCGGGATGTGGTATACGGCGGTCTCGATGGCCTCGCTTATGCCCGCAGTCTGGCTGAATTCGTATCCACTCCCGCACTAGATTGCGATTCGCCAGCGACGCCAGATTCGCGCCCCTTAGGAATGAGTCTGCCGACTTGGGTTTCGCGGAACGTGCTGGACCCGCTGACCGGCGGCCGCCACGCTCTTCTGCAGCAGACTGCAATGCAACTGAAGTCTGCTTCATGTGTGGTGGATGAGGACGACAGCAAACTGCCGGCGCTGGTCGCGGCTGCTGTCCAGGTTCGACCACAGGCTGCTTCGTCTCTTGCGGCTCTGCGCCAGATCCAGACATATCAGATCGACATGGGCGCCCTGCTGCAGTCTGCAGAGGATATGACACACAGCGAAAAGGAATGGGAAGGCCACGGACTCGAGCCGGACAAGGTCGATCTGAATGCTGTGCTCGACTACGTCGCCGACGCACTCTATCTGCTGCAAGCCGAGCAGGACGGCCACATCAAACTCGAGCCGGATGTGAACATGGACACGGGCGAGAGTGCCGTTCTCCGCAATCTGCGACTGAACTTGCTGGAGCTGGCCAAAAGGGCCCCTGTAGACACACTGGCGAGACTTCCGGGCTCAGATCTCGTGCCGGAATTGTATCGGCCGTTTGTACCCACCCTGAGTACTTGAGTCTTGTAATGTGGTGTATGTATGTCTTGGGTGATCATGGATTGTTGATGGTCACGGGATCGCGTCTGATCGCCTTGGCGCGGTTGTCTACGTGACCTTGACTGCGCCCAGCCGTCTCAGACGCTTGACTTGCCTCTGATGCAATGCATTCTCGAATTCGATATCCACGCGCGCTCTCATGCTGCTATATCCCCGAGTCCTTGATAGCCATTTTCCCAGCAGACCCGCCACTGTGGCACGGCGTTGCAACAGATGTCTCACCGGACACTGAAGCGGGATGGAGTCTGTCGCCACGCAGGCCGCCCGAGGTTGATCCTGACTGGTGCTTGGACTCTCGCTGGTCATCTCCGTGTCCTGTCTCGGAGGGATCGCCGTGTACTGAGACTCGACCAAAAGCGATCCACCCCTCCTATACTCAGCCCCTCCTCGAGTCTGCTATAAATACGACGCGTCCTCAACTAGAGAAGACACGCTCGTCGACAGCTGGACGCTCGTCTCCTTGTTTCCTCCCGCTGGCTGCGCTACCTTGATGGGAGAGTGCTTAGGCTTTGGTAGACGCGTGGACCCAGCCTCTGATTAGCGCTTGGGCTTGGACCGTCCCTAGTGATGCGAGGGCTTCCTTGTCGCGAGGCAGAGGGTGAATCGGCTGCGTGCTCGCTCCATTACCGTGAGGCGCATTGCACCAACCGCTCCCACTCGGACTCGGCACAGTCTTCGTCAGGCGACTCCCATGGAACGATGTCGGATCAGCTTCGATGCGGCGGGTGCCCTCTCGTACGTCCTCTCTTCTGCATCTCCTGCGCTCTCTTGGCTGACCGCGCGCTGCACAGCTTGCGATGGTAGGTGGTCGCTCGGTTAGGAGGACAGCGGGCCCCTTGATGAGAGAGTGCTTGGGCATTGGTAGACGCGCAGACCCAGCCTCTGATTAGCGCTTGGGCTTGGACCGTCCCTAGTGATGCGAGGGCTTCCTTGTCGCGAGCCAGAGGGTGAATCGGCTGCGTGCTCGCTCCATTGCCGCGATGCGCATTGCACCAACCGCTCTCACTCGGGTCCACCCGCTGGACAGGCCTACAAAGACCCCCGGCTCCTGCAGATCACGTGCCACATTGATCGGCGGCGGGTTCGATTCAGGCCGCGTGGCGCGCACCTCAAACAAGCGGGATAAATATGTTCAATCCATGAACATTGTATAGATATTTGTATCTTTATAAATGCATTGACTTTTCCTTTTCTCTTTGTGAATGTGAATGTGGCTACCTGCTTGCTCAATCAAGGATAAAGCAGGCTCCAGAGCCTTAGCCAGGCCAGGTGCCATACCATTCAAAGTGCTTCGAAGCAGCGCTTAAGGTTTGCTTTGCGCTCCTTGGAGAAATAGAACTTGAATGAGATTATATAAGTGACTGTGTCCAAACCGAATGAAATTGACTGACTCACTCTCCAGTTCCACCTTCATCATCAAAGTCCCAAGCCCGAATATCATCATTAGGAGATGGGGGCCGTGAGCAAGAAAAAGATGTTTATAATAGGTATCAGTGAGCCCTGATGATGTCGGAGGACATCGATTCGCTCAGCCGAAGCAAATCCCAGAACAAAAATCCACTCACTCAGCCTTGAACCAAAGACCATTCAATTGAAAAATACGCACCCATAACTACTAGACCATAAAGCATCAGACAATAAATCTTGGAGTTTTTCCAGACCTCCCCGGAACGCTACACAATAACTAGGGACGCCGCACAATAATATATGCAACCAGTTAAATAAAATGCACTGTGAGAATCGAACTCGTGCCGCATCAATTGAGCATGTGATCTGCAGGAGCCGGGGGTCTTTGTGGGCAAATCCTGAAGATCTCGGCGGAAGAGATGCGGATCTGGCCCCAGCCTTGCCGAATCAGAGTCTCGATACTCGTCCCGTAGATGTACTCCCGAAAGCCTGACCAACGGATCGCAGCAGCGCACTGGAATATCTCAGTTTTCCTGCAAGCTCGCTGACAAGATGAGCTTTGAGCACCATGGGACAGCTCTCCGCATTTGTATACAGGCTCAGCGAGGCGAAGGCCTTCGTAGCTTCTGCTGGGGCCAGCTTGTAAGGACCGGCAGGATCTGTGAGGATCTTGGAGCAGTTCCGTATGGCCGCCATCTCTCCTGCCTCGCGTTCGCGGTCAGAACATTCGTCGACGGTGGCACCGGAAACACACCGTGCATGGTGGGATCCCCAGTCTCGCGCCCACTGTCTACCCGGTGCAGACCAGCTCGCCCATTCCCGGCAGGGTGTGGTTCACAATCACACTCGAAAAGGCGGCGAAGGGGCAGGGAGAGCCGGACTGCAACAGCACTTCGTTCGTCCGTCGCATCTAGTGGGCCCGGGTGCTGAAAGGCACAGAGTTGATGGCCAGAGTCGGAGACACAAGCACGATCTGGAGCGACTGGTGCGCGCGAGACGGATCACATTGCACGAGTAGGCTGGAGAAGAGCAAAACAGCGCGCTTCCAGCTCTTGGGAGTCATGGCGCGTGATGGAGTCGATAAGCGCCAACTCCTCTGTCGCGTAGCTTTATATCGTCGGCAGCACGATTTAGCAGAACCGGAGAAACGGCAAGGACAAGGCCGGCGGGGAACTTCTTCTGCTGGAGCGCCGCTAATCCGCGTCACCTCCTGTTAGCTAGCGGCAGTTGTGCACCTTTGACCGTGTCATTCCTGTTACCGCGGTCTCGAAAATCTATGGAACTCGAGGATGGAGATTCGAATTGGCTGGCTTTTTATGAGGCCAGATTCCAGAACCGTGTTGCGACCGGCGTGCAGCGGTGTTCATGCCAAGGACCACCGTATCTTATCGCATTTCAAATTTAATAATAACAGACCAATCAAATCATGTGACTATGATGATTTGTGACAATCAAATCTACCCACTGCAAAGACGCTAATTTTTTCCCGTTTGTTTCCGAAGGACCTGAGGGGATGAATCTAGTCGTGGTTATATTAGGCTCGTGATCTGTACGTGAATCCGCCGCGGTGATCGTCGTGGGCGGGCTTCCAGCCTCCGAGTGCCCAGAGTCGGTGACATGCGCGAACATACTCTCGGCCTACCTCTACTCCGTTCCAACCGAGCATGAACGGATGTTGATCGGTTGCGCTGCTTTACAGGCAGAGTCAAATCTGAAACGGAGCGGGTGCTCTGGACTAGATTCGCTTCCAACCTCTGTCATAGTTTCAGCCGAGTCTCCTCCAAGCATTCGGAGCCATCTACTATAGAGCTCTAGACATGGCTCGGGGCTACAGACACTTTGGTATCTGTTGCACGTTCGGTGTGCGCAGTACACATAGACGTACGTTCGCGTCAATGGCACCTAAACGAGATCCATGCAAGAACACATTTCCGTCTGCGTAAGACATTCACAACGTTAGGCTTAGGTTCCACTAGGAAACCCAGAGAATCAATTATGGCATGAACTACAACAACAGACACCGTGCTATAGCCAAGCCGAAAGTGCAGTAATCTAGAGCAGTCGAGCTCACAGATAAAAAGAAAAGGTAAAAGCAGAGACAAGCTCTGGAAGGTGGATAAAACAGACGGGCAGTATCGATACAATGAGATGGGTGATGCATGTAAGGAGCGTGGGACTGTCGGTCGAGGACCGATGGTCGAGAGAAGGAAAGCCGAGGAGCCGAATTATAGATACAGATGCACGATGAAAGAGGAATCGAGTGCGGTGCGCGCACTGGGCGGCTGTGAGAATGTCAGATGTGGTTCACCAGCCTGGGCATCGAGAGTCACGCACGATTAGATGCAGCGCCACATGCGGCAGCCTCGCTCTTCGTTCCCGGGTTCCGCTCGTGTCAGTTCTGTCTCGCGGAGGTCGACGGTAGGTGCGGCAGGCTAGCGAAGGCAAGTCAGCGACTCGGTCGACGCGCAAGAGATGCAGGCGCACGTTCTCAGGGTTGGCCAGGCCATCTACGGATACAGGTGCAGAAGATGCACGCAGAGCAACTGCAGAGCGCGAGGAGAAATCAGCATCTATCCAAGCGCCAGAGTCCAGAGCACAAACCGATGGAAATGAAGAGGGAGATCAACAGTTTGCAGTGCATGTTGCAATGGAATGGAATGGAGCGACCGACTTGAGCGAGGGACCACTCTCTCCATTCCACTTGATAAGTGTCCGCGAACAAGGAGACAGCCGCATTTGGGTGTTCCCTTGTCCTCCCTGCACGCGGCATCGCCGGCGCAAGCAACAACCCATCCACCTTCCTTTTCCGGACGGGATTCCCCTTTTGGGAACAACGTCGCGGTGATGGCGCGGTTCGCGTGTGTTCAGCTGAACTTTGCATGGCGCCCGGCGCTGATGGCACACGTACAATACACGGCCTGGATCAAAAAGGCTGGAACGAGGCTCGCGTGGCGGAAAGATATCCAGGACAGTCAGGCTTCGATTCGTTATTCTTGGATGGGCTCGTAAAGTCTCCGCAGCCCTTGTATCGAATTGGAACAAGTGTTTGTCGTCAGGTTCACTCAAACGTAGGACGAGAGTGATCCGTGCAAGGTCTTCCCAGGTGGCTGTCGTAGCACTTTGACTCGCCTCAGAGCAGGCCCGATCAGTGCTACCGTTTAATGTGCGTCGTGGCCAGTGTCGAAGCACTCGTCACAGCATCACCAAGAAAGTAGGCCTCAAAACTGAGCGTGTATTAGACAAGTGTAACATAAATAGATGAACCGAGAGTTCGATGCAGTCCAATTATACCAGTGAGCTCACTGAGTCGACCGTGCCCTCTTGGCCTCGGCTGCAGCCTTCTTCTTCTTGTTCTTCTTGCCCCCCTTCTTCCCGCCTTTGCGCGCCTTCGCCGTGGGCTTAGGCTTGCTCTCGAGGACCGGAACGGTCGTGGGCGACGCCCCGCGTAGCCTCGTCCGTCCGTCCTTGAGCGTCTCCGTGATGATGGGACTCGCCGCAGGGCGATACTTGAACTCGTTCGAATACCTGCGTGTGCATCGCATCAACCGAGGGCTCAGCGTTCCTGTAGAGAGGAGGGCACACACCGGTTGGCGTGCACGACGCTCGGCTTTGGCTTCGTTTTCAGCGTCACCACGCGGAAGGCCACCCAGAGGATTGTGCAGATGAGGAGGATGAGCGCGCGGCGCTTCCACGGGGAAGGCTGCGGGTCCTCTGGGGGCTGGTAGTGCTCGTCCTCCTCTGGCTCCTCGTCCACATCTGGCTCCTGCTTGATGGGACGCTCGGGCTCCTGCCCGTTGAGTGTCGAGGTTGGCGCAGCGTCTTCCGCGGCACTGCTAACAGCATTCGATTTCTCGGCTGGGAAATTATCACTGGGCGGCATGATGGTGTGAATGGGAGGCCAGATATAGCTTTGTTCCATAATAGACCCCCGTGACAAATATCGACAATCAACGCAAGGACTCCCCTCGAAGATTTGCACCGAGCAAGATCGTCCCTGGGTACGGGTTACAGAGAAACAAAGCAATAGATTAAGTCCTTGTCTCGGATATATCCAGCTCCTCCTCATCCAAGCCACGCATGAGTACCCAGAAGCCTATTCCTCCAGCACCAGCCAAGCCAGCCATAACGAGGTAGTTCCACACCAGAAACGGATCTGCAGACAGCCCTGGACGAAGAATATAGGTGAGCGACTGAATCTGACTTTGAGATGGGAGGAGAGCTCACAGATGAATCCCTCGCCAAGAACGGCGCTGACTGCACTGGTGCCCATGAGCAGGGCCATGACGAGCGACCGCATATTGACCGGCGCCTTCGTGAAAGAGTACTCCATCACCGTGATCGAGGCGAAGATCTCGGAGACGGCGATCAGGAGGTAGCTCGGTGCTTGCAGCCAGACGCTCATCGGCGAGACGAGCGGGAGGGATTGTCCGTCGACGCAAGTCGAGGCCGCTGTTCCACAGGGATTCGTTCGATAGATGTTGTATTGTAATACCGCACACCATATCATGGCCGAGCAAGCTGGTCGGTGTCAGCTCTGCCGGCCGACAGTTCACATATTTGACTCACCAATGAAGAACCCGACCGTTATGCGTCTGATGGGCAGGAACTTGATCCCTCGGCGTTGCAGAAGCGGATACAGCTGTGCGCTTCTGATGAGCGCTAGAATGAGAGATGCAGTGACCCGCGCACGTAGAGATCACACAACGGAATGACGAGCACCAGCGTCAGCGGATCGATATTCGTCAAAAGATCGTTGGGCAATCCGTCTGTGCGCAGTGTTGCTGCCTGGGAGATCAAGTTGGTAGACATTTGACTCATAGTAAGCCCTGCGGAGCATCAGACCCGAGAACCCACAAGTGGAAATGCAAACAAACAGTAGAGCGGAAACCAGGCAAACACGGCACATGCTCCCAAGCCTCTTCTGACCTCGGTGACCCATGTATCGTCCAGGCCCTTCATCCATCGCGCCTGCTTTGCCGGTGGGATCCGACTCGGAGTCACAGTCTCCCAGAAATCGCCGCGGGTGAAGTTGGCGTACATGCGAAACGGATTCAGGCTCCACCGGCGGCGCGATCCAAATCGCATCAGGCGAATGAACGTGAAAAGAACAGAGCCGCTGGGTGGGGATCGGACGTAGCGGTTTCGGCCCAGGAATAGGATGAGTGGACAGAGGAGGAAGACAGCTGTTGGAAGCGCAAATGCTGGCCAGTAACCCAGGTACTGTGCTCGCTATGAGTGAGCTACGGTCAGGATGAAGGAGAAGGCACTACGTACCTTCTCGGTGTAAGTCATACTGAATTGACCAAGTAGAGCCCCGATATTAATAACAAGATAGAAATACTTCATTCAAAAGCTTCGGAAACGAAATCAAGACTCATAGATCAGCGCGCACCATGTAGATTCGCGAGACAGTCAGCTTCGGGTCCACAATCACTCGTTCTCCATCCCCAGGTAGTCGAATGACAAACGATTTGGTCTTTTTGTACTGTTCCGCGACAAGGGGTGAGATATTCGCCTTGAACAATCCCGTGCCTGCCGATTGACGGTTAGCGTTCCAGTCACTCGAACTGCCATAGCCGTACCAAGCCCAATGACGACTTGCGACACCAGCAAGAAGGTCAGCCCCAGGTCAGCATGGTCGATGATCCCAGGAACTGCGGCGAAGATGAGGATGATGTGCCCAATCAACGCGATCCCGACAGCATAGCAGATCGTCTTGAACCGGCCCAGGTGCACATCCGCAATATATGCACCCAGCATCGGAGTAAGAGACACCCTGGACAGCCTCAGTTAGTCGTCGACTGGGAAGAGGCTCGAATAGTTGACCAGAACATGGTGAATGTCATGATTGCAGTCGACATTCTTTGCCCTACAACAAGTCAGCGGATCATAAACCTAAGCTAAGGTAAACGCACCTTTTCCGAGGGCGCCAGATTGCCCCTTTTCTAGACCAGCGCCAGTGATAGAGCCGGGCGGCAGAGGATGTTGAATGAAATTTGTCTGACAAGGCCCAGCCAGAGTCAGAAACCCGAGCGAGTTACAGGTCTGCAGTACGCACAAGAACCGCTCCGGAACCATAAACCTTCATTCCGAACGAGTCAGCCGCGTCCCACCACCTATGCTGCTGCTGAACCCTCTCACAGAGAAACGTTCCGCCAATTCCACAATGGCGATGACTACCACCAAAGCTGAGCGCTGAGCAAGCCCTCAAATCACAGCATTACACGCACGGTAGGTGCTCCAGGGGACGACATCAGAGATCCTGCGCAGAGTCGCTTCATCCTCGGCTGTGGGCCGGACCAGCCCATCGTGTATCCCGTCCTTCGCGTGGAACGCGCTCGACGCTTCAGAGTCCACGAGCTCGTACGCCTCCGAGCTCTCGTCTCCCTCTATGGCAGATTTGAGAGGGAGCTAGATATATGTATATCAGGCTGTGGGTCCGGTGGATACAGGGACACCGGATGGGTTGGACTTACACGCTCCTCCGCCTCGTCCGTGTCATTTGACAAGGCCTGGTATTCGTAACGCGGCATATAAGCTGCTGGGGGAGAGTATGCGGACCGTTGATACTGTCACGTTATGCGAGGTGCATGGATGCAAGCAAAGCTAGAAGTCCTGTCCACTTCAAGAGTGTTCGCCAGCGAGATCGAGAGAGAAGTTGATCGAGGCGTGATTGACATATTGGCATATTGATGCTTCCGCATGACGTGCATGCGGTGCAGGTTTGTTGCAAGGCGCGTGAAAAGCTTGAGTTCATCGTAGATTCGAGGCTCAATTCATTTTCTTTTGACGCCAACGGAGTTTTCTTAGTTGATGTAGTGTTACTATTGCCGAGTGCCCTCCGATTCATTCAACCCTTAACTACACTTTATCCTCATATTCAACACTGATGGGAGCCCCGGAGCCCATTCTCTTCAAGCCATCCATCCTGAAAGCCCCCCGACGCTGCTCCATCTCATCCTCAGCCATCTCCCCCGTGAGATGCTCGTAAAATTCCCTCGTCAGCCCAGCCTTTTCTCTGTCCTCAATGTTGAACGGCCCCTTGACGTTCCCGCGCCATCCCTTGCGCACTTCGTCGCGGAAAGTCGAAACCGGATCAAGCCCTCCCTCCTTCTCACACAGCCACGTGAACCAACGATGCCCGGACGTCACGTGTGTCACCTCGTCGGCGTGGATGATCTCGAGCGCGGCGACGCTATCGCTGTCGTTTGCCCGCCGGAATCGTGCGATCGTCCCGGGATTGACGTCCAGACCACGCGCTTCGTGGACGAGATGGATGATGGCCAGCCGGGATCGCAGGGAGTGTGATGTGATCGTCGCGGATTCCCAGAGAGAGGCGTGCACGGGCATGCTCCCATAGGGAGTGTTTGGAGAAGTCTCGGAAAGTCGGGAGGTCAGCAGTGAGCTGTTGAAAATAATTCAAGCTGTTCCCTGTGTTATAATCCGATGTACGCACAAATGTTTGGATTCGTCCAATGCCATTTTCGTGAAATCCGCAAAGAACGCCGGCGGAAGATCAGGATGACTCGGTCCAAAACGCGCCATTATGTCCCATCTTTGGAAAATTGATATGTAGCATGAATATCGCGCTAAGAAGAAACTTACGCTAGATCAATTCTGCGGAACAGGTCATCAAACGTGTGCAACAAATGAGAATGAACACCTACGCCCACTGTTCAATATTTGCGAGGGCATGCAGCATTACCTAGTGTATAATTTCAGAGCTCTGAGTGATTTGACCTCAAAATATGACGCACCGCGAGGCTTCGCCTGCCTTTGACTTTGCCTGGGTCGACCGCATTCCGCAGATAACTCTCGTCCCGGGGCGGAATATCTGGCGGTGTCGGTGCAGAGCGAGACTTGTGCCCAATGGAATCGAGTTTTCCAGTTCGGAAGAGCTGAACGGCGTGTCTTGTGCGCAGGACCTTGAGAGTCGGATTCGGAGTGTTTAATATCAGAACCGCCCAGTCCATGAGCGTCTTGGGTGGATTTAGTTCGGGAACGACGGGCTCTATCGTCTCGGCGCTCATGGTCACTGGATTGACCTCGGTAGGAGCACTAGCTTTAGTGGGCGGTGGATCGGCGAACTCTGCCAGCGAAAAATTGCGAAACAAATCCTGGGGAGACGGTTGAACAACGGACCTTCTGAAACCGGGCGGAAGTCTATGAGCCTCCAATTACTTCCCCCGGACGGCGTTTCGATGTAGACCTTTTCCTCGCTATCTTCGGGCTCCGTCTTCACCTCGACGGAGTAGGTGCAGGTGTGTAGCCCGGTCTCGCTCTTGCCAGTGCGGAGATCGAAATCGTATCTGAAATCAGATCGTAAAACACAGTGATAATTCCAACAGGTGGATATGACTAATCACCTGTGCCACGGACAGACCGCCACCGTCGTGTCCTCATATTCCTCGATGTCTGCGTGGGACATGTCGGCGCCAAGATGAGGGCAGGTCGACTCCATTACGTAAAGCTGGCGGTTGTCCAGCATCGAGGGCCGGCCATTTCCGTATGCGGGGATGTCCGCTGCCGTCGACAAGCGGAAGAGGATGAGCGAATGGTATTTTCCCTGCTCCGAGCGCAGGGTGAGCAGAAAGCGCGAATGCGTCAGCAAGTTCTTGAACGGGGAGATCCTGACGTTTCTGTCAGCGCCGACTTGCTCAACATGTCCGACATATCGCGCACTGTAAGAATTTTCCTGCTGGCATGGTTTTCGAACCAAAGGCGCGTCTGTCAACCTGCGGATCAGGTGGCAGTGACTTGCGACTGGGCGTTTGAATGATCAGACACGCCATCAAGATCATCCATTCTGGGTTCATTCATCCGCCCAACGTTCGGGACCGGCGTTTCGTTCACAACAACAAGGCATGATGGCAACAAATACCATCTCTCACGTAGGCTATCGCATAAGAACAGTCGGCGCGTCAGATGAAGGCTGAGATCTCAGATATGGCAAGTCATTTCCCCGCCGTCGACAGTCGGACTGAACGGACGCCAGCACAAGACACCTCGCATAGTCGCCAATTCGTTTCGGTTCCCGAAGCTCCGCTCGCTGACCCTTAGTCTCGTCATCTGTGCTGTCCTGCCTCTCGCAGCATTCGCGGATGCTCTGCCCGCAGCTTCTCCTCTCGCCACCCTTGCGCATGCGCTGCACCGCTTGCTGCAGCCGAAGACCTGGAAGGCCATCCTCGCGGCCACAACCGGAATCCACGTGATAGAGAGCCTGTATATGCTGTATCTGTGTAGGAAGCATCGGTCTGGATTCCGAACTACGGTATTCGGTGTTTCTCGTCTCACCCGCCGGCCGCTCATCATCATCCAGTTCGCATACGTGGCCAGCACAGTCCTCTTCGGAGCTCCCATGTGGCAGGACTTCTCTCGAAGGGCGCGAGGGGGTGGAATGCGACTCCAAGGGCGGCGTTCCGGAGCAGCAATCTGATGGTCGTACATACCATTCCACTGGAGCGTAGTGGGCTTGGTACCGGCAGTCGATCAGTTCCGTCACGTTTCGATGTGTCTCTCTCACAGGTCGTGTGCAATGACTATCCGACGATTGCTTCGTGGGAAAGCATCGAGATAGGCCGATGCATTCGGTCGAGTGCTACCACCAAAAAAGCACAACCGACGGGAAGCCGGCGATTAGAATGTCTGGGAAATGCACCACATGCCATCTGGTTCACATCCGCTCATGGTTGAACGAAGCCCACGACAAGGAGAATGTGCTCGCCTCTGGGAAAAGAAGTGGCATGGGTGGTGCACTGTCGCAAATCGCGTGCAGAAGTCGACGACCTCCCACTCGGCAGATCCCGTAGAACTTGAGACACCGGGCGGATCCGAGAGAGAACTGCTGCTGCAATGTGCATCGCGGGAATGGAGCGAACACGCAGCCGGCTCACCCTCTGCCTCGCGACAAAGAAGCCCTCGTGGTTCAACTTGAAGCCCAAGCGCTAGCCGGAGATTAGGTCTGCGTTTCTACCAAAGCCCAAGCGCTCTCTCATCAAGGCAGCGCAGCCTGAGAAAGGAAATGAGCGGACGACCGTCTACTTATTTTAGCCTGAAAGCTGAAGAGCCTATTGTCCCTATTTGAGAACGCGGTGCATTTAATAGAGGCTCCCCGGTCCAAAGGGGAAGGGCAGTCCTGGGAGGAGAGAGCAAAGGGGAGCACGATTTTAGGGAACTTTCAGCCGGATTGAGTCATGTTCAGGAGGCGGCAGCAGCCTTGAGAGGATATCAGCCCAATTCGCGGTCGACATCGAGCGGCCAAGAGGTTGCAATTGCTTTGGGATAGACAGCCACGCCGAGTTGGCATCGTAGCAAAATGTATAGTACAGCCTACAGAGAACTAGCGGCATCCCGTAGAATCAGGATGCTAGTCTTGCGCGACGAGTACCTTGCAGGAAACTGACGATAGACAAAAGCAGCACATGTTTAGTTGACATCCGCAAGCGGACGCACTAAGCCCAGAGCCCACGACAAGGGAATGTGCTCTCCTCCGGGAGGAGGAAAGAAGTGCAATGCGTGTACGCTCGCATTGCAATAGCCAGCGACACAGGATGATCAGTCCCGAGCCAACGACTCCCCCAGAACCCAATGTTGAGCGCGCACAAGCACCTAAGTGCATGGCCGTCCGGGTGCTCATCTCCCAGTCAGCCGATCCCCCAGATCCCAAGACAGCGGGTGGATTTGCCCACAAAGACCCCCGGCTCCTGCAGATCACATGCTCAATTGATGCGGCACGAGTTCGATTCTCACAGTGCATTTTATTTAACTGGTTGCATATATTATTGTGCGGCGTCCCTAGTTATTGTGTAGCGTTCCGGGGAGGTCTGGAAAAACTCCAAGATTTATTGTCTGATGCTTTATGGTCTAGTAGTTATGGGTGCGTATTTTTCAATTGAATGGTCTTTGGTTCAAGGCTGAGTGAGTGGATTTTTGTTCTGGGATTTGCTTCGGCTGAGCGAATCGATGTCCTCCGACATCATCAGGGCTCACTGATACCTATTATAAACATCTTTTTCTTGCTCACGGCCCCCATCTCCTAATGATGATATTCGGGCTTGGGACTTTGATGATGAAGGTGGAACTGGAGAGTGAGTCAGTCAATTTCATTCGGTTTGGACACAGTCACTTATATAATCTCATTCAAGTTCTATTTCTCCAAGGAGCGCAAAGCAAACCTTAAGCGCTGCTTCGAAGCACTTTGAATGGTATGGCACCTGGCCTGGCTAAGGCTCTGGAGCCTGCTTTATCCTTGATTGAGCAAGCAGGTAGCCACATTCACATTCACAAAGAGAAAAGGAAAAGTCAATGCATTTATAAAGATACAAATATCTATACAATGTTCATGGATTGAACATATTTATCCCGCTTGTTTGAGGTGCGCGCCACGCGGCCTGAATCGAACCCGCCGCCGATCAATGTGGCACGTGATCTGCAGGAGCCGGGGGTCTTTTTTTTTTTTGTGGAACGTTTATTAATGTGTAGTATCTAACATAGTCATATACTTTACATCCGTTTGGTTTGAGGCCTAGGACTTGGAACCTAGCCAGGCAGAGGAATACCACTCGAGGAAATGCGCTTAGTGACCGGTTGTCACACGCACGATACATCCGATTTCTCGCGATGTCGTGTGTGGGGATTCGGTTTTCGGCTCCGAGATTGGTCAGAGACCGCCTTCATCCTTGCCTCTATCCGATACCCACTAAAACCCCGTCTTCCTTGGTCCAGTCTTCAGGGAGGTTCACCTCGTTTTTTAGGGTCTTGGCCCATGTCTTTTTCACCAGAGAGGGTTTGATTGCTTTCTTTCCGTATCTTTTTTCGTTGGTCATCTTACAATCGATGAGCAGTCTGGTGTTTATCGCCCTTCTCCATCGGTTTTCGACTTCTGGGACCGATGCGTTTCCTTTCTCTTGGATGACGCGTTCACATCGGATCCTCCATATCATGTGTGCCGATTCAGAGACGATAATGCGGAATAGTCTGGATAGGCTTGCGTCTTTTTGCTGTATGGCCCCGCAGGCCATTATCATCCCCATGTTTGGCTCTAGCGTGGATCCCGTTCTCATGGTCCACAGTTTACTCGCCAGTTTCCATATCTCTTCTTGGCCCGTTGCTTGGCATTTCAGGAGTATGTGTTCCATGGTTTCTAGTGAGTCTTCTCCACAGTGACTGCAGTGCGCCTTTTCATTGTGACCAGGGATCTTTTCCCAGTGCTTTCCGACCTTATATCCATCATGGATTAGCATCCATAGAAAGTATCTTACGCTTCTCGAGAAGTCCTTATGCCTGGTGGCCGTCCATATCTGGGCTTCTGTTGCTGCTCCCTTCGGCTCTGGTTCCTCAACGCTGGTCTCGTTTTGGGCAATCTCTATGTTTCGTTTTGTAGCTTTCCGATCCAGTGCGTCTTGATACTTCTCTGTTTTCATCTTGTTCTTTCTGATGATTTTGTATGCTATCGATTGTGTCATTGCTTTTAGTTTTGCGCCGGGTAGGATCAGCGATTCGTCTACGCATGTGTCGATAATGTCCATGCTTTCTTTTTGTCGCCCGGTGTCAGCCAGTCTGTCTGCTGCTTCGTTCCCGTGGATTCCTGAGTGGCCTTTGACCCATGTAAGTTTTGTTCTTGCTCTTCTATTTCTGATCTTTGTTATTGTTAGTTTCGCAAGGTCTCCGTTCGCGGCAAGGAAGAACCCTGTGTCTTCTTCTTTCTTTAGGCTTTTCGTGAGCCCGTTGATACAGAACATCGAGTCTGACTTGATGTGTAGGGGTGCACCAGGCGGGCATAGTTCGACTGTCTCTTTTATTGCCAGCATCTCGGCGACTTGGTTGGAGGGGTTTAGTTCTTCCGGTATTCGGATTGCCTTGTTGCCGTCCTCGTTGTCTCCGAAGAAGATCCCTGAGCCTGCCTTTGTTCCTATACGTCCATTATTCGTTGCTGAGCCATCCGTATAGACCTCCAGTTCTATCGTTTCGCTTTCGGGGTCTTCTGCGGGTTCCCGGTTTGGTGCTGTTTTGCTCGGATTCCGTTCTTCGTTTGTGAATATGCGGAAGATGTCTGCGACGGTGCCTGTTGTGGTGATTCTCTGGTCTATGTCAGTCGTTTCTACTCCGTCTGCTATCTCTGTCTGTGGTATCATTCTGTGTTCATAGTCCTCTGGCTGTGGTTTCCTTGGGTCCCATTTTGGGTCTAGCGAGTCGAGCATGTTTTTCGCCTTGTCATAGCATTTGTGTGGGTGTCTGCATTTTGTTGTTGTCCTTGTGATGGCGCATGCATTGCACCTACAGGATCTTGATGCTGTGTGTCGTGTCGCCTTGGTTTTCCTTGATAGCTCTACGGCGTCTCTGACTGTTTTCATCTTGTGGTTTTCTTTTAGGCATTTTATTGTCTCTTTCTTGTATATCCACGTCTTTGAGTCTGCATTCGATTTTGTGTGGTACCATATTATCATTTCGTTTTGGATTTCTCTGGATACGGCGATTGCTTCGATTGCAACTCCGTGTTTCTTTCCTGCTGCTGTCATTCTTGCTAGGTCTGCGCCTATCTTCTTAGGTGATACATTGTGTCTCCAGTCTTGCAGGTACGCATTTAGTCTTACTGAGAGTTCGACGTTGTTCCCTTCTGACGACATCTTCTCAGCGAATATTTCGTCTGCAACGAAGCACCAAAGGGGTCTTTCATCTCCGAAGTTCAGGTATGTTTTGAGCCACATTACCGCAATTGCTTCGTTCCTCGCGATTATGTCCATTAGGTCCCGTCCGCCCATCTCAGCTGGCGCGTATATTGTTTCTTGGTTGATGGTTACCCTTTCTTTCTCTGCCCAGATAAACTTACGGATTCTTCTTTCTAGTCTTTCTTCGATCTCTTTCGGCATGCCCTGGACCGTTGCCATGTACTGTGTCATTCCTCCGACGACCATTAGCACTATCAGTCTACGACCTGCCATTGACGGGTTCCCTTTGTCCCATCTTCTGAGCGCTTCATCTATTTTCTCTAGGGTTCTTGTCCATGTGTCAACCTGTCGTATGTCGTTTCCTATCCATGCCCCTAGGCAGCGGACTGGTTCGCCTTCTTTTGCGATTCTTATGTGGTCTGGAATCATGGTGCCGTCCATTCCGTTTACGAAGTGGTTTGTTCTGACTCTGTCCCTGTGCTCTATTTTACCAATTGGGATCATTTCTGTTTTATTGATATTGAATCTTGCTCCCGATGCAATGCACCATTCGTCTATAGTGTCGAGGAGCGTTCCGAAGTCATCCTCCCAGTCTAGGTATACCACAGTGTCGTCTGCAAACAGTGTGGCTATCAGTCTTTCGGTCTTTCCTTGTATTCTTATTCCTTTTAGGTTTGACTGGCGTAGTGCCTCGGCCAGAGGTTCAATTGCCAGATTGAAGAGGAGGCAGGATAGTGGGTCTCCCTGGCGTACCCCTCTTGTCACACGGAACGGGTTTTTGCTTTTTTCGCCGTTCAGCATGACATAGGTATGTGCATCTCCGTATAGCGCTTTAATGGTGTTGATGAATTCATCTGGGATCCCGTAGCTTTTCAGGGCCTTCCATAGATAGTCGTGTTCGATTTTGTCGTATGCTTTCTCTTGGTCTAGTGCGACAATTACTCCATTCTTTTCAGTTGCTTCGGCCATTTCTATAATTCTTTTTGTTAACCATATCTGGTCTTTAATCTGCCTCCCTTTTACGAAGCCTGCTTGGTTTGGGTGTATCAAGTCAGGTGCAATCTCTGCTAATTTGATTGATAGGGCCTTCGTGAAGATTTTGTAATCTGTGTTCAGCAGCGATATAGGTCTGTAATTCGCTATATCTGTTTTATCATTTTTCTTATATAACGGGCACATCCAGCTCTCTGCGAATTTTGTGCCCGCTATTATTCCGTGCGTTTCGATATCGTTGTACACTGCGCAGAGGCATCTTAGTATGTCGAACGCTGGTTTCTCGCTTTTGGCTGCTGTAGCATATCTGTCATCGAGGATCTTCCACAGTTCATATGGGATTCCGTCCAGTCCCGGTGCCTTGAAGTTTGCTGATGCTTTCAGCGCACTTCTTACTTCTTTTACTGTCATCTTCGCTTTCAGTTTTCCGTTTTGCTCCTCTGATGTTTTCCTTTGTGTCTTTGCGAGAACTGTGTCTATTGTTTCTGATCGCGCTTGGGAGTCTATGTTTCGGCGGTCTTCTTGCAGATTGCTGTGGTAGTCTCGAGTCATGTCTGCCATCTTTTTCGAGTTTGTCTCGTATTCCGTGGGGGCGGTGGGGTCTTGGAGGGTCGGTGGCTTTTTCAGCCTATGGATTGTATCTCTTGGTTTGTTTGGTTTATTGATTCTCGTCCAGTACCTCCCGATTATCTCTCCGTGCAGTCTGTTTTGGATCTGGGCTGATAGCCTGTTCGATCTATATCTTTGCTTTTGCAGTTTAGCCAGTTGGTCAATGAACACTGTGGCGTTTAGGTGTCTTTCCTCTTCCGGCATTGTCTCATCTTTGAAGACGCTTTCTAATTTGAGTTCTAGTTCCGCAATCTCTTTTATGATCTTGGGGATAACTTGTTTTGCTCTCTCGTGTGCTTTGGTGCCGATCTTCGTTTTGAAGTTAGCCCACATTGTTTGTGCATTTTTTTCCCTTGTTCTTCCGATTTCGGACTCAGCTTGGAGGCGCTCTATTTCGGCGCTTAGTTCGAGTCCGCACTCGTGGATGTATTCCGCTAGTTGTTTGTCTTTCAATATGTGCGTTGGCCAGGTCCATCTCCCGCGGCCGGCTGTCGGTGCTTTCTGTGTGGTTATCTTTGCCCATACGAGGTCGTGGTCTGTCTCGATTCCGACTCGTTTGATTCCCCATTCGAAGGTTTGGTCAAAGGTATCTGATTTAATGTAGATTCGGTCTATCCGGGACAGGGATCCCCCTAAGGATGCCGGCTGCCTCCATGTGTATTCTCTGGTGTCCGGGTATGTTGCTCGCCACCCGTCAATGAGTCCTAGTTTTGTTTTGAGCTCGTCTATGGCATCTACGGCGTTCTTGTCATCTTCGTGTGCAGGGAGTCTATCGATCGCTGCCTCTACAATGTTTGTGTCGCCTACCATCATATCTGGTCTGCGTGTCTGGGGGTGGTCATCGAAAAATTTCCCGATGTCTTCCCAGAACTTTTTGTTGTCCATTGGGTTGTTTGGTGCGTAGACGCCAAGTACCGATAATGGGCTTTCATCGGCGTGCTTCAGCTCAATTAGCATGGCTCTCCCCGGTATAATCTCGTATGTCTGTATCCCCTCAGTTTTGGTCATATTTTTATTAATAACCATTGCTAGGCCTGCTGAGTTGACTGATCTTGGGTTCTCTGTGAATTCTATCCGCATTTTGCGGCTGAAGAGTTTGTCGATTTCGTCTTTTCTTTCCTGGTTCATGTGTGCTTCGCTGACTACTAGTACCGCAATCTTTTCTTCTCGGAGGATTTGCCATATCCCGAACCATTTATTTTGTGGGTGGTGTACGTTTCTGTTGCCATGTCCTCGGATATTGAGTCCTGCTATCTTTAGTGCTGCTCTCATTTTTTTTTTCCCGTTCTGTTTAGCAGTTCTCGGTATTTCTGGGCCTGGGTATGTGCGCAGGGGCGCGCCTCGTCTTTGGGCGTGTTGCTGTACAGATTGGTTGTTTCTGTTTGGGATGCTTCGGGTGTCTAGGTCCTGGTCTTGCATTCTTTCCGCGTTTCCTGGGGCAGGTTCATTCCTGTCCGCGTTCCTCCCTTCGTTGCTGGTGTTTTCGCTTGGTATCCCTGGTTCGGGGACTGGTGTCCTGTCTTGTCGAGCATTGTCTCTGTGCGGGTTTGTTTCGTGTCTCCTTCCGCTCGTCTCGCTGACGTTGGTTCCACCTACAGTGGTCCCCGTGTTTGGGGGTGGGTCCTCGCTTTGAGGCCCGTGTGCTCTGTGCACACTAGCACCGTCGTTGGTGCCCCCTGGCTCGCCTGTTGCGGCTAGAGTTGCTCCCCGATGCCCATCATTGACTTCTCGGGGCGTGCCATCTCCGGGTGGAGGGTGGCCGTCGTCCCGGGTAGTCTCCGGGCAACGGTTCGCCATATCCCCTCCAACACGTTCTCCTTCCTCGGGTGCTTCTTGGCCGGTGGCGGAGCCAGGATCCCCTCGGGATTGCGTGGTCGTCTTTGCCAGTTGTCCAGTTTGTTCACCCAGGTGTTCGTGCTCATTGTGAGCTGTTGTTAGATTGTCATTTGATCCCTCAGTAGCGTTGTTGAGACACGGCGCGGACCGCGCTTAGGCCCGCGTCGTTTTGTCTTGTGTTTGGAGTTGCTAAAAGGTGTGCCGTTTCACAGTGTGGGTGTGTAGCGGCTCACCCTTTTGCATGCCAGGACTGCTGGCAGGCGGACTCCGACCTGAATAGGTCCCGCCAGTGCGGCACATCTAGCTGACAACCAGGGTTGCCGGCGAGACGTGCGTTCCCTTCCCCGTTTCCCGTCCTGCACATTTGCATGTGTAGTCGGTATATTTGGCGGGGTTGGGTTGCGCTTCTCGGTCGCACTAATCCGAGAGCGACTTCTTCCGAGCCCAGACTCAGGGAAGATGCCCGTTGTTAACTTTCGTGCTGTTTGTGAGATGGGTGGGATGGATGGGTTTCCCGGTGAGCAAGATTGAATTCTGTATGTAGGGGGTGTTTGATAGGTAGCTCTGTATGGGTATTTGTGTGGGTATCTATATTTTGAGCGTCTATGTTCGCCTGCCGCGGCCACGACCACGGTCCTGAGAGTTTCCTCCACCTCGGGTTCGGGGGCCTCCTCCGCGGTGTGAACTACCGCTGCCTCTGTGGTTGTTGCGGTCGTTGCGTTTCGCTGCTTTCGAGGCAAGCGGGTGATCCGTGGGGAGACGCGAGAGTTGGTCTGGTGGGCCCCACCATTTAGCCGCTGTAAACGGGCACATGCGCGATGGATGGTCGTCAAGCTTGCAGATAACGCAGTTTTTGATTGAGCCATCGAACATGTCGACAGTCGGTTTGTATCGGATAGCGCCCGCTATGTACTCGTCTTGTCTCAGTAGCTCGCGTAGTTTGAGTTGCTCGGTTTCCGACCCAAAGCTGGGGTCCATGTATACAGCCATGGTAGAGCATTCACCGTCGTCTTTGTAGACGGCATCGATGCTGAGAGCGATTGAGTCGATCCGTTCTTCCAGTGATCCGGTCAGCGGTTGGGTCATGCGGTCGAGGTGTAGTACTATCTCGTTGTTTGTATGCATCCTTTCCCGGATTGCACCCCGAAGTTCCGCCTCCATTTCCTTGATTTCTGTCGTCGACGACATTTCGAAGTGCGCCAGCGTCCAGCTGCGTTTCTCCTCCAGTAGGGTTGTTGGCCAGTACGCTGTGCAGTTATTCACTGCGATGAACGGTTCCGCGAGGATGGCGTCACGGGTGGCTGGGTCCTCGCACCTGAGGAATGCGACTATGGGGGGTGCGTATTTTCCTCCTTTGCCATTGCCTTCGAAGACCGGGGCAACGTAGTGGATCCTGTCAGAGATGCCCGAGAGGGAGAGCTTGACGTCTATCCCAATCTCGTTGTGCCGTGTGTTGAACAGGTGTTGACCACCTAAGGCTAGGACGATGATGATGGTTTTCGCTGGGTCCCAGGATTCTACTTGCTTCCGCTGGGCCTTGTCGATTCCCTCCCAGATCCTGTATCTGGCTATGTGGTGCACCGGGAAGACTCCTCCTTGTACCCTTTGGAACGGGGCTTCACCCTTGGCGTTTAGTGTGGGGGTGGGGCGTTCGCTGACGACTTTTAGGTGTGGGTTGTTCATACGGTGCTGGGCCGTGGTTATCCCAAATTCCGTGTCTGACATGCGTATGTAGGTTCCGTGGTCGTCCATGGTGATCTCTTCAACCACTGATTCGTTCACTGTACTGGATGCCACGGGTTCGCTGGTTTGCCCGGTGTGTATAGGGGTTTCCGAGCTGCGTGGAGGCTCAGTTTGTGCGGGGACTTCTGCGTCTTCGGGGTTCTCTCGCGTTGGGGTGTGGATTTCACTGCGTTCAGTGTAGATGGGGGATGCCGCTCGTGGCTGGGGTATGGGCTCGGTCTCGTTCGGGGTGGAGCTTTCTTTGCCTCGTCTGTCTGCGCCTCTTCGTTTGTATGGTGCGGGTCTGTCGTGCTCTCGGCCTTTCCGAACTACAAGCTCTCCTTGTGTGATTTTGGGGTTTGTGTCTGCTTCTCGAGACTCTGCTTGGGGTGTCTCCGCCAGCGTGTTTATGGTTGGGAGTTTTCTTCTCTTTTTTTTTTGGGTTTGGTGGTACGAGTGGGTGGTAGCGTGTCACAGGTGTTTAAGCCTTCGGCTATTTTCCCTCGTCGTGCGTCCTAGTCACTTGTCTGTTCCGTGGTTTCATATTCCTCAGCTCTCTATGGTCTGGGTGGTATGCTGTCTCTCGTTTGGGAGGGGCGTGCTTTATCGCTTTTCGATATTCATGTAGCTTTGTTCTTGGGCATCGTTTCCTCCCGTTGTATACAATCTATTTTGTATTTCAGAGGTTACTGTAACCTTTCTTGTCCCATCTCTTGGGGGGTGCCGTTTTCTTATTTGGCTGGCGCTCCTGGTGAGCGGCCTACCGCCCTCTGCGGCAGAGGGGCCTCTGGCTTCCTTTCCCACGCATCAGATGATGGTGGTGGAACAACAGAGCCCCCCGAGCCGGGGGTCTTTGTAGGCCTGTCGATCTTCAGAGAGACCATGGACTTTGCGAGCCAGTCGCGACTCATGGGAGACGTGTTGGCGAACGAGACAGATCCTTTTTTCCTCTGGCAGTTCAATCCCGACTATCCTTGCCCCTCGGGATGTAGCAGGTCAAACGCCACCGGAAGTTGTACCTAGAATTGATCTAGACCTAGACGTTGATACTGGAGAGACTCGGCCTGACTCGGCATTCCGATCACTATGACAAACATTCGTCACGGTCGATCACAGCGCACGGATCAGCGTAAACAGCCTCGTCATCAATACGGCAAACGCAATCAATAGCGTGTGGGCTTGGTTATAAGTAGCAACTGAGCCAGGCCCCTCTTGCCACATTCTTCATGCCAACCACTATTGCCGTCGAAGAGAGCCCCGCTCAGCAGAGCTCACGAAAAGACCGCGCCGCTGCCGGGAAACCCGCGCACTGGGTCGGCAGTCGACCCAATCACTTCGTTAACCCATGGCCGAGCTTCCGGACTCATGAGACGATGGATTTCCTGAGCGTGTGTTGTTCGGTCTTCATCTCGCGGCCTTCTCTGACACCAATGCTAGTTGGCCCTCAAGACCATTCCGCAGACCACGAAGGGTCCGAATCCAGCCCACATTGCGCAAATTCCCAGCCAAGTTCCCACGTGGGGAGCCAGTGCAGCTGCCGAGAACGCCGGGAAAATCAAGGCGACGTGGCTGGGCCACGCCTGTTTCCTCGTCGAGCTTCCTTCCGCTCCGGGAGCACCGCGGGGTGCGAGGATCTTGTTCGATCCGGTATTCAGTGACAGGTGCTCGCCGAGCCAGATAGTTGGACCGAAGCGTTTCACGCGTCTGTGCTGCTCGTTACTCACGCAAATGGACGGCTGACGCGACTGCAGCTCCACCATGCAAGCTGGAGGACATTCCCGAATTCGATGCTGTCGTCATCTCGCACAACCACTATGATCAGTATGTTTGTCCCCCCGTTTTCCGCGACCAGGCTCTCAACTATGAACAGCATGGACACGGCATCCCTGCGCAACTTGCTCGCACGCAAAGTGCCCTCTCCTGGACCGCACGTCTTCGCCCCGCTCGGAGAGAACAACGAAGCGTATTTCAAGTCCCTCGGTGTCCCAGAATCACGGACACACTGCCTGGATTGGTGGGATGGCCGCCGTGTGAGTGTCGCTGGAGACCAAGGCCTGGACATGAAATTCGATGTGACATTCACACCCGGGCAACACTTCACCGGCAGAGGGCTGATGGACCGGTTCAAGACGCTGTGGGGTGGATGGGTCGTCGAGAATGTGACTGGTCAGTTCACTCTCGGTGTCGAGCGCTTCCTTCGACCTGACCGATTGGTCCAGATTCTGCTACTCCACCCGCCAAAGTCTACTTCGCGGGTGACACGGGCTACCGTTCGGTTCCTTCTGATACCGACGAAGGCCCTGACAGCTTGCCTGTCTGTCCTGCTTTCAAGGAGATCGGGGAGAAATGGAATGGATTCGACTTCGCGATGATTCCCATTGGGTGCGCAGTTCTGCGGTGTCCGTTTCTTGCAAGTAAGGGCTCACGTTTCTCAGCGCCTATGCACCGCGCAAGTTCATGTCCCCCATCCACTGTGGCCCGCGCGACAGTGTAGCGCTCTTCAAAGATCTGCGCGTCAAGAAGGCTCTCGGGATGCACTGGGGGTAGGTGTTTGTCTAATTTGCACTTGGGCTGAGACTGACACGTCGATGCGCAGGGCCTGGGTGCTGACGACCGAAGATGTCCATGAACCACCTTTGCGCTTGCAGGCTGAGTGCGACAAAGCCGGTATTCCGCATAAGGATTTCGATGTTTGTGCCATTGGAGAGACGGTGGTGTTTGATGCGGGCAGTTGATTCATTTGGTCGCGGTTTCAGTCTGTTTCTGTTACTTATTCATGTTGCTTGCGCGGTACACATTCAAATTTGCGGTCGAATTGAGATGGCCAGTGACAAGGGATTGCCTGTCGTAAACCTGTGTTCAGCGTCTGCGAGTTATCCACCGTCCGGTGTCGGTGCTCATCTCTGAAGTCAGCAACCGCTGGCACCACTTCCAAGTAGTTTTGAGTAATGAGTGCTGTCGAGATAGTCGATGCCGTTCAGCTAAATCTTCTAGTTCAGGGGACGCGACTCGTAGTGACACGTGCTAGACGCGTGGGCTTCGGCACCGTCGATCAATTATTGGCTACCAACCTGCCTCTTCTTCTCATCCGTCCTACCAAACTTTATTGAATTCTTCTCAAGTACGGCCATTTGAAATGGCCGATTTCTGGGCCGGACAATCCGGCTTTCTCTCCTCGTACATGTCTACTCACCCTGATACCCTGGTCGCCTATGCAAAATGGTACGGTAAGGTGAAAGAGCCCATAACAAGCGCGTCTATGGTGTCCATCAATTCCGAGGTGCGGTCACTCTAGAAAGACATGCACGTTACCACCAATGAATTTCGTGTTTCTGAAGAATATGACTCTGTCGTGCACTCTGGAGCTCAAGCTCGCCTTCGATCCGCCACTCGCGACGAGCAAAGACGTTAAATCGCGCCTCATTGAGATGGCCGCTATCTCCAAGGAGGGCTTGGGCATGGCATGTGTTACTCTCCCGGATCGGATACTCGGTACTCAAGGAAGCCCAGCTCAAGTCACCCCAGATAGACTCGTTTCGTTTCCCGAAACTCCGCGCGTTGACCACGAGTCTCCTGGTCTGCGCCGTCCTTCCGTTCGGAGCATTTGCAGATCGTTTGTCCCCCTCGTCGTTCCTCAGCGTGCCTGCTCGATGGCTGTACTCGATGGTCACGCCCAGGGCTTGGAAAATCATGTTGGCCCTTACGACCGGGATACATGTCATTGAGAGCCTGTACATGCTGCGATTGTGCAGGAAGCACCGCTCCGGAGCCCGCACGACTGTGAGTCCTCACTGTTCCTCCGAAAGACTATACTTTCTACCACGTGCTTCACAGTCCGCATACATGATCGGCACCGTATTCCTCGGTGCGCCCATGTGGCAAGATTTCTCGCAAAGGGTCCAGCGGGCGCGGATAGATTCTGTCAAGAGTGTTGTGCGACTGGCGTAGTTCCCAATTTGGCTGTTGATCAGACAGTGGGACACACGTCCAGATGACCGTCGATGATCGGTTTTGAGGTTATTATCTTGTCGCAGACATTCATCTCAAGAAGTTCTGGACAGACCTTTTCTGGAGAGTCTGGTTAATGCGTGGAGTAAGACGGGTATTTTTGGGGCTCGTGCATCATCCAGCACTCGACTCCCACCATAATCACATAATATCCATTCTGTATCACTCAGATTTGTCTTACACGGTCGACGTCGAATGTGGAAAACAAGACACTTGCCCCTCGGACTCCGCAATCTAGTGACTCGCCCGTAGCGTTTCTCTCATCTCGTCTCATTCGCCCGCCAGATCGCGTGCTGATAGCGAAATTCAAATGATCAGGCGAGGCCGCCTTGCGGTTGTAGATAAGTCGACAAGCAGGCATCTGTCACCCTCATCCGTCCTCCACACGCTGTGACCTCTCCCTCGCAATGGTGGCTGCTCCCTTTTCTCCGCTCGGTTCGCTCAGTGTCTACGAATCATTCGACGAGACGCCGCACATCGGCACCCGCTTCCCCAACAAAGCCGTGCAGCTCTCTCAGATTCTTCGCGCACCCAACTCCGATGAGCTCGTGAAGGACCTAGCAACCCTCGTGTCCTACCGCGGCGTTGTGTTCTTCTCGGACCAGGACCTCACCATCGACGAGCAGAAGGCGCTCGGGCAACGTCTGGGCCAGCTTGCAGGGAAACCGCCGACATCTACACTCCACGTGCATCCCATCTCGGAGGACACGCCTGAGCTGACGAAGGATGTGTCTGTGATTAGCTCCGAAGGGTGCGCCGCATTCGCATGTGTGTCCTCGGATCAGTGTGTGTGAACATCCTTTCCAGGGGCATCGCGCGTAGTGGATACTCGAGCACTGTGCGTGCGAGCAATGGATGGCACACGGACATCACCTTCGAGCCTGTCCCATCTGACTATGCGGTATCTATCGCGCTCGTTTCTGTCCTTCGGATTGCGCGCGACTCACGAGCGACGTACATAGATCTTGAAGCTGCACACTGTGCCCTCCGGTGCGCTTTCCGCTCGAGATCCTGTTTTCGAAACTAATCGATCTGAAGTTGGTGGCGACACACTGGTGCGTATTCTGTGTAACACTCTCAGTCGCCAGTCTGCAATTGAACGGACGATAACGACATCTACTAGTGGGCAAGGTCAGCCCTGATTTAGCACCTGTGTGTGTGCGGGGATCTCACCTCGATTCCTCCCAGCGGCTACGAAGCGTACGACAAGTTGTCTCCTGCGTACCAGAAGTTCCTCGAGGGTCTGACAGCACTGCATGATGGTGCTGGCTTCAGAAGGGTACGGAGATGGGCAACGCACCCGATCAAGGCATCCACTCACCTCCTCCCCTTAGTATGCAGAGCGGGTCGGCCGCCCCATCAATGAGCCCCGCGGGTCTCCTGAAAACATCGGCACAGAGTTGAAGGCAGTCCAGTGCGTGGCGGCGGTTCAAGCTGTAGATTCAACTGATGAGGAATAGCCCCGTCATCCGCACACACCCAGTCACCGGATGGAAATCCCTCTTCGTCAACAAAAGGTGAGTCGAGACTACCAAAATGGCTCGCGTCGGCCCACCTAATCGTCGCCTGCAGCTTCACTAAACGCATCGTCGAGTTGCACGAGGAGGAATCCGACACCACCCTCGAGTATCTCAGGCGCCACGTCTCTGAGAACCATGACATGCAAGTGCGCTTCAAGTGGAAGAAGAACGACATCGCTATCTGGGACAATCGATGCACCTTCCATACCGCCACGTTGGTTACTTTGCGTGCTCTGATGGCATTCGCTGATTGTCCTGTAGGAACGATTTCGAAGGAGTGCGCACAGGCAATCGGGTTGTCAGTATCGGCGAAAAGCCGTTTTTCGATCCTGCATCCAAGTCTCGTCGGGCAACCCTCGACTTGTAGCTTCCAGTCTGCACGACCCAACCTTCTCGTTTTCAACGGAGATTATAATTGACCCACAAACAACCCATGTCCATATATGCTAAGAGATGATGCTATACATTGAGAGAGCGACGAAGTGAGAGATTCGGCAACGCAGCTGTACTCCTGCAATGTCTCGTCGATGAATGCGGACCGCAGTGCATCTGAGGACGCCCAATTACCTGCCGATGACGGCGCCTTAATGTTCCGGAGGAAAGCGCCAGCGCAGAGATAATCTCGTCGGAATAGAGTCCTGACCCTCCAACCTGGATGCGTGAGTGGAATCAAACCCCGAGCCCCATCCATTCACTCCCAGGGACTTCTATGACTCTCTTGGCACCGCTCCGGACGCCGTCCTCGCCCGTGAGTCTCGATTCGACGCACAGCGCTCGGGCGTCGTGCCCCGGGGCATCGAGCGGCAGGCCGGCTGCGATGAACGTGCTTCTCCGCACGAGATGCGAAGCAGGCGCGTATGCGGGTGGTGTCAGCGCGGATCGGTGCGCGCGTCGCCAGAACGGAGAAGGGCGCACTGGCAGTGGGGTGTGAATATGGCTTGAGTCGGTGTCACGGATGACTCACATAGTGGGGGAGGAGGGCGCACGAGTTCGCCCCCTCGCATCGTCATCCCGCCCTCCGCAACATACGCATACCCACCGTGCCCGGCAGTCACACTGCGTCGCGGGGTCTGCCTGCTGCCGATCCCGTTGATGCGGCTTGTGTCCGGTATTAGACCAGGCGGAAACTGCTGCGGTCGGAAGATAGCATCGTCGACTGGGCTTCCGGTCCTCCGGATTTCGACCTCCTCTCGTCGAAAAGATGTCTGAGTGGGAGGTGCACTTTGCGATCGCTGCGGCCGATGCCTGTTTTGCGGGCTTTTCCAGGTATTCATAGGAGGACTGAGCAAGGCTATGTCGCGCCTCATTTGTTCTCTGCGAGCCGCAGACTCATCTGGGAGCGGAGCGGATTCAAGTGTGACCATGATGGGGGATGGTGCACGATTACGACGAGTAGCGAGGGGTGAGGGTGAGGACGAACGAACGATGGAGGACACTAGAGAAGTCACCGAGGAGGATGCGGCTTTCTGGTGTGCATACAGGGGTATTGGGGAGACGAGGACCGTGAGATCGGCCATTTTGAAGTAATGAATGGAGAGGGCGGGAGGGAGGACAATATGACTGCACAGCCACCCTTCCATATTAGTCACTGCAAGTTCACTTCTGCCTGCTCTGCCACTCAGATTGCGCGATCTGAAATTGAACCTCCGAATGTGCTCCGCAAGCTCGAAGCATATATGATGCTGTTGGCATAATTACCCGCGCCTGAGACGGGCTATGCCCTCGGCCCTAATCCGCTCCACCAGGTACTTTGATACTCCGTTCTTGAGGCGACGGGAATTAGCATCAACCTCTAGACTAGTCGAATGTATTCCTGGTGCCAATTTCTCTGCTCAGGCTCCAGGTATTCCCCCGGTCACTGACGTGTGTATCGCTCCGGGATAGAGTACAACCAGAACCTAAGAAAGATAAGTCTCCCGTTCACACAATGCCTCAAGAGCGCTTGCTCGCTCCAGATAGAGAGTAAAATTTGGGAGAGCACGGGAGATCTACGACAGAGGGAAATGGTAGAGAGCTCAATTTCAGACCTAAACTGCATTCCTGATGCCAGGGACGAAGTGCACATGTGACCAGACGACCAGTTGAACAGGCCCCAAAACCGACGCAGGAAAGAAAAATACAGCTAGATTGTGCATGGGAGAGTCCTGATCCACTATAAAATGGAGCAAATCAAGCCTAAGGCCCAATTTGGTAGAGTCAATCTGTCCAAGGCGGCGGAGTGTCCCTGACATCTCAACTCAAGTGACCGGGGGCCTGTGTGTGTCCTTGGACAGCTACGTAGCGACACTGGACTCGATGACTTCAGTTCGATGCATACCCGCGATCACATGTTATCGTACGGTCTGTTTTCTCCGTCCGCCTCCAATATAAAAAGGCAGTCCATATCGTTGCCTTTGCTCACGACCGCTTCTCTCTCGCGATGCGTTTCAATCTGTTTGCTCTCGCTTCCCTTGCGACCTTCTTCGCGGCTCCCGTGGCCAATGCGCAGTTCTGCAGCGAGGCGGCGCGCTTTGGCGTGCTGTCTGTCGTGCCCTCTACCGTAGCTCAAGGCGATGTAGATTCTGCTTCCATTCTATCTCTCGATCATCCAGGCTGACTCTGATGCAGTGGTTCACCGTGCACGTGGATTTGACATGTGCCAAGCAACTTGGGTACCTGCCGACCTACATGGATTATTACATCGAGGTGCTCAGCAACAACAATGGGCACGAGGCTCCGATCCTCCTCGACCGTCGGACCTACGTTCCCGGAGCATTCCCAGCCGATACTTTCACGGCTCAGGTACGCTTTCGGATCCTTTTACATATAAATCCGCGCGTCTGACTCGGATCGCATAGGTTCCCCCGTGGTATTACTTTGCCGATGCGAAATATTCGGTTGTGTTTGTGAACAGCTTCGCGAAATCAGGCCCGGCGAATAACTCTGTGATCACTTCGGGCTCGATCTCTACTCCGATTAACATCACAGGCATCGTCTAATGTCCACTAGGCGCAGTGATAGTCGATAGTCTTCGTTAGTGCTGGGCTTAAAATTATTTGGGCCGTGCTTTTTATATTTAAAACAAAACGGATCTGGGATAGGGCCTTGTTATAAACTTTGGGCTGCTATAAATCATTTAAAGCACAATAAAAAGCAAGGTGTAAAACACTGGTATTCTAATGAGTTGGGGGCTTTTCTACGTTCTACTCTAGTCTATTGTGGCTTGTCAGTCATTGTCAACGTCCCAATCCGAGTCCGAGTCCTCAACTACAGGCACAGGGACCTTCTTGCGCTGGCCCGAAGCCTGTACTTTGAAAGCACCTGGCATGATAAGAGCAGCCAAGGCAGGGCTGTCAAGCCGAACGAAATCCTCCAGAGCCCAGTGTATGGATGACCGCAGAATGATCAGAGTCTTCGTCGGCTTTTCATGAGCATCTTCGGAGTACATGACCTCATCAACTCGATCTGACTCCGCAAGATCAAATGGGTCGTCTTGATCGAAGAGCGCTTTCTTGAGGGCTTCGCAATCGACTGTGGTCGGGCTCACATCATTGTCATTGAGCAGATCCATCAGACGCGGAGCTGACAGGGTCACAGTAGTCTCGGTACTGATATCGACTTCGGCAGCGGCAGAAGCCATACTGAGAAGAGATTGGTGAAAAAAGATTGCTTCCACAGCAACGTTACGAGAGATCGCATCATGATTTGCTGATTTCGGAGATCTCTCTCCGCGTTCAGATGTCTAACTGACCATTTGGGAGTTTATAGAAATTTATAGCACCTGCTTTGGACCCATATCTTGCTATAAATGATTAAAACACGATTTTAATGTGCTATAAAACATTTGTTTTTAACTCATTGGTTTACAGCCCAGCACTAGTCTTCGTGTCTCTGTTGAAATTGAACGTACGTGGCAACGGAAAGTCGAGATAACGCGAAGGGAACATTGGTTTCTCATCAATGTAACATCAACTTATCGAGACGCCCTATGTTTCGATCGACGTTTGACATGACATGTGGCGATGAAGTGGCGGTGAGCCGCCCAATAAAGCAATTCGCAGATTACGATAATACATGGGTGGGTATGATTACAACTTTTCAGCCTCGAGCTCCCATTCGATTCTCGCCGCCAGAGAGAAGTCGAGTAGTTCCAGTTCGGCATCGTCCGAGAGGTGCATCAGTACTGTCGCCTTGTGCAACGCAGCGAAGAAACTGGGAAGCACCCAGAGCACATTTTCACGCAGCCGATGGTCGTAGATATCGCCGCGGGCGCTTTTCAAGCAGATATGGTCCATGACCTTATCGATGAAGCTCGCGGTCTCGGTTTTGTTGGAGTCGACGTGGCCGGATGTGACTTCCTCCAGGATGAGACGGCGAGCATCGCGGTCAAGTGATTTCCACGACTTGTATATGCTCGAGTGGAGGGTGACGTGTGTCGTGGTCGGGGCCTGCAGCCGCCCTGTGTTTTCAGGAAGCCCATTCCCCGTGCGAGACTCGACGCCAGCGATTCCGTAGGCCATTGAGAGATGGGCGGCACGCGCTTTGCGCACGGCGTCGGGATGGACACCGTCTCCATCAAACCGCACCCCGCAATTCCCAGTACCACATTTGAGTGTGCTTGGGCCATAGGGAGACACGAACTGGGCGATCGTCTCAACAGTCACGGATGCGTGATCGACGTCAACCGCAATTCCGGTCCACATTGCAGTGAATACGGGAACGACGACCGCAGCGGTCAGTTCTTCCGGCTTGGTGATCGCTGTCTGGATGTGCACGTCAGCTTGGGCTGCCCGGGTGAGATAGCCCTTGGGGGTTTGGTGGCTGTCTTCCGCGAATAGCTTGAATGCAACATCTGCAGAATGTTCCCGTCAGGTCGGCAGTAATGTCTTGTCAAACAACGTACATTGCAAGGCTGACGCATATTTGTCACCACCCGCCGCGCGGATCTGCTCAATCAATGTCGAAGACTCCGGAGAACCGATCCAGGTGTCCAAAGTCTTGAAGGCCGCGTCGGGACCAATGATAGCATGCGAGTCGTCGATATGTCGTGGAACGCCTTCTGCGTTGAACGAAGAGAAGACGACCTTGAGGATCTGCCGCTGGACAGCGAGCTTGTCGGCTGTCGGCCGCACAATCCGTGCCATGTAGACGGTGACCATTTCGTGCACGAGTTTGGCCACAAGCAGAGACTGGGGAATCTGCACTCCGCCCACTTTCGCAAGAAGGTCGAGCAGCAAAAGGAATCCAGGGATGGGGTACCGCACTATCCAGCTGTAGATCCCCTCCTCGGAAAAGTTGAGCAAAGTCCAGCGCAGCGCCTTGTCGAAGGAGACCCACGGCCCCGTTTCATCGAAGGTCTCGCGACAAGATACGTTGGAGATGAGATTGTCAACCATCCAGAGCAGACCCGCTCGTCGGGTCTGAATCTCTTCGTCGCCAGCAGATTCCTTGGCCCATTCTTTGGTCTTCATCGTCGTTAACAAGATACTCATGAGAACTTGGGCGAGCCCCGAGGCGCCAGTGGCCAATCCACCGGTCAACACGCTCGCAAGACAATTCGAGATGTACTGGCGGTTCACACCGTCAAATTTGGTCAGGGGTACGACAGCGGCAACAGCTTCGTTGTACATCGTCGCCCGATTGGGATCCATTTGGAACATGGCCAGGGCACACTGGAAGCATACATTTTGAGCACTGAGCACGTCCTGGTTGTGCGACGCAGCACCGGCAGCAAGCGGAAAGTTGAGTGCATAATCAGTGGTGTTGTCGCTCGGATTCGATGGGGATTTGAGAGCCAGAGACATGATGACGTCATCCGAGCAGCAGATGGAACAGGTCGACCGATACGCCTCTACTGATTCGTCCAGGCTGAGAGTGGCCAGCTGCTGACCGACTTGTGAAGAGTCAACGAGTGCTGCACGCATCGCCCGGTTTGACCGACGGTCGAGGATATCCGCGCCATAGCCCGCCTTCTCCAGTGCTGTGAGAGCAGCGAGGCATCGGTTCACAAGCGGGACGAGAGGTGAGGGTGTGATGGACGTATGTCGCGCTCGGAAATCCTCAAGATTAGTTTGATGTGCTGCACGGAGCTTCTCGCGTAGCCCTTCGGAAGGTGCGCCGTCTCGAATCTGCTGAAGAATCTGGGCAGCCCCACCCACATCCCGCATCTCAATCACGGTTACACTCTCCTTCCGAACCAACAACCAATCCCGAAGAGGCTTCAAAAGACCGCGTGTCTTGCACAAAAGAGACAGCGATTCGAATGTGTCTTCTTGGAGGAGGTCAATCAGTTCATCTTGCGGGATGCTGTCTGGTTGCATCTGCGTGAGCAAGAGATCGATGTCGACTAAGCACTGGTGTTTGGACAGCCACGTTGGGCCAAGATCGACGGCACCTCCGTTAGCACGGTGCTGCACTCCAACGATGTTCACATCCTTGAGCGCTGCCTTGAACTGCTCTTCCGTGGGGAACAAGGGCAGCGACTCCCAATTCTCGAGATCCAGTTCGAACCCATCCACGAGAGTTCCGAATGCTCCTTTCGCGGCGAGGACGTATATGCGCCCATCCGCGCAGCTCTTGAAGACGATGGCGGCGTCAGGGGCCGAGGCGAAGACAGATATCCCGACAGAAATGTTGACGCTCGAGGGCTTGCTTCCGTCGCGATTCGTGATGACGAACACGACGGGGGTGTTGGCCATGCCTACAGCGAGCGCTTTCTGCGCGAAAGGGACAGGGGAGCCAATCTCGCCGTCAGTGAGCAGGTACCACATGTCACAGCTCTTGAGTTCTGACGTTGTCGCTGCGGTGTTGAAGATCACGGCCGGGTCGGTGCCCCATCTATTGAGTTGCTTCGTGTTAATGCGGGATGCAATGTCTGGGCGAATTGGGGACGCACGATCGTTCCCTCCAAAGGACTTGGGACACGGCGGTTGGTGCCTCGACGCTGCTTCCCCACATAATGACGGAGTTGGGATATTCATACCCTTCCATCATTCCCAACACGAAATTCTTTTGCATGTCCATGACTCTGCCCGCTGTCGACCCTGATGCGTCCACCGCGAAGGAGATTTTAGAGTGGAGGAGGGGCATCGTTGGAGGTGCCTCCGCCCCAGAGGCAGACACAGGCTGTCTCCATGAGGCAGAAGGAGAGGTCGATGCGGAGGACATTGCTTTGATCAGGAGTACGAGCCATCATCTTTATATCAGCGAATTCATCGAGGAGACGAGTCATTGCTGTTCTTGTCAAGCTTAGTAGCGACCGAATCATTCGTTCAGGGTGACGGGCGCTGATTCGGGTTCGAGCTCGAGTCAGACAGATAGCGAATGCCACCGCGATGTTTCATGAGGGACGCCGCAACGCGGTCGTTGTTGATGATGCACTGATTCGGTCGGTGGAGATAGTGCCTGTATAACGTCTGATGGAGGAGACTGAGCGTCCGTACGTCTAGCATCAACAACACTGGACTCGACTGGGGTGAATCGGGGCTCAGAGGCTGGGCCTAAAATGTCGGAGGGGAAATTCGTGGAACTTCCAAGGCGAAGGAAACAAGCTGGGCTACGTAATAGTATCTCAAGTACCAGCACGCACGTGAAACTCTCGGCAACGCTCGCGCACGGACCACCATTGGCTTCGTATAAAGGCCAGTGCTGAACATCATGAATCTTCACCACTCTGGCCTTTTGGCTTAGATCAAGTGTAGTATCTGTTCTTAATAGTTTAACCACTATTAGAGGGACACAGTCCCTTCTATTTGGTTATCTAATTTTTGCCGCCCTTGTCTTTCTGCTCTGCTTGCAACAGAAGGACGCGATGACCTTGCCGCTGCACTACTGGCTTGTGTCGTCGGGGGTCCCCTTTTTTTGCATGCTCCGGTGGGCTAACCCTAACCCCAGTATAACCCAATATAATTGCAACGTCTCCAGTTGTAAATATATATTTGATGCGAGTGAAATACATGATCTCACATCAACGAAGGTTTCACTGCCAATGGTCTACATGCGGGGTCCTGCTACGCAAGGCACTACGCAATGTCAACCTTTTTCCAGTACGAATGCTAGAGGTGCTTATGCTTCATGTTGACTAACTCTATGAAGTGATGTACAGTGCGTCTCACAGCCACTATCATTTCCCCGCCATCCCGCGACTTTGCTTCGCTCATGACCATCGTAGACCTGCCTGAAGATGTTTGGCAGATCGTGGCCCTCTTCTTTCCACAACGAGAGCTTTCGCCCCTCATATCAGTTAACAAGGCGCTGTACAACATCGTGTTAAATGCCAAATACCGAGAAATCCATTGGGACAAGGTGGATAAGGATTTGGCGCGCACGCTGGTGCGTCTACGGTGGGAAGGTTTCAGATAGATCGTACATTCCGCTCACATAGTGCACTCAGAACACCCTGTATTGCTCAACGCGTTCGCCGACTACATGTTCGAGCTTGGTTCATCGAGTATCTCAACCGGAAGGAGGCCCAGTCCCGTCCTTCGGCGATGGCCACTTCTAAACGCTGGCTAAACCGCCACTTGCGACTGCCGTCTCGTTTGAGCCACGGTGCGAAGGGGAACACGACATACGCCGAGGATATCATGGAGGCAATGACGGAAGCTCTATCTCTGATGAGCCAGGTCACGGAGTACACTTTCGAATGGCGTGACCTTTCCCCCAATCAACGAACGTTACGCTTGCTCTCGACTGCTCGGAGCGCGTTCGGAATAAGTCTACGCAAACTCACTCTGAACGCACAACTTGAGAACTTCAGGGCGCTGGTATCAACGGTCGAATTCGAAAACCTCGAGGATCTGGAGCTCTATTTTGACCACGACAACATCGACTTGGATGTAGAAGAGACGCTTCAAATTCTGCAAAATACCATTGCCCCGTTCATGAACCACTTTCGACGTACGATTAGCAGCCTCTTCATCTTCTCTGCTTCCAAGGCTGACCTGTCGTCTCTGTTTCCTGCCTTGGACAAGTTCCCTCGTCTCTACAACCTGATATTTCACTTGCCCTGGGACTCTGCACATCTTTCCGAGCCAGATGCGCTCATTGGGTTCTTGCGTCGAAACACGGAGATGTTACGGAGCATAGAGCTCGGGAAATCATATGCGGCCGTCTCCGAACTGGCCGATGCACCAACCTGCATTTGGTCTCAGTTCTCCCGGGCACTGCTCTCGGACCCTCGAGTGCTAACAGATCTCACGATTCTCAAAATACCCGCCTTCGAGTCCTTCGAAGAGACACTCGCATGTATCAATTATTCGGCGCATACCCTGAGAACCTTACATCTGGTTGACTATTTCTTCGGCGAAGACGAGCTACTTGCTTTCGTGCAACTTTTCGCTCGCCGCAACCTAGACTCCGGTCTACGAACATTGTATATCGGCCTGTCTACGCTGACTGTTTCGACAATAGATCTTCTGGCCCGGCGATTACCGGCCTTGGATAGTTTGGGCCTTGTGCTGGCTGAATATGTCGCGTCGGAAATTATGATTATGGTGTGTTGCCCATCGACTCCTTTGTAACGCGCCACGACTTACTTCTGTGATAGCAACACAACGTACTAGTCGTATGTGATGAGACACATGCCTAAAGTCGTGCCACCTCTAAATTGCCTTGCAAGCTGCAGGCATCTCCTTTCTGCATGTCTCTCGCGGCACATTCTTTTCCCGAATGGGGACTGGCCAACATCGGTGAGTGCAGGACAACATCCCATGCGCCACGATGAATCGAAAGCTCTTCGATAGGAATCTGGTCAAAGCGGTTCATCGAAACACCCTATTCGACCCCGGAAGAAACAGCAATCATGCTGCACATCGCTCGCTGCTTCCCGAGCATCCGCAGTTTCAAAGCCCTACCTCGATCTACATCTGCATTCATCTGTCCAGCATTTCCGTAACCATTGGGAAGATCTTCAATCATCTTCGAATGTCGTATGCTAGTTTCTATGGTTGTGTCGATACTTGCTCGGTTTTTGGTGACAAATGGTAAGTTTTTGTTCATTTTCATCTACCGTTCCTTAATGAACTGCCGAAGGTCCATCATCCTGTTATTCTTCCACTCATTGGGAGCTTACGATCACAAGTTTCTGTCTCGTTGATTGTAAAACTGGGAAATAGTCTAGAATTACGCTCCGGATCAGGGAACTAATGTACTTTTAGCACCATTCACGGAGGTCATTCTGGCACGGCCATACGTGGATCGAGCTCTCTTTTCGATCGCCAGATGAAACATGGACTCGAGTCGTGATGTATCCCGGAATAAGGAAAATGAAACATCTGTAAAGGAACTTTATGTGCCTAGCGTCCAGAGCTGTCTCGGGCAGAGACGCTGTCGATATAGAAATCTGGGGTTAGGGTTAGCCCACCGGAGCATGCAAAAAAAGGGGACCCCCGACGACACAAGCCAGTAGTGCAGCGGCAAGGTCATCGCGTCCTTCTGTTGCAAGCAGAGCAGAAAGACAAGGGCGGCAAAAATTAGATAACCAAATAGAAGGGACTGTGTCCCTCTAATAGTGGTTAAACTATTAAGAACAGATACTACACTTGATCTAAGCCAAAAGGCCAGAGTGGTGAAGATTCATATGTTCAGCGTTGGCCTTTATACGAAGCCAATGGTGGTCCGTGCGCGAGCGTTGCCGAGAGTTCCACGTGCCAGATCGGTGCGTGTTCGCAACTGTCCCAATCCTTTCTCAAACTTAGTTCGCTCGTTCAACGCTACAGCTGGATCCGAATGTATACATGTGCATCCCTACATCTTCCTCAACGCAGTTTCGGTCCCTGCTTCTTCTTATTCTTCTTGTGGGTCACAGACGTTCCTCCGCGTCGTCGGACCACAGTGTTCTCCGGGAGCAGCGTGGTCACTCTACCCAGCTCAACATTCCACACGCACAGCAACGTCTTGCCGCTGTCCTTCCACTTGACTCCCCAAATCTGTTCCCTGTTGTCCTCGTCGTTCAATAATGTCAAGGTCCCCTCATCGAGGTCGACCGGATCCGGCTGATTTCTGGCTCGATCGACCACCTGATTCAGCGTACGGTAGTCTGCGTCGTCCAGCTCTAGGGAATATCGTTCGTAGCCACGCTCGCGGACATGCTCTTGCGAGTAGGCGAAGTCTTTGGATGACTTGGGCATACCAGTGGATGGATGGGATGTACTTGAGTATGATTCAATTGCGGAGGCAGTGCTGCGTATAGACGCTGACAGGACTTGGACACTACTTGCATTTGGACCTCAGCAAACTTCTCCCTGCTCTGTCGTGATCGCTGGGCTGGCTTCTGCAGCAAGCTTCCGGAATACTGAGAGGAACGCATCCTGTCCTTGAGCACCTGAAACAGCATACTGATGCGAATGGACTGAGCCCTGACGCAGAGATCAGGCATGGCGATGCTCACCTTGTTGTTCAGGACGACGAAGGGAACACCTTGGACGCCCATTTTCTGGGCTTCTCCGATGTCCTTGGTCACCACATCCTTCAGCTCGGCACTTTTGAAGAACGCGAGTGCCTCGTCGGCGTTTCCAAACACGCCAGCGTTTACCGCACAATTAACCAAAAATCCGTGATCTCCGACATCCCGCGCATTTTCAAAGTACCCTGCAAACAACGCCTCGACGACCGCGCGCTGTTTCTGCTCTCCTCCAACGAGAAACGCTTTCTCGATGAGCCGGTGCGACTCCGTTGTTTGTCTGACGTCGCCATCGTCTTACAAAGCCGTCAGTGTATGCATCGCGTTTCCTCTCGGAGAGTACTCACATGAGTAGTTGATCCCCACGTCCTTTCCCCTTGCGATCATCTGCTTCTCCATTCTCTCGAAATTCTCCTTGCCGAACTTGCCGTAGTACAGAGTCCGTTTGTTCAGAGGCTTGTCGGTCGGAAGTGATGGGTCCAGAAGGAACGGCTTGAACCTGAGCTTGAAATCAACGGGCAGGGCTTCCTTCTTCGCCGCCTCCATAGCCAATGTTATTTGACGATATCCCAAGTAGCAGAAACTGCGATCTATATCAGATTTGATGGAGTCTGGGGAAGAGGTGGGGACCTACGGGCATATCGAGTCACTGATGATCTGGAGAGTAAGAGGTTTCAAAGCAACGGAAGCCATGTTGGGTCGACAGAGGTGGGAAGGTATCTGGTAGAGGACAACGTTCGATTATAAGAAGTACTCTAGATATTCCGTGTGTTATAAAGCTCCATCGGCCATTACAAATTGAGATTTGTCACGCGTCGGCGTTGCACATCACTACAGTAAGACTGACACAAGCAGGCCACGAGCGGGAAAAATCGTCAAGCAGTGTAGGAGGCCATCCGAACCCTGGCACGAGTTCCAGTGCTCGAGGGGAGCTAGAGGTGCTATCGACTGATCCTCGGGACTTGCGAGCTGGAGCTTCGGATCGGCCGTTATCTAGAAATAGATCTCATTCATCTGTAGATTATATAGTTCTCTGCGCTGGGCCAACACTTCAATTCATAAGGGCCTGTAGTAGGTACTCCGAAATTGGAATGCTGGTGCATTCGGGTCGGTATCGGGCCGACTTCCGATCATTTCTGACGAAAAGAATCAATGACGCACTTTGATCAAGGAACTCAATTTGTCTGGGTGTTTTCTGTACCGGGACTCCACAAGACACTCCACCGAAGTCCATCCTCCGCTGTCATTTACTCCAATGTCCGAAAAGGAAACCTATAAAAGCAGAGATTGTGTAGTGACTCTGATCCCTCACGGACACACTGAAGTCCATCAAGTCCACCCTAGCACATCTGGCTCAACATAATCCATGACGACTCCAACGACGCCGAACACCACGATTCCACCAACCAATGCGCACCCGCATCTGACGGAGGAAAAGCCGGTCACCACACATCACGAAAATCACTCGCCCTACGGAACTTCAACGATGCTCTCGAACTCTCGCCGCTCATCGCACAGGGGGAGCAGAGCTCAAGCTGAGTCGGTCAAGGAGTTGACGTACGCGCCCTTCGGTTTCTGCCTCGGCGAGAACGCTAATTTTATCTCCAGGGCTGTAAACGCCAAGCTTGAAAACCCGCTCCGCGGCATACCGCGTGAAAAGCTGCTCGCCGATGTGGATCGCTTTGCGGAAGAGCACGGCTTGCAGGATATCACCGCTGATTTGAGGAAAGGCGCCTTGGTCGCGCAGGACCCCAATGGTGACACCCTCTCTTGCCTCTGATCCTTTGTGCACGGACTCAGTAGTTTCTAGCCATCGACTCCATCGACCTGCTCGATGAGAATGACTTGCATCATCTTCGACGTGAAAAAACACATCGATACCACCAAACGCCCACGCTGTATTTCATGGTTATCATGTCATCGCTCGCCGCCGCTGTCCAGGGTATGGATGAAACCGTCATCAACGGCGCACAGATCATCTACCCCTCACAGTTTGGAATCGGATCCGGAAGCCGTGCGTGCAACCCCTTCTTGCCTTTCACCTGCTAATTTCGAGCATGCAGAACATGACTCGTGGCTTGTCGGCTTGGTCAACTCTGCGCCATATCTTTGCTGTGCAGTCATCAGTTGCTGGCTGACCGATCCGCTCAACAAGATGCTCGGCCGCAAGAAAACGATCTTCTTGACTTGCTTAATCAGGTGCGCTCGCTCGGTTCACTCGGGTTTCGTACGCTCACGCCTTTGCCGCAGCTTTGTAACTTGCATCTGGAGTGCGCTTACCAATACGTGGTGGCATCTGTTCATCGCCCGATTCTTCCTGTAAGGAGTTCTACTGTCCTTTATCCTCATCTAACGTCGCTTCAGGGGTTTCGGTATTGGCCCCAAATCTGCCACTGTCCCCGTGTACTCTGCAGAATGCGCACCAGCCTCCATCCGAGGGTCACTGGTGATGATGTGGCAAATGTGGACTGCTTTCGGAATCATGCTCGGCGACTTGGTTGACGTGGCTTTCTACTTTGTCGGCGACAAGCCTCATGTGACTGGCCTCAACTGGCGATTGATGCTTGGCTCTGCCGGTATTCCTGCTCTCCTCGTCTGCATTCAAGTATGGTGGGCGCCCGAATCGCCGCGGTGGTTGATCGGCCGTGGTCGCTACCGGGAAGCGTATCAGGAATTGAACAGACTGCGCTTTACGCCTGTTCAAGCTGCACGAGACCTCTACTACATTCATGTGTTGCTCGAGGAGGAGAAAAAGATCATCTCGGGACGCAACCGTCTCTGGGAGATGTTCTCTATTGCGCGGAACCGTAATGCGGCAATCGCTTCTTTTGTCGTTATGTTCGGTGGGTGGTTTCGCCTCTCATTCTGTTTAGCGGTGCTGATTCAGTCTCGCTTGCAGGCCAGCAATTCTGTGGTGTTAACGTCATCGCCTATTATTCGTCCACCGTTTTCTTCCAATCCGGCTTCTCGCGTGTTTCATCGCTGTTGTCCTCGTTTGGTTTCGGTCTGATCAATTTCCTGTTTGCGCTGCCAGCTGTGTTCACGATTGACACGTTCGGTCGAAGGTCAGTCCCACGCTAGGATCATTGACGGTGGCTCATCAGTCGCAGGAACCTACTGTTGTTCACCTTCCCGTTCATGGCGATGTGTCTGCTCATCACAGGATTCTCGTTCTGGTCACCCTCAGAGACTGGTCGTGTCGCTGGCGTGTCTCTCGGTATCTGTGAGTATTTCGCATTCCATGATCGTGGCTGGGCATTGACTGACTTCGTGTGTCAGACTTGTTCGCCATGTTTTACTCGCCTGGTGAAGGACCGGTGCCCTTCACGTATTCTGCAGAAGCGTGAGTGCCTCGGTGCATTCAACTGGTCTCCTGTCTAACATCTTGTTCAGATTCCCACTGTATATCCGCGAGCTGGGCATGAGTTTTGCTACTGCCACGACCTGGTTCTTTAACTTTGTGCTCTCAATCACCTTCCCGTCGCTGTTGAATGCGTTTAAGCCACAAGGCGCATTCGGCTTCTACGCAGCGTGGTGCTGGTGAGTTTCTTTTTTCTCGGCTGTGTGTGTGCGTCTGACACGGTATTCAGCGTGATCTGGGTCTTGATTCTTCTGTTTGTTCGCGAGACAAAAGGTCGAACGCTTGAAGAACTCGATCAAGTGTTCTCGTTGCCGATGCGAGATCACGCTGCCTACGGATTGCGGCAAGTTCCCTATGGATTCCGGAAGTTTGTGCTGCGCCAGCCTGTCGTTGCAGAGAAACTGTATGAGTCTCCGAATGACAGTGAATCTTTCGACGGCCAGGATTCCAAAACCCGAGGCAACTTGGTCAGAACAGAGAAGGTGGCCGATGGCAAAGTTTGATTTTACGCCTATAATTCCGCATGTCACTGTTAAATAATGTACCACTACATCAATGTATAATATACTCCAGTTGAACTTCCAATTTGCAGTCTCTGCTCTCACTGGGGTGCGAACCCATCAATACATGCGCGATCAGGTGATGCACATGTTCCTTTACGTACTACATTAGTTGAAGAATCGACGTTTACATGTCATCCACGACGACGACGTCCCCCACGCGACAGCAGCAACGGTTCAGCACACGAGCTTGTGTCCGCAAGGCCCGTGGTGTTGCCTCCGTTGTCAAACTGGAGGGTGTCTCTGCTGCTCTTACTACACCTAAGAAAGCGCCTACTAGTAGAAAGGGCAAAGGAAAAGCCAAGCAGACGGGTGGCGATCCGAGCGCTCCGACAGCCGAGGAATGGAATCGTATGACCCCGTACGAATCGTTTGTTGGTTCGTTCACTCACTGGTCACTTCTCATGCTCAGTCTTGATGCAACGGAACGCAGGGCAGGACAATGAAGGGGGTGACGAGGAGTTCAAGCTGGGGGATACGTCAGTCATCCGCCGCTCGTGCTTATCTGAATGACTGAGCTGTTTCATAGAGCTGCCGTGCTTCCTGGATGGACTGTGCCAGGGAGGCGGCTCCCGGCGCACAGGTACTGGATCGTGAAGATCAAAGGCATACGCGCACGACAGCACGCACCAATCTCGAAGCGGCGGAAGCGGAACACGCATGGGTCTATTGTGGACATGGATAGCCAGGATCACCCCGATATCTGGGTCAGAGTCAACTGGTACTATTCACCAGGGGAAGTGAGCAGGGTTACTAAGGAATTGTAAGTCGAATCGGATTCTCGCACGGCCAGACAAGCGTTGAAGAATCGACAGTTCGGAAGGTCGTTGTCTCAAAACCGAACGGATATACTCCGATCACAGTGACCTCGTCTCTGCTCTGGCCTTCGAGCGTGCGCATAGAGTTTTCGGCATAGTCTTCGACGGCTTCTTATCCTTCTGCACACAGATCACGTTTCCGTCCAACGATTTCACGAAGACGATCCGGACCAGCTGCCGATCGGACAGGATGACTTTTACACTCGGTACTTCATGAAGACTGCCGTTCGCCCACTGGAGTTGCTTCAGTTTAGTCTAAAAACTTCCGGCGAAGATCAGTCTCCAATCACCGGATGTTTCTGCGGAGCACCTTATGACGTGAAAAGCCGTGTCCTGTCAAATGTTATGCACATGTGCCCTCGCCCCAGGTGCCGACGCGTTTACCATCAGTCGTGTCTGCTAGAACGCCAGCACTATCTAGAGATGACGAATCCTCTGGCCCGGCTCCTGGTGTCACCAGACTGCAACGAACCTGTGACCCTCCCCGCCTTCTCTGACAGGAAACGGAGGGCGTATCTATCTGCAGCTTGGACCGATATCCCCGAAGATCTCGTTCTACTCGCGTCGAAGCCGATGGTTCGTGGTGGCGCCGCATTGCCGGGGTTGGGCATCACGGGGAATGCACGAGATGTGGCCTACGCGCGACGGACGATATATGCTGCTTTGTCCGACGGTCACAAGGTACCGGAACGATGGGAAGAGTCGGTTGATTTGGAGCATTCGCTGGTGTCCGGTCTACCACTTATTTCACGCAATGGAACGAACGAAATGACTTTGGTCTGTCCCTGTTGTGCCGCAGCAATATAATGAGTCTGTGATCTGCGAGGGGAATCACGAGAAGAGGTTTATTGTAACTAATAGATTATGTAACTTGCAGAGGTATTGAAAAGCCATTACATCTGCTGAGCCATAGCACGAAGCTCAGATGCCATCGCGGGATAATTCTGCCTAAATTCGAGTTGTGCTGAAGAAGCCTACCAGAAGACGTTAGTCGCAGTCAATCATCAACACAACAGACTACGCACATATTGATAGGTCAGGGCACTGGAAAGCTCGGGCTCGCTCCTTGCCAGCTCGGCTTGGCGCGCGAAAAGCTCGACCGCCTTCTCGATCCGACCTTGCTGCAAGCTCAGCTGTGCCAGTGTCGCCACGGCAGCTTCACACTCGGGATCTATCCTGACAGCCTCGTTGCAGCACCGTTCAGCGGCCCCGACGTCCTGTTTCCATTGATACAGTGCAAGACCCTTGTTGACCAGGGCAAGGACGTTCGGTGGGGACCTCGAATAGTATTCAGACAACACGCTCGAGCAAGAGTTTGAAGACTTACTTTAACTTCTCAAGCTCTACAGCGCGCTCGAACTTTTCAACGGCTTCCGCAAAGCGCTGCTGGTCAAGGAGAAGCTCGCCACTGGTTGAATGTTAGGACAGAGCTCAAGCGATAGGAACAGGTGCCGCACTAGTAGTTGTGTGGTTCACTCCGGTTAGGGAACTGCTTCAGTGTTCGCCGGAAGGTAGCCATGCTGTTCGCAATGTTGCCTCCCTTGTACTGGGCAACAGCCAACTGGATGTGGCTGAACACAAAGTCGGGATCAAGGGTGCTAGACTTGGTGTAGTTCTCGGCCGCGTCTGTGTATTCACCCATGATGAAGAGAACCTGTCCCCGGTGGTAGTAGATGTCGGGATCATCTGCATTTTGCCGAATGGCCGCATCGAAGCACTCGAACGCCTTGGTGGGATCGCCCTGTTCCATGTACACACTGGCAACCTTCACCAAGCTCTGCGTCAATGCTGGCGACAGTTTCGTGCTCTCCTCCAAATCGGTCTTGGCACTCTCAACCTCCCCAGTCAAAAACCTAGGAAAGTTTGAATATTACACCCTGCGTGCGGTGAAGAGGAACGAACTTGAATGTCCCCCGCAGGTTCAGCGCTTCAGCACGCAGAGCATCGGAAGAGAGACCTTGTTCGATAGCTTCGTTGGACAGTGACACCGCATGTGGGTAGTCCTCCGCAGCCAAGGCTTCTAGAGCGAGAACTAAGGTCGAGTCGCCGGTGCTCGGGGATTCGCCAATGTCCGGTAACGGTCTTGGACGGAAGGCAGCAAAGTAGGCGGAGATAAAGGTGAAGGAGGGCAGACGAGGTTCTCTGGAAGCAAGGATTTCCGTCGTCTTCTCTCCCGCCAGCTTCTTCAAAACACGCTCAACTGACTGAGCAGCCCCCTGGTTCGTGAATTTATCCAAAATCGTTGCGGCGGTAAAGTCTGGAACCAGGTGAGAAACTCGGCGCGTCGAAGAGATGTAAATTTACCGCGCAGAGCTTCGGCATAGCGATGCAAACCCTCCAAAGCCATGGCACGTCGGTTCATCGCTTTCACATAATTAGGGTCCAGCTTCAGCGCTTCGTCGCAGTCCGCAATCACGAGCTCGTGTTTGGGTGGACTCATGTTGACATAGCCTGGGAATGTGTTAAGCACCGGACGCGTTTTAGTGGTGAGAAATCACACGAACAGGCTGCACGATTGCTGTAGTACACAGGCTCCGGTTTTGGTGACACATCTATGGCAAGGGTATAAAGTTGGGCAGCGGCCGCGAATTTTTTCGTGGAGTACGCAGTGTTTCCTTTGCTCTTGTAGGAAGCAGCTAGCGTGGTTCGCTCCTGCGCAAATTAGCATGTCTGCTGGCAAGGAAACGACTGCCGAACCTCGGTGGACATGGCAGCGAGTGCCTCCGGCGACAAGGGCGTCGCGTCTTCATCTTAGAGTGCGTTAGAGGCGACCGGTAATTCAGCTTAGTCTCTGCTACACACCAGCAGCCGCCTCCGCCTTCGGCGTCCTTTCCTCCAAAATAGGCCCATCAGCATCCTTGACCGACTTTCGCTTCTTGGAAGGCTTGCTGCCCTTCTTCCGGTCCTTTTTGTCGGAAGACGAAGAGGAGGCGTATAGGACAGCACCACCGACTGCCACAGCAACACCTGTGCCAACCAAGATGGCGGTCTTGTGTTCCGCGACAAAGGACTGAACGCGTTCAACGAAGCCTGAGGTGCTTTCTTGGGCCATTGTTGGGAATGTTTGATGAGTTGGCGTCTCAGACGCGAACGCCCACGGCAGGAAAAGTCAGAAAGATCGGGATACGTGACGGTCACTTTTACGTCATGAAGTCGCGTCATCATCAGATGACATTCTTTCAATCGTCTCCCTAGAACTGCAGCACCTGTGTTTCCTCTGGACATTGCTTCCACCGAGCTATACGCCTATCGATCCTCCATATATTTCTAAAATAACTTGTGCCCATTGGAGTTCTCTTCTTCAAGCCATCGCGTAATTGCGCGCAGCATCAATCTCAAGATGCTATGACCTACCACTGGCAGGGCTCCACACAGCCGCGCAGTCCAGTATATAACTCGCTTGCACCACAACTTCAACTCTGTGCTACCTCATCTGTCTTTTCACACACGCGACTACCTCCTCATCCTCATCAAACTCTCCTCTCTCTGCTCTCTCATGGACGACAAATTCACATCACATCCTCTGATATCGATGCCTCAACCCATGCAAGCAACCCACCTACCTCCAACCGACTCAGACGCGTCTTTCCCCGGCCCTCCGGTTGGCAATGACAAGCCTGGTTTCCAAGCCCGCTCCATCAATCGTACTCCCAGCCCTACTCAAAGTGAATTGGACTTCCTGAGCGGCGTCAGGAAAAAGCGGAGCACATGGGAGATCGCTCGTGCGTTCCAAAATGCTCCTCGTCTCGTTTCTCGTTTGACCGGAGCGACAGGAGGACTGCTCATCCTTGTCGTCATCATCGTGGCGATTGTGCTCATTGAGATTTATCACGACCAAATCATAAACGCGCTCAAGCCCGTGACACGATGGCTTCATGGGTAAGTTACATCGACTCTAGTCGCTGCTGTATTTTCTCACGACTCGCCCAGCGCAAGAGGCGGATGGCTCGTTCCGATCGCTGTGCTCATTGTCTTGTCTTTCCCTCCAGTCAGAACCCCACCCGGTCGTGATGACTTGCATCATGCTCATTTCCTTTCCAGTTATTTGGGCATGAAGTCGTTGCAATGTTGTGTGGCCTTGTATGGGGTATAGGCGTTGGTTTTGCTCTAGTCGCTGGTGAGTGCACTTGAGCGATGCGGCTCATTCGTATGGAACATCTGACGGATGTGTTGACCAGTTGGTACCTTGCTTGGGGAGATAGGAACGTACTAGTGAGTCTGAATGGACTTGCTTTTCAACCATTCTCTAATAGCCTTGCAGCCTCTTTAGATATGCTCTCCGCTCAAGAGCGGAAAAGTACGAAAATAGAAAATTGAGTTATGCAACCCTCGCTCACGTTATTCGACATGGTGGCCTGCCGATGGCGACTGTTGTGCGATACAGTGCATTTCCTGGCCATTGTCAGTAAATTCATGAGCATGTGTAGCCTCATTCGCTGACTGCAGATCAAAGTGACGACCGCCATCTTTTCTACATGCGGCATGTCTTTCTGGGTTTTTCTCGTCGCCGCCACCTTAGGACTCGGCAAGCAACTTGCATTTGTCTACGTCGGATATGCTCTCAATCAGAGTGGTGTGTTCTGCTCTTTGATGGTGAGGGAAAGTCGATTTGACCTATTCATTGATTAGACAGCAAAAGCAAGAAAATCCAGAGAATTGTCGTTGGGATCACTGTTGCCGTCACAGTCTTGGCCATGCTATATGTGCGTCGGAAGCAGGTCCAATCGCAGGACCAGGTGGTATATCAAAGACGCAAAGCTCGGCAATCCCGTGTGGAAGGCGAAGCAATGAGAGTATGAGATCATAGCGTACTTGGGTCTTAATAGGACAATATTTTGCAAACTTGTAACACCAGCTGCCCTCTGTGTCGCCTAACTTCACGTTCACATTGAAGTGAACGATGATCTTGTCAAACAGGACATCTTTGCTGACAGCACCGCCACAACATTGCTTCAGCTCCTACCCGAACATGCCATGCTTTCGTTCTCCCTGACTCGGCCTGGAACACTATGGCAGTGGCATGCCCGACGATTTCTGAGCGAGAGGACGTATCCGTATCAAATCACGGGCATACGTGCAGCTAGAGCAAGACGCGACTTTGAAGCCAAAGTCCGCACGCGCGTTTTCGAAGAGGATGTCATCCAGAGCACAGAAGAGGAGCTGGAAAACGGCAACAAGCATACATGGTTAAATGAGGACGAGCTGAAGAACGAGTTCCGCATGATCACCTGCCTGGACCCGCGGTACCTCAAAAGCTCGGACTTTGTCACCATTTCGCATATGCGTCATCCCAGCATCTCCTTCATCCCAAAAACGACGTACGTCTGGATCCGGTACTACAAGCACAAAACGTTCCAGCCGTTTCCACCCGACACTCGCGGGTTTTTCTACTATTCTGCTCCAAAGCCTGGATATCCACCCATGGCGGGCGGTTTACGATTCCGGCTCGCTCCCCGAGGGCTTTCCGACTTTGCCAATGGACAAGACCTGATGCTGCACGGGCTTCCATGGCAAGTCTCTCTGTGGACCATCATCAACGCCAAGGGAGGTGTCATGCGCGATCAACTGCTGCAAGAGGGCTTGATCACTCAGAACGACGTCGAAGTGTGCCAGCGCGCGATCTCGTCCAAGAAGAGATTCGACCACAAGTTTGCCGTTCACAAGCTGGACGAACCCTTCCCCATCAATTTCGCAAAGAGTTTGAATCTGTACATCTACTGCTCTGAAGCGAGACTCTACTGCCCGTGGAAAGCCAGCTTCCTGTTTGCCGACAATCGGAGGTCGGTCCCTGGATGCAACTTCATGATGCCTTACTCTGGTGTGTTGAATGTCGCACTCGTTGATTTCGATGCCTAAGGATGTCGCATGCCAGGTGCCGCGTTGGCTCGCTTTGAGCTGAGCACATCGGACGCCGATAGCGTCTGTCTACGCTTCCTCAAATTTCTCGAGCCCGTCAAATGCGTCATCCCGGGCTACGACGGCCACATTCCCATTCCTAGTGAAGGTCATTTGTTCCGTCGGCCCACAGGAAGAAACAAGACTGTGGACACGTGGTCCTACAGCACATTGGAGAAACTCGGGCAGGCTCTTCGGCCACTTGTTCAGGTGAGAGCATCTCCTGTTGCAGATACAAGATGAACATAAGCATTTTCCTGACGTGATCACGCCGCACTGAGTTTATTGGCCCATGTAACCGTCGGCAGAATGAAGGCATATAATTTGCAACCTGACTTCTTGTTTGCTTGTTCTCATTGCTCCAGTCTTGCTGATTCTCGATTCCCAGGAGGCATCGCCCCATCGCACTAGTGTCGCTTGACTAGATGTCTTGCACATATGGTACATACAAACAACGGATTAAAGAACATATCGCGGGGTCAGAACAAACACGGCGGCGAAAGTTCACTAATCAGACCATCCCTTGTCGCACTTGTCAGGGATGCCACGCATGATTTATCGGTCACGCACGAATAAGATAGCATGAATGCTGTCTCCGTCAGTTCCAGCACGTCGTCGAAGATAGCATCGAAGCATTCTTTGAACCGATCTGGCCCGGAATAAGCGTGAACGGCTCCCATGATGTAGCCAAACAAGCACGACGCGTCGACGTCTGAAAGATGCGGAATGGGAATGTCTGAACAGCGCATGATGCGAGCCAAGGATGACGGCGCAAGGATTCTTGGTTTGAGGATCTGCGTGCAACGGCTCTAAGCGTGCGCGCTTCTCTCGACCACACAATAGCAACGCACAGAGATGTAAGCAGCAATAGGAAGATCTTTGTTTGACTTGAGCAGTTTGGAGGTGACCAGAGCGTTGACGAGGCATTCGCCTAATTTGATTGTTTCGAGTATATCACAGTCCGGAATCTTGGGCAATCGGACGCAAACACCGGTTTCTTGGATCCAGGGCTTTAGCTTGTGGCTCATAATGACTGCTTCGACTTGAGATATTAATGAGTTCTCAGAGTTGCGGTGGAAAGCGAGGTTGGGCGGGGTGGATAGTTGGACTAGTGAGACAGACGGATGCGAGATCATGTTGCCAGCAAAGAGATAGTCGTCGTCCAAAGGTTCGGACTTCATTTGGCGTCGAAAAAATTGGCGTCGAATGGGACGTGAAACTAGCACTGATCGCTTCTGATGGAGACGGCGAGAACCGAAAGAGTCGCATGAGAATGGTTTGCCTGCAGTCGATTAGCATACTTGACCGTGAAGGTGAATGGAGAGACGGACATGACGTCAGAGAGACTTCGAAAGAGCAATCCAAATACTCTTGACTTAGAAATTTTCTGATTAACGCTGCACTGTTGGACCTCATGTCGGAAAGGAGAGAAGGAAGCGAGAAGAGTTGGATGCGGCGAGGAAATGTGTCGCTGTTTGGCCAGTGATGGAGCAGAATTAGCCACCAATGGTTGAATCTACGCCTGAATGCCGATAATTCTATTATAGAACTGCAACTCCCTGCATAGAGCATCTTTAATGGTGTCTTTCTTTTTCCAACCATGCCCTTCACCCTCGTAAATCTTGAACTCGAAGTCGCAGCCGCGATTCTTGAGGCTAGCGACGAGAATCTAAACGGGGATGAATTCAGCATCGCGCGGAAGACCATTCAATGCCCATCACCACTCGCCTCCGCTTGGTCTTTCGGAACTGCTGTATCCATATCCCCTTGTAAAATCTGTGGCAAGAACTCAAAGACCTGAGATCATGGAACAAGTAACACAACTCACTAATATGGGCGCCGTAATCTTATCCACGTGGGAGATGGGCGATCTTTCTTGCAGCATGGCTTCATCATCGCTCACCAGCCACGCAAGGTATCCACTCTCGAACTTGTGCGTGCCTTCAAGCAGATGGGGCAAATCCACAACTCCGTACAAGGAAGTGCCACCAGCGAAAACATTTTCTGCTGCGCGAACAGAGAGCAGGGTAAGAACCGCAAAGCCCCCAGCAGAAGCCCCTCTGACTACAACGCGTTGCGGGTCGATCAGCTGGTAGGGCGGTGAAGAGATGGCCTTGACAACTGCGATGCAGTCGTCAGCATCCACGATGCCCCAGCCACGGTGCAGTCGTTCCAGGTATTCTCTCCCATACCCAGATGATCCACCGTAGTTCACATCTATCCATGCCCACCCGCGCGAGGTAAAGAACTCCCGCGTCAAATTGAATGACTGGGGAGCCATCCCCACTGGACCACCGTGCGCGCTGACAATTGCGGGCGGTTTTTCGTTCATGGGTGCGATAAAATCTGGGTTCGTAGGCGGGTAGAATATCGCGTGGATTTTTGATGTGCCATCGCCGATTGACATGGGATGGGGACGAGAGGCGAAGGCCGGGGGAATATCTGAACCGTGGGAATTGACCATCAGGTCGGTAAATTCGGCCTGCGCTTCATTTCCTAGAGTACATCGTACAACAGTCGACGGAGCGTCTATCGGAATTCCGATAAACGTGATGACTGCTGGATCGAGCGAGACAGTCCGTAGCTGTGAGATTTCCACGTAAGTGCTGGAAATGAGCTGCACTTGACCATTCTGAAGATCGACGAGGTATAACACACTCCTGCCGTCCCGCACTGCAGTAAATATTGCATGCGGAGCTCCAAGAACGGCATAGGCTGACTCCCCATTCCGCTTTGGCGGATCCCTCAGCGCAAACCCTTCGCTGATGGGTGTTTTGAAAACCTGCCGCGCCTCATTCGAGTTACAATCGTAGACCCATGGATTTTCGAATCCAGAGATATCGGAGGTGAAGAGAACAACATCTTCGGATGCCCATGACGGGTAAGCAACAGCGATTCTGCCGTGTTCGCCCGCGACATGCCGAGGATTGGCCAACCCAAAGGGCTGAGGTGTTTCACCGCGTGCAAAATCGGCGACCCAGATCTCGGATCCATTCCAAGGCATGTCGGGGAGATCCCATTCGATCCAGACGACTCTTTTTCCGTCAGGAGAGAACTTGGGAGATCGATAGAATGATGCATCAGACATGAACGGATAGACGACCCGTTCGGCCGTATCGAGCACGACGAGACTGTTGACCACCAACGCGGGTCTCTCACTCTCGGTTGCATCCTCCATAATCCCGATCAGAAGATGGGGCATCAGCGGATGAACATCGAAATCCGCGAATTTGTGGTTGGGGTTGGCTGACCAGTCCGTCGCAAGTCAGAAGCGTCGCGTGTCGCGAGACAGATGGCAACAGACCAGGAGTTACGGCAGAACACGACCCGTCTGCTGACATCATATAAACCCGACCATCCCGAGCGTCTGAAAAGAAAATGCGCGAGTCATGGACGATCGCTGGAGCTCCACCGTAGCCATTCACAGTTGTCCGCACATCCCAGGCAGGGGTCAGATCTTCGCGAGTGTCGCTTTTCACGAGCGTATGACGACCCCCTTCATGTGGTCGTTTCTCGATGTGGTATATGACAGAGGTCAGCGGGTCGACTAGCAGGTCGACGAGGTCGACGTGATGGTCCTGATTGAGCGGTGAGTCATGGATAGATGGACAGGCGCCTCGAGACTTGCAGGGTCTGTGATGTACTGGGGGCTTAGCGGAGACTTCCAAGTCCCATATGGCGCCTCGATCGGAGCAGTCATGTTGCGGCTCGCGAAAGGGTTGTTCGACAAGATTATATTCCGATGGTATCATTGATGAATTGATTATCTTATCTGCTGGCTACAGGTGACAATATGTGCAAGTCATTAATCCAAGAGAATCATATACAGAGTCAGTATAGAAACGCTTGACAGAATTTAATCAAGCAAATACAGTCCAATGAATGTGAACGGGACGAGGGTCAGACTATCGCGCCAGCGCTATTGAGTCTGCCTCGCCGCCATATGCAGTGTGGTATGACATACCCGTCGGCTCGACCTCGTGCGCGACGTGATGCGGATCGGCAAAGGGAGATTGTGGGTAAGGTGGGGTCGGCAAAGGCGCCGAGCCAAGCGGAGCACCCAAGTTGTGCTGCGGGTAGGCGGCATATTGAGCTCTCGGTGTTTCTGGCTCCAAAGGGGCAGGGGATTCTGACAGATAGCCACCGCCGGGTTGAGGATGAGGGGACCGGATCGGTTGGTGCTGCTGAAATTGAGGTTGAGGCTGATACATATCGTGGTGTTTCGGTCTCTCTCGCATCTGCGTGTCCCACGCAACTGCATCCATGCTCTCACGGACCATGCCAGAGCTATACGCCTGGCTTTCCGTGTAAGCATCGGGCTCTATAGGTGTCCTCCCGGCGGACGCCACCTGCGGCTGAGGGGCATACAAAACCTGGGGCACAGGACCAGGTGTGTAGCCAATAGCATTGCCCCGATCATCCCATCTCTGATGTGCATCCTCCTGGCCGCCCCAATGGGTCTGTGGTTGCTGGTGCTGAGCCATCCAATCGGCGTAGCGTTGTTGCTTCTGCGCTTGCTCGTAGTCGTATCGGGGGTGGGCCTGCGAGCTCGGGCCAAATTGGCGGGAAGCGGTGAGAGGAATGTCGGACAGGCTCTGCCGTGGATTGTAGCCCGTAACGGATGAATCACTGTCATTCAGATCCGGCTGAGCGTAGAGGTCGCCCTTCGCTTGTTTCACCTGTCGTGCTTTGCGTCGCGCATAGATAACCTGGGGTTTGACGAGGTTCATCTCCCGATAGATGTACCACATCGCCAGGACCGTGACCAGAACTGTGACGCCGACAACAGCGTAGCTGATGAGCTTATTCTTCAAATCCTTCTGACCGGTTGTCGACTGTTCGAGGACGACACCGAGGTAGACGGTAACGAACTGTTTCGGAAGTGACAGTGCGGCAGCAATGGAGAAAACGAAGATGTTCATTCCACATGTAGCAAAGATGGCGGTGGTGACTGAGAATCATGAGAATCACAATCAATCAGGGGCTGAGGAAGCAGAAACCAGGACACGCACAGTGACCGGGAATGGCGCTGAAACGCGCGATGAGCGCTATTCTGAATCCACCTCGACGAACACACTCCGCGAGACAGGCGTATCGAATCTGTTGCCGCTCCATCTTTTCTCCTCGCGCCCGGCATAGATACTTGAAAGCGTAGAAGTTGCCCACTTCGCCCAAGAAGGTACCAGCGCAAACGATTCCGAAACCAACCCAGAGACCCCATACGACACCGCACAACACGGCGATGATTTCGTGGCCAAAGAGCTGTAGAGGCATTAGGATGCACTTTATTTAGCAAGGGACGGAACTCACAGGAGGGAAGGAGATGACAAAGAGAACACCAATCGGCACAAGGATACCGTATTTTTGTCTGCAAGCATGGCGTCAGGAATGGGTACACAATCAGTGAGCGACGACAGGACGCACTGGTGTAGGAAATTCGTCATTGGAATGAGGTAGTGGACGATTTGAGTGTGAAAGATGGTAATGAGGGCGGTGATGGCACCGACAAGTATGCCGATGATATAATATTCTGCGAGACGGTCATGAAGACTGGAACGAGGACACGAGGGCGCATCACGACGCACTGATCCACTCCTTCCTGATCCAAAAGCGCCATTTGAGCAGATCTTCTCGGTTGAAGAGGCCCGAGTCGAGCGCTTTGTACTCGCTAGGCGTTGGACTGGGCGTTCGTGAGATATTCCGTGCATCAGCTGGTGACTTGGAGAGGGCGTTGGAAGAGGAGGCGAAAGAGGTATTGGAGCGATCGAATGGGCCTTTGGGGGGATATAATGACTGCTGCGAGTCGACTGGTGGCGGACGGCCTGCGTAGGCCGGGTAGGGCATGGCCATGAAGAGTGAGGGGGAAAGGTATCGCTGTGAATAAAGAAAGAACTTGAAGGACAACCGCCAAGTGTAGCAACGGCCCTCGCCACCGGTATACCACGTGATCAGGTTACCAGTGCTTGGCCCTTGACAATTACATTGTCTGTGCCAATGGTCCTGGAACACAGTTGATCGTTTGACCGTGTACAGATCCGGAAGACATCATTGCCTGTCATTCTTCTCGGCGTTGTACTTGCAGGCTGTCTAGTATGACTCAGGCGGGGTTCGGAAAGCAAATGCCGAGGCCAATGCGCCGGAGATGCGTGCCAAGTGCTGCGCATCACGCATTGCAGGCTGTACCTGCTGATACCCGGCGAGATCGGGCGTTGCGCTCGTTACGCGGGACGCGCTTCCCGTCTTTTAACGCTTACAAGTACTGCCGCCAATGTTGCTAGTCAAATGCTCAATCAAGTATGTGCTCCATCGTCTACAACTGGGCAGGGCCAGCCGTGCCACAACTATTCTCCAACTCTTCCTCTTCCTTCTGCAAGCGGCGCATAGTAGCAGCAAGCAGACGGCTTCTCCTCTCCTCGGCTGAATCTCCGGCGACTGCAGCGCCAGCACCACCGAGAACATGGGACGTCATTGCAGCCATGGTTTCTAGCTCATCTGGTTCGTACATGTCTCCAGAATGGAGCGAGTGCCGACCGGCGATCGCTGCCTTTTCAAACGCAGCGACTTCACGATTCAATTGCGAATTCAGTCGTTTGAACTAGCGTGATTCAGTTTCAATGCCACCATTACAGAAGGGCGAGGAAGACACCACCTTCTCGTCGTGATCCCCATGTACATTATGCGCTAGCTCATGACACAGGGTCTGCCGTACTTGTGAGTAGACGCGAAAACCATCGTAAGCGTCTGTTCGGATCCGCAATAAGATCTCTTCTCCAGCATTCTTGTTCAGTCCGAGCAGATCCGGTCGCTCACGGGGGTCTAGTTCAGTCAAGACACCCACGGAGAAGGAATGCAGCTTCATGACATGTTGGATCGCCTTATCATTCGACAAGCGACGCAGGTAACTCAGAGCAGAGTCGGGGTCGGGAAGATGAGGTAGGGGAACGATGTTGTGGAATCGATACGTGTGTTCAAAGGTGCTTGATGAAGCGGTAGATCGGACCTGATGCACAATGTTAGGACTTTCCAGCAGAGACGTCGAAGGGATCGAGACCTTGACGGGAGCCTTCAAAGCCCTCTCCCTTAGAATTCGTTCCCGTTTACGGGCCTGTGCCTCATTGGCTTGCATTTCGTCCAACTCTAATAGTGTTGGCCCAACCAACTGGATCTTGATGCCGTCCTTGAAATTTGCTTGTCGGAGTGTCATATCGGGTTGGATTCCACCCTTGGGACTGCCCTTGTAAAGCAGCTTCTGAAGATTCGAAGGGACCGAGGTCAAGTCTTCTAGTGCAGCAGACATGTCTGCTACGGCGCTTTCGGGAGAAAGCGATAGTCGATGCTGAGTTCCTCTGTGAGTCACCATCAAAGAAAGTACATCTTCTATAGGAGAGTCCGGCATGATGAAGAAAGGCTTTGGGATGAAGATGCACTAGAAAGTGCTGAATAAAGCCGAGGACGCGTCAGGCAGCTCGCACGTGAATAATTACATCATCGATGCTTGAAGTGACAGGAGTTACCCGCTTGTCAAGTTGGAAAGACTCTGGCAACGCTAACAACACTCTACAAGTCTACCGCAACTTGATACAGACCAAGCACTGAAGATCATGTATTCTCCTGACGGGGGTATGACGGTCACTCCGCGAATGAGAGAACTGATTTCTCGCTCCGGAAAACTCAAATCTATGGAAGGTGGCCAGGAACTCCGGGACTTGTATCGAGCTGGTGCGCAAGCCCTGCTAATGACCGCTAGTTTTTACGGGTTACGAACTTTCCACGCTCAGGAAGCATCGACATGGATCCATTCAAATTCTCTCGATTCGGGTTCCATGTCTTCACTGGGACGCTCGAACTAGTGAAAGAGGTATGTTCTTCAAGATTCTTCCTCGATCTCAAAGTCATGGCGTCATTCAGGACGTGGAAAATGGTACCGCTCCTGATCTGGCGGGATACGAGACTGCCTACCAGACCAGTTATGCTTCGCTGGTTGCCCTGGGCTCTCAACGCTTTCGTGATGGTCCACCACAAAGCGGGAAACACCTTGAAACACTCAAGTACCTGCTCTCGAAGGGTCTCCCCCCAGACGGAGAAGACATCGTTGGCTATACGGCTGTGCATCATCTAGCCTCGTCCCCCGAGCCGAGAGATGAACTGCTGCGGTGCCTGCTGGAGAACGGGGCGAATGTCGATCATCAGAACCGATATGGAGAGGCTAGTTCTGTTGCTAGTGTCTCAGACAATCGAATTGACACCCACGGATATGTAGGTTCCGCTGATGGGTCCTATGATGCTCAATATGATCCAAACTATCGATATTTTAATGGAGTTCAACGCGTCCCTGGATATCCCCGAGGCCGACGGGATCACTCCTCGTCGTCATTTCTTGGGCTGTGGTCCACGAGTGACGGCGGCGGTAACCAAGTGGATCAGAAAGCGGAACAGTGAGGAAGCTCCAAGGGAAAAAAAAATCTTGCGACTCCTGCGGGAAGGAAAGCGCGTCGCTCAAAAATTGCGCAAAGTGCAGAGTTGCGAGGTACTGTTCCGTCGACTGCCAGAGTGTGTTCACTGTCCGTTTCTTTTTCCCGGTGATCTTGACCAAAGTCTTTCGACAGGAAGCGCATGGCCGACCCACAAACGCACCTGTAACCCTTTCTCTCACTCGAACACCGTCGTCCTGATACCTCACTATCATGCCTACAATAACACAATTCCTACCGCAGACCTCACGCGGCGCGCTATGGGTTATCCCTCGGAAGCTGAAGCCTGGTCCAAGAACAAGATGCGTGGTGCCCATGCTCCCAAAAAGGTCGATAAAGAATCCAAATCAATTACCATCAAAGTCCAAGTGCCTTGGAACTTCCAGGGCGATTTGGAAGCGTCGAAGAAGAGCTCGGGAGATTTGTTGGTGTATACGAAAAAGCGAGACTTTGCTTGTACGATCAGGAAGCGGGACGCGCCCGCTGAGTATGATCGAATTGCAGCAGTCGTCAGGGAGAAGGGTGTTGGGGGTGCAAAGGCTTATTTCGCTGCTGAGCTGGAAAGCAGGGATCGGCTGGTCGTCAAAGTGACAGAAGTTCTTGCTGAGCAGCCGTGGTAAAGACCTATGAGAAGTGATTCAGATATCTCTGTGATTGTACAATGACTCTCAATGAACGGACTCGAGTTCAACCGTGCGAAATCTCTCAATGATCTACCAATGATGAAATCGATCGACGTTCATGCCCCGAGCACCCGAGTTCTTCTCCCCCATGGCTTCAACTATGCCATGGCCAGAGGATTAAAAAAATGACGATCGGTACATAAGCGGAGATTTACACAACTCCAGGAGCGGCGAAAGTGCTATCTCATGATAACGTATTTCGATCAGATAAGATAACAATACGACAAACTAGGAGAGCGGAAAGCGAGGAAGAGAGTAAGTACAAGGAGGTAGCGCTACAAATGTTCATATCATTACTATCATCAAGATCATCGTCTCAAAGGCCCTTGAGTAAGGCATCGAAGACACCTCTCCGAGCGATCAAGTCATCGAAGGCGCCGTCCTCCACGATCCTCCCCTTCTGAACGACGAGAACGCGGTCGCACATGCGCATAACCGGGACCTTGTGTGTGATCATGACTGTGGTGCGGCCGGTTTTGGCAGCCTGGATCGTGTCCATAATAGCCGCCTGAGTGGCGTCGTCCAGTGCGGAGGTGCACTCGTCCAGGATCAGAATCTTGGACGGGCGGGCCAGGGCACGCGCGATTTGCAACCTCTGAGCTTGTCCACCCGATATGAGTGTCGCGTTTTCGCCGAGAGCGGTATCGTATCCCTGCGGTAGACCCATGATGAAATCGTGAATGTTCGCCGCTTGCGCAGCTCGGATGACCTCCTCATCCGGGAGATCCTCGTTGCTGTATCGGATATTCTCTGCGATTGACGCATCGAAAAGCGTCGGCTGCTGGCTCACGACTGAAATCTGCCGACGGAGATGATCGATGCTAAATGACCGGAGTGGGGTCTTCCCAACCGACACCGCACCAAACGACGGCTCGTACAAGCGTTGGAGTAATGCAGCGATCGTAGACTTGCCAGATCCAGAAGGGCCAACGATCGCAACACATTCACCAGCTTTGATCTCCATGTTGACGTTCTGGAGCACTGGTACTTCTGAGCGAGCCGGGTAGGAAAATGCAACATCCTGGAAGGTGAGAGTGCCGTCGAGTTCGGGTCGAAGAAAGCCTTGCGACTCCTCCGTCCGAGAGGCCAGGTGCAGCAGATCAGTCAGGTCACGAGCAGCCTGAACCGATTTCGAGATGCGTTGGGTGAATGCCATGAGCTGGGATCCGATAGAGACCGTGAACACGACGAGATTGAGGACTTGCGTCATTTGAAGATACGAATACGTCCCGTTGGCCACCAGAATGGCTCCAAAGTAGAATAGCACCGCTTCGGCAAGGTAGACTAAGCCGAAAGCAAGACCAGTCGTGCATCCCTCGAAGAACGCGCCCCACCGGGACACAGAGAGCACCCGATTAGCAGCCTTGTCAAACTCGGCACGGAAAACGGATTCCAGACGCATGGCACGAATACCGCGGATGCTGGAAATCATCTACAGGCGATGAGCGCTGGACAGACACCGCAGATCAAACACTTCATACCTCGTAGTACCGTTTTGCGACCTCTTCGCCTGCACGCTTATTTCGCAGCTGGGCACGTGCCACCATGCTGGCCATGCTGGCCATCGCAACTCCGAAAACAGGGACCACCACAAAGCCGGCCAAGGCAAGCTGCCAGCCTGCGATCGCAGCCCAGGTCATCCCGATTCCGAACATGGCACTGACGACCAACACCTGGCCCAGGACCGACGAAAGCAGATCGCGAGCGTCGTCAGCATCTTTGATCAACACCCGGCCAATGGACGCTGAGTCCTGCCTGTCGAACCAGCGCATGTCCTGCTTCAGAACACGACCAAACGCGAGATTCCGGATGTAGCTGATCCACCGCGCAGCAGTGATCTGCATCAGAAAGTACTTGAGCCCGAGGAACAAGCCGTCGCACAAGGCTGCGCAGAGGACCAGAAGCCCGTAAGTGTCCAGAGACATGGTCTCGCTGGATCCAGTTGCGACAGCAAACAATAGCCGGGCGAGGAGAAACGAGAAGATGGGTGTCATCGCCCCGCTGACCAAGCATGCAAATAGCCCGGCAAACAAGACTGGCTTGTTGGGAACAGTTGGGTAAAGCTCGAGCAAGAGACCCGAGAGCGACTGATTCGGGGCATCGTAGGTGGGAGTGGTTGTGTCGATGGGCAGATAGGACTCGTACTTGCTAGCAGGTGTGTACACATTACGCTTACGCGCAACCACAGTCGAGGGCGCAGATAGTGGTTTATACGGACTCGGAGTCCGTCGCCAGCCAAAAGCAGCGACGTTCATCGAAAGCTCAGCAACACGGGTCGCTCTCGTCAACGCCGAGGGAGCCGGAGTGAGGTACAAGGGGAGGGCTGCCTCGACGGCGACAGATGTGTCCAGGTCAACCAGTGTGTCAGTGTCGTCTTCATGTTTCGAGAAGTCGGCGTCGTGGCCAAGAGTTCCGAATACGCTGCAGACCCAATGCTCGAGCTCACGTCTCAATCCGCTCTCAACCACACATCCGTCCTTCAGCACGTACACGTAATCGTCTTTTTCGATCTGCGCCAAATCATGTGTAATGACAATAGTCGTCCTGCCGTGCCTCCATTGACGCACAGCGTCAAAGACAAGCACGCGTGATTTGGGGTCCAGAGCGGAGGTCGCTTCATCTGGAAAAAGATCAGCCTGAATGACATACACCAAGCAGAATCACCGACCCAGAACAAGTACATCCGGATCCCGCAGCATAGCACGAGCGATGGCCAGCCGTTGCTTCTGCCCCCCACTCAGAGAGGCTCCATGACTGCCCAGAACGGTATCATATCCACGTGGCAAGTCACTGATAAAGTCGTGCATCAAAACCTGCCGGCAGACATCCTCCACCTCTGAGCGGGTAGAAAGCCCCGTCTCCCGCCCAAGCGCAACATTGTCGTGTACGCTCATGTCGAAAAGAGCACAGGCTGCGCCCTGACCGACAGCCGCGATGTCCAATGCGCGTAGATCGACGGATACATCGTCAACAGAAATGAGGCCTTCATTTGGTGCATACAGCCCCGCAAGCAGATGCGATATGGTCGATTTTCCAGAACCGGAGGGTCCGACGACAAACGTAGTCTTGTGCGCAGGGAACACCATCGTTGCACCGCGGAGCACGGGGATACTCGGACGGGATGGATACGAAAATGAGATATCCTGCATCGTGATATCCGCCACACACATCACATCACCCACAAAACCGTGTGCGGCAATTGACTGGGAAGGATCGAGCAGCTTGAGCAACGACTGGAACGCGAAACGTCCTTTGGAGAGAACGATCAGCTGCGGAATGCAAAGTTGAAGATTCGTCGTCGCCATCAGGCAGGCCCAGAAGACGACCATGACATCCCCCGCACCCAGTCTTCCGGCTCGCACCGCCCGGGCGCCAAACCAGAATCCCTGCACAAACATCGCCATCATGACAAACTGCGCAAGGCCGGAGGTCAACCCCCAGAGCGCGACCAGCTTCAGCACGGCTTTTTCAATCCGGAGCATTACAGAGGCCAACGCCTTCTGTTCGTGTGCTGCCGCGTCGAATGCTTTGACCGTGTGAATCCCAGTCGGAGAAATAGCGCGGTCGACTAACGTCGCAGCGACAGCTGTCTGCTGGCGTTCTATCGCCAGGAGCGGGGCGGAGAACCGCTGTGAGACGGCCTGAATGATCACCAACGCTGGGACGGCAGACAGAACCACGAGCGTCAGCGATACTGAGCGCAGCAAAGCAAGGATGAGGCAGATAGAGCAAGTGGTGGCGTATTCGATCATCCGGCCAATGGCAAGGGACGATTCACGCACTTCATCAGTCTCTCTGGCATGCAGGTCAGCATGATCCTTCAAGAAAGCAAGTCGGCGCGCGTACTTTGAGAACTGAGCCATGAGCCCACCGGCACCAACAGGTCCATCTGAATCTCCCCCTGTACTCTGCTCGCTTTCTTCCGAGCACCGGGTGTCAAACCACACCATACTCTTGCTAGCTATGGACGCGTAGACGCGCTTCCGCACAGCAAGCACTGTATGGTCCCCGGTCGTGATCCACAGAAAGCTGGTCAGACTACTCATCGCAAACGAGCCGAAACCGAGAGCAAGAAGTTGCAGCGCGACCAGCGACATGTGGTGCACTAGGACATCGGGAGGTGTCGCGACGGGAGTGGTGGCATTCGCGTGAGTATCGAATGCGTCGGCGGTCGTGTTGGACTGGGAAGAGCCACTAGTGGCGGAGAACTTTGAGAAGGCATCGAACGCCCGCCCGACTACTACCGTCATGAGCGGCGCCACACCGCCTGCGAGGATAGAAAGTGCGATTGCGGGCAGAAGGAGCGCCAGTCGTTGAGCGGGCGAAAGGAAAGAGAAGAAGAGCCATCGGGTGGCATGAATTTCGTTATCCGGAGTCGTAGTCGTTGTTGGAGTCGAAGGAGAGTCGGGGTAGTGAATGAGAAGATCCGTCTCGCTGGCCTCTGAATCTATGGAGGAGCGGAGGGGGAGGTCGTACTCGTTCGCATTGCCGCCGCCAGACATCTCAGAGTCGGGGGGCGAGTGCGCGTCGTTAGGTCGTGAAGAACAGGAGAAGAGCCTTTCATCCTAACCGCGGATGTCGAGACAATGGTCAACATGAGTATGGTCTTGTTTTCGGCGTTGCCTTTTCGGGACACGCGACGCTGGACTGGACAATCTTGTCTTGTTTCACGTCGGAGGGCCCTCATCGGGCGAAAGAAAATGCTCTCGGGACCCATCGCAGAAAATAAAAAAGCCCTATCATGCTGCGATGGATGCAGAAGACCACTCAATTGTCTCCTACTCGATCGGCTCAGTTCTTGGACCAGCTGAGGGTCAAAACTATAGTACCTGCCCCAGTCACGATCATCGAGTTAAACAAGAGCTCGTGCTATGCGGAGTCGCTCGGTATCCTCAAACTGAGCTATCGTTCATTCATCCTCCGTAACCATTCCAATGTTGGTAAGAGAACCAGATCTATGTCATACGACAAACAACGCTCGGATATATTCCATGCATCCATCCAATCATCCCTCATCAAGTTCGTCATCTCGTATACAAAAGAGAGAGAAATAAGAATATTTAGATCATTGTCTGCTGGCCAATGCAGCCAGCAGTATATCAGTATCAATTTTGGCCGCTGCAAGGTTCCCGATCAGCAAGATATCCCTCGTGCAACATGAGACGACTCACCCTTGAGCACAAGCTGGGTAAACTTGGTTGCAAGAGCGGGTTGCTCCTCCTCCAGTTTCTGCAGATTTTCCTGGCTCAATTTCCAGAGAATCGCAGGGCGCTCGACCACGACTGAGGCGTTTCGCGGCAGATTTGACAGAGCCGACATCTCGCCGGCCAAAGTTCCTGGGACCATCGACTCCTCAATCACCTCCGAATGGTCCGAGAACCTGTAAGAAGCCCGAAGAACCCCATCCTGTATCAGATATATACCATCGGCAGGGTCGTCTTGTCTCCAAAGCACTTGGCCCTCCGGAACAGACATGCGCTCAAAGTAAGAAAGTAAAGGCTGCAACTGTTCGAGGGAAACGTCTTCATATGATGAAAACGCTTTCATGAGGGTGTTATACGGTTCGGCTGCTATGTCTTGAGCGGGTCGGATCTCATTTGCAAAGGTTCTGTGTCCCGCTTCACTCATGTGCGATCTGCGCGGCGAGCCAGCAAAGGATCCCACAAGCACATCCTGATACACTTGTGGAACTTCCCGTCTGCCGGGTAGAGCTAACAGCAGGTCAGATCAAAATCACCGTTTGCGACTGAAAGCACCCACTATATGCAGTCTCCGCTTTCTGGGATCTGAACCAAGCACGCAGATAAGCATTCTCGGTCCCTGGACTCTTTCAGCGACTTTTGTCTCGAAACAGACGTCAAAGAACTCACACTCCATGGCATCATTGAAGGTCGAGAACAACTCAACGCCTTCAGTACCAAGCACATCCGCACTCTCTAACGCCCTCCCAATCGACGACTCAGCTGTAAACCCGCAGAACACCAAGGTGATGTATTTCGCCGACAGCAGGCGCTGCACCCGGACCAGAGCTTCGGCAGAAGACATGTCAACGCCGCCGACCAGGGTGAGATCGAGAACAAGGAAACGGATAGGATTCTGCTGCCATGAGGGACCCTGCACGATGGCTCGGATTGTTTCCTCAACGTGCGATATGGTTCCGAAGAACAGGAATCCTGACTCTCGGTCAGACTGTATTGAAAGCTAAGACACAGAGGCACAGACCCTGCAGTCGTAAGATGGTTGTCTGCTTAGACACCTCCCTGATATAAGCACGTTGTGAACTGGGTCGTCGGACGGTGGAGATGGCAGTCTCTCCGGTGTGCAAAGCACGGATACTTGCTCTTTGAGAGTTTTGCACCACGAAAAAGAAGCCTGTGTTGGTGTGAGATCGTATCTGCTCGCTTATTACGGACTTACAGCTGACGACAATGCCGAATAAAACACCAATCACAAAGTCCCACACAGTCATGCACACCATGATGCTGACGATCGTGATGTATTCAGATCTGTGTCGGTTTAGTAAGGGCACGGGATGGAAGACTTGGAACAACGGACCTGCTAACACGATGCCGAGTATCCCACAAGGCCTCTTTGCATAAATCGATGCCGAGAACGAAGATTAGCGCGCCAACGACCATCACAGCTAATTCACCTCAAGCATCTGTGGAAGACTGGAAATCGCGAGACTCACGAATGTAAGCGATGGGTCCGGTTCCGATCAACAGCAAAGCCGTTGTCGCTACCGCCAGCAGGAAGCCGGCAACACGCGTCCCGCCTCCCACACGATAAAACCTAGCGATAATACCGTCAGCACAACGGTCAAGTAGACCTCGCGTAGATATCGCACAACAGGGTGTTCACGTAAACCAGGTAGTTGGGGCTATGAGCACGTGTTAAAGTGGAAAGTAACAGCTTCAATGGAACGACGCACACCGTGCCTAAGATACCAGCAAAAAAGTTGGAATACCCATGGGCGACCAGCTCCTTGTCTGTGTCAACATCTTCATTCAATGATACCGCTGGGATAAGATCAGATATCCGCATGAAAAGCTCAAAGGGAAGACTGACAGAGGGCCGGAACGTTCAAAGGAGGATGCAAGATGTTGAAAAACAGCCTGGAAAGGCATCAGAAGTGTGATGATCCAGGAGACGCAAACCGCACAACGCAAACTGAGTCGGCATCGTAGCCCACAGAGGGCCAAACTGCACCTTGCTGAAGTCTACCGGCATCTTAACATCAGCTGCAGACGCGAATAAGCACCAGCAACGCACCCAGGTAGTCATAGAACTTGTACCAATGCTCCTCCTTGGCATTCTCCGCCATATCGAAGATCCACCCAGATTCACGGAGCTCACCGAGGTTGAGCTGAGCCGCCGCGACAATCACATAGAACAGCATCGGAATAGCGATAAAATCTGCGTCGTACCTGAGCTGGAGATTCTAGAACTGGGCGAAACACATACAAAGCGGGAACACGAGCTGATGTCTCCACTTCAGACCTTCTGTCACGAAACGTAACAAAATAGCCAAGGCCAGAGGGATGGTCCAAAGAGCGAGGCCGTGTCTATCCAAGAACACCAATTTGAAAGTCTCCCATGTCAGAGTAAATTCGTCCTCAGGAATTCTCAGCGACACGGTCAGCCTGACAGTTGAACATGAGAATTCCTCGCACGGACAAAAAATAAACGAATCGAACCCAGTTTCCAACAGAAAAGCGCCAACACCGCCGATACATCCCACCAGAATATGACGAGGGAAGAATCCGATGAGTACCCCCAATTTGAGGTAACCAAGAAGGAAGAATGATAGACCTGTAGGATCGTTCAAATTCCAAGTGCCGCAGATAAAGATCGAGCCCACCGGTAAGAACTGAACTCAAAGCATAGGCGACAAGCGTTGTCGCGATAATTTCCTCCGGATTCTCCAGACCAATTTCGCCTGCGATCGTCGCTGCCAAGATGTGGAAGAACGGCTAACGAAGATGAATCACTTTCCCTGATGGTCTGGAAAAATAATGAACATACCACGACTTCGATCATCATACTGCCATTGGCACCGGCAAAGCCACTGGCACCGAATGTGTAGATCACTTGCGCAATCACGCACGACACGAAAAACATCGAGACCCCCATGGGACCGAGATCTCCGAAGGGTGGGGTTGTAGGGAAAATGATCATTCCGTATGATACCCCGTCCAAGATGTTGAGAAGGCACCCCAAGATGACCGCAGGGACTGCGTGGACAGCCTGTCTGGCCGTCGTTGCAGCTAGACTCCGCCATGTCTTCAGATTCCGCACTTTCGGCGGCGACGCAAGTAGCGGCGTCTGCTCTGTAGGTTCAAGATTCGGTTCCGGCCGTGGTGGTGACGGTGAGAGCGATGTCCGTGGAGTTGCAATGGGGACCGGATCGTTCCGCGCAAACTCTACTTCGTCATTGGGCGTCGGCGAGGTGGACGTGTCATGGGTCGGACGCAGTAAAGACAGGGCTGACGGTCGGGTCGTTTGATTGGTTGGGGTGACTGAACCGCTCCGCAGCACAGGAAGGACGGAGAGCGTGCCCGATTGAGGGGATGAGGCAGGCAGGAGATCCCGTCCAGGCCTACCTGCTGGGGGCGAATACATGTCCATGCCGCTCAACTCCATCGTGTTTTGGCGAATGGAGTCCTGCGAATGCGGGGTGAAGTGCGCCACAGACATCGGTGTTCCAAAGATGCCAGATGACCCGGACGAGTACGCGTCAGGCGAGGGAATGGCGGGGGCTGGATGGAATGATCGCGGTTGTAAAAGCCTGTCGTTTCATATGAATATGGGCGAGCGATGCTATAACTATTGCGCGACTGCGCGCAACTGACCCAGCTCTACGTAATGAGGACTCCTTCTGAGGCACGCGCTGGAATCCTACAGCTGTGACAGGGCTTTGCGAGGACCGTGCGTGATCAGTTTCGGACATGGCTTCGCTTGGGACCATGTCTCCCGTACCACGGGAGTCAGGGGTTGTCATCCTTGCCTGGATCAGGGCTGGGGAACTAGCGGACCGATCGACCGGTTAGGCAGCGAGCTATGGCGTAAGAAAGCGACGGGTCTTGCCCAGTTGAGATATAAATGGTCGCGGTTCGAAAGAGACGGAGGCAAAATCCTCTTGCCCAACGGATCTCCAATTGTAGACGTCATGGTCTTTACGCGGTTGTCACGGCTAGGTCACGCGGCTGCCTTCTGATCTCGACTGCATCCCTCCCGACAAAATGTCCAACACTATAGCCTTGCACGTTGCTCTGTCCTTCCTTCTCGCGCTCTGCTCACATAACACCATTTAGATATCCGCTCTCTAACTTCACGTTCAGGTATACATCTCGCGTCAGATGTCGTCACGTTCGCGTCCCAGCTGACCATCACGAAGTACCAAGGATGCCCAACCGGAGGAGGATCCGTCGGTCTCGGCGCGTTTACAGCGTCTGCAGAACAATTATGAAGATTTCGGCATGCGGCGGACGGTAGAGGGAATCCTCGTTGTGCACGACCATGGGCACCCGCACATACTCATGCTACAAATCGCGAATGCTTCTTCAAACTGTTCGTGCGCGGTTAATGCGATTGACTGCTACTTCATTTCGCTAATTTAATGGCGCAGACCTGGTGACTACCTGCTTCCCGGAGAGTGACGAAATCAGTGGGATGAAAAAACGTC